GGCACTGCCCAGGCTCCCCAGGGCAGTGGGCACAGCCCCAAGGCTGCCAGAGCTCCAGGAGGGTTTGGATGATCCTCTGGGGCACAGGGTGGGACTCCTGGGTCTGTCCTGTGCAGGGCTGAGGGTTGGACTGGATGGTCCTTGTGGGTCCCTTCCAACTCTGCATGGTCTGTGGTTCTGTGAGTTTGACTGTTCATTGGGTTCCTTGCAGGTTTTTCCATGCAAGTAGCACTTTTCCTGTGTTCCTGGGTCCGTGCCTTCAGCTATGAAACATTTTGTAAGTGATAAAAATATTGACAGGTGATTTGCATCGAGTTGACAAAGGTGAACTTACAGGGTAGAATTAAAGATGTATTTATACTGAAAATTTAGTTCTCAGCCCAGACTCCTTGCTCTGAAGTTCCGGGATTCTTGAATTGGGACAGTTCTGATTCAGGTACAATACAGGAATGAAATAAATTCAAATTCCTTGTTCTTATCAACTCTGAAGGAAGAAAACACCCATGTTTTTTCCACTGGAGTGTTCCCTTGGTCTGCTGGGGGGTCCATTTCAGCAGAGACCTGGAGAAGCCAGGCCAGACTCTGGTGTGTTTTGGTTTCCTCAGGAGCACCGAAGTGCTCAGCTCCCTTTCCATCCATGCTGCTGGGAACAGGTGGCTGCTCCGGGGTCACCAAGTATATTTAGGGCTGAAACTGGAGCGGGCTGGAGCCGGATTGGCCGTGCTGGCCACACGTGTCCTCGGGAGCCGCTGCACCCGCTCGCTCTCTCCCACTGCTGCTCAGGAGGGAAGGCTGGAGAGGCTTTGCTCCAAAGGATATTTGCTGGATGTTGCTGGTAAGAACATTTTAATCGTGTTTGACTTCTTTTCCTTAGAGCAGGACCTCAAGCTGTTTCCCCAGTTGGTAGTTTTTTGGGAGTAGTTGTCATGCCTTGCCCATGGAAGACAAGTCTTCTGCCTGGATAACCAGCTGCAGGCTGCAGGAGGAGGAAAGCACCTGGAATTGTGTTTGGGAGTGTAACTGAAGGTTATAACTGTGATAGTTTTTATAGTTTATATCCTTATATGCAATCCCTACTTCTTGGCTTTAATCACTCACTTTGGCCTACTTTTTCACACAACTTGCCGCCCATTAATGGAGTTATTCTTGATTTATTTTAATAGTTAATGATCTGGTTCAACAAATTAACTTTTTGGCAGTTTTTCTCACCTCACTGGAAACTAAAAAGGGACAGTATTCCATGTTCCTATATTTAACCTGGGTTACTCGACTTCCCTTGCCTCAGAAGGAATTGCAGTGTAACCAGCTAAACTCAACGGGCAGTTGGCGGGATTAGCTTACACGGCAAATATCCCTGGACTCAGGAGCAGCTGTTCCAAAGCCTCATCCCCTCCCAGCATTAGAAACAGGGCTGCAGGCTCCGGTGGAAAATTGTAGCTCTGCCTCGCAGCAAAATCAGTGTGTTAATTAATTTTCGACAGTAATCTGTGCTTTGTAATTCAGCCAACTCTGTGGAATTTCATCTTTTCCAGGTCTGAAGAAACAGAGAGAAAAAAGCCACAAGAGCTTAAAAAAAAAACCTCCCAGAGAATCAATATAGGCTAATGCTGGGAAGACAGAAATTGCCTCATTAACCAAAAGATGCTTAAAAAAAATATTTATTATATTTTTCTACATTAGGCTTTCACTTATGAATGAATATCACAGAATATACAGATAAAGCTCCCATTCAAACAGGAGCTTGAATAATAAAATGAAAGAGGAGAGAATAGTCACAGAGAAAAGAAAAATGCTTCATATAATTCTGGTGTAATAAAGAACCCAAATCACACTTCAAGAAATCTCTTCTTTTTTTATTTTCATTGGATTCCAGTATTGGTGTTACAACTATTGGAATGAAGTATTTGTCCAAAATTGTAACTTATATCAGTATATTTGAAACTTAATCCCATGTTTTTCCATAATAATCAAAGTAGTGCCAGATCCCAGCTTTATTTAGGATCTGACTAGTTACTAACCATGACCCCAGGTGCTTTATGAGCTTGATTTGTCATTTTTCATGGTACTTTTGGGCTAATCCTGTTTATTCATATTTTTATTTGCTGCATGACTAGTGAGTGGGGGAGAGACAGAAGAAAACCTTCAGAATGGAGGAAGAAGAATATGAGGAAGTTGTGGAGGTAAGGAGAAAATCTTAAGAGTAGAAATAATTGTTTCCTGCCTTGTGAATGAATATATTAATCACTTTAATGAGACTCTGCTCAGGAGCATAGGTGGCTGTTTGCTCTCTGAAGATTAGGGGATGATTAGATATCTATTAAATGGCTTAATCAGTAAAGAACCCACAACAAACAACAACAGTTGCTCTCAGCGGAGCAAAGTCTGCTGGTTCCTGCCATAGTTTCTGAGTTTAAATAAGGACTGTAACCCTCCTACACCCACAGCACAAGGTTTCCTCATTACTCTTCTGCTTAATTATAGATGCACTGGGCCATCTCTTCTCCCTGCTGGCTTGCCCTCTGTCACCCAATCCATGCTGGAGAGGATGACTTTGGAAGCCCCTTCCTAGCCTTGCCTCTGTGCCCACTGCAGTGCAGAAAGGCAGGAGGTTTGTGCCACCGAGGGACCATGACCAGGTTCAGCCTTAGAAGTTGCAGAGATGGAGCCAGATTTAAGTGGCAGAACCAGGGGAATGGCTTCCCACTGCCAGAGGGCAGGGTTAGATGGGATATTGGGGGACAATTCTTCCCTGGGAGGGTGGGGAGGCCCTGGCCCAGGTTGCCCAGAGAAGCTGTGGCTGCCCCTGGATCCCTGGAAGTGCCCAAGGCCAGGCTGGATGGGGTTTGGAGCAACCTGGATAGTGGAAGGTGTCAGGGTTGGAACAAGATGGGCTTAAAGGTCCCTTCCAATCCAAACCATTCTGTGGTTCCTTGATTCTTTGCCTGTGGAGTTCCATCAGGGATTAATTTGCCAAGAGGTCATTTAAACTGAGAGTTCAACTAAAAGAATCCCCAGGAACTGGGGAATTTACAGTTTAGGATTATGAGCAAATGCCACCAGAGCGATGACTTTGCTATTGAAACAGTCCATGAAGTCAACAGAGTGGTCTTACCTGTTGCATTATTGCTATTCTGAAATTAACTTATGTGTTATTAAATACATAAGTTATTGTAGCAAATTGCTGTGTTTGAGGAAAAGAAGAAGAGTATAAATGCAGACATCTCACAACCCATTGTCAGCACACTGTGTTCGGTAAGCTGTTGATTTTAGGTGATGTGAGGGCACTGAGCCCTGGCTGCAGACTTTAAAAATTTCAAACAGTGAATGAAGTAAAGCCAAATGGATTAGTTAAATATGTTTTGGAAAATAAAGAGTTACCACTCATAAAGTCCATTTAAAGGCATTGTATCACCCAGTTACAAAACACCAGCCTTCATTAAATTTCCTATTAGCACTTATAATTGCCTTCGTGCTTCCTGAGCGTTGTGTGCTCTCAGTAATAGGTATTTATTTGCTGTCAAAGTTTATTTATTCCAGCTGGAATTATGTTATGGTTGGGCTTTCTGTCCACACAGCCCCGTTTCATCCTTTGTTTTTAATTTTCAGTGACCACCTTGCTGCAACCACATCCCTCAGACAGACTAAGGTGGCATTTTTTTAGTAGCTTCCCTCAGGGTACTCATGGTGAGAAGTTACATAAAAGAGGAACAACAGCATTTGGTGCAATTTTAAGGCAAATTAAACCTTTCCAGAGTTTTCTTAACTAAAAGCCCACTTTTATATAAACTCATGATTTTAAACCTCCAAGAGTTGTATCAGAAATTAATCTTCTGAAAGAATTAGAAGATGGTTGTTGAATATTGAGTAGCTGAGGCAACGCCAAGCATTCTAAGATACTATTTTTTTAATTTCTCGGGAATTACTAACCCGTACTTGACGTCGTAGCCGTTTTGTGACGGGAATGACACAAACTTTTGCTGGTGAGTTACTTGAGGTGTTGTGGAAGGTTTTGTGGAAGATTTTGCAGAAGGTTTGGTGGAAGGTTTTGTGGAAGATTTTGCAGAAGGTTTGGTGGAAGATTTTGCAGAAGGTTTGGTGGAAGATTTTGCAGAAGATTTGGTGGAAGGTTTTATAGAGTTTGCAGAAGGTTTGGTGGAAGGTGAATTGGAAGGTTTGCAGAAAGTTTTTGGAAGGTGGGTCCAGCACGTCTGGGCAAGAGAGCAGAAATCGCCCCCAAACAACCCAATATATCACAGGTTGGGAAGTACGAGCCGGTCGCATCAACTAACTTTGAGGAACAGCTCTGGCGAAAGGGCTTAAATTTCAATGAGAATTTTTTTAGGTCTCGATTCAAAGGGCTTTTTGCTGCCGCAGCTTTTGGCAAGTGACCCTGAGCAGGTATCGCCGAGGAGGTTTCCAAACACGAACCCCACATTTTACATTTTCTCCTTTCTGGCAGTTTGGCACCTCATGGATACGATCCATGCCGGTTACTACAGCGGGTGGGGCAATGTCCGTAAATGCTTTTTTCCCCTCAACTGGCAGCGAGCGGAGACGTTTGAGGGCGGAGACGTTTGAGGGCGGAGATGTCTGAGGGCGAAGCCCCGATCGGCGCGCGGCCCCCTCAGCGCGGCCGCCATTTAGCGCCCGACGGCGCCATCGCGCGGCCGCGGCTGGAAATGGCGGCTCGGGGCTCCCTTCGGGGGTGATGGAGGGCGAGCCTAAGGACGGAGAATAGCGGAGTTGTTAACGCTGGAAAACACCTCCAAGGTCATCAAGTCCACCCCAATGTTTCCCCAAATCCAATCTAAACGTCCCCTGGCACAACCAGAGGCTGTTTCCTGTAGTGCTGTTCTCTGGGAGAAGAGCCAACCTCCATCTTGCTCCCCCCTCCTGTCAGGGGGTTGCAGAGCCAGAAGGTCCCCCCTGAGCCTCCTTTTCTCCAGGCCGAGCCCCCCCAGCTCCCTCAGCCCCTCCTGCTGCTCCAGCCTCTTCCCCAGCTCCGTTTCCCAACTAGGAGAGATGTTCTGTGGAACCTACTACTCACAACCAAGCAAGAAGTGGTGGAAGATGCCAAGGTCAAGGGCAGCCATGGCTGCTGTGACCACAGGACTCGTGAAGTTGAAGATTCAGAGAACAGTGAGGAAGATAAACAGAATTACAATCCCAAACTTCAGAAGGACACATTTGGGGCTGTTCAGGGAAGATCCTGTGGGGCCCAGGGGAGTTGAACCATCTTCTAAAATGATTTTCTCAGAGCACATGGTTCAATCCGAAGTGCGGAAGTCAAACACAGCAGGAGGCTGGTGTGGAGGAACGCGGAGCCCCAGACTGAGCAAAATCACAAAAAAAAAAGAAATATACTGAAGGTGGAAGCAGGATCAGGACACTTGGGAGGAACATAAAGACTTAAAACATTACAAACTCCATTCCTTCAACTTGATGTTCAAGAAAGGCAAGAAGGAAGATCCAGAGAATTACCTCACTTCATTCTTTGGGAGCAAATGATTTGAGAAGCTATTTCTAAACACACGAAAGACATGAAGGTCGTGAGGAGCAGTAAACGTTGAGTTATCAAGGGCAAAACAGTGGTTGACCCATCTCATTAGTATTTATAATGAGTTCACAGCTGCTGTGGACAAGGGGAGAGCAGTGAAGGTTGTGTATCTCGACTGCTTCAGGGAGACCTCTTTGTATCACCAGATTCATGAGATGTGGGGTAAATAGAGGACAATAAAGTGGGTTGAAAATTAGCAGGCTCAGAGTTGAGATCAGTAGGACAAAGCATAACTGGCAGCCAGTAATTATTGGTATCCTTCAAGGATCTGTAGGTAGGAACAACTCCGAGAACAGGCTTAGAGAAACCTGCTACAGCCCCCTCAGAGCATCACCAAACAACTGGAAAATGCTGGAGTTTAAATGCTGATTCTTTTACTGTGGTCATCACTGCCTTCCCTCTTGTGGGTAAAATTAGATAACATCCTTCATTAATTACTTGGACGATGATTAGTTGAGGAACGTATGGAAAAAAATCCAATCATTAATGCAAAAAATGAACGGATATTCAGAATTACTCCATCAGTACCTGTGAACTGCAACTCTGTTCCTCCAGAAGTGTGGTTTTAAAACAGCTTTACAGAAACTACAGTTTGCTAATCTGACCTAACAATGATTTTTTTCCTCTTTTTTTTTAACAGTACTACATTGAGGAGACAGTTGTTGAGGAGGGTGAGCCACATGAGGTAAAGGTCCCTTTCGTTATTCATGTAGCATCTATATGCATGTAATTAATGTGTAACTCTAAATTAGTAGCCTTTTTCTATTCTGAGGTTTAATTTTTCACATTAAACTCACAAATAGCACCGAAGAGTTGCTGTTTAATACTTTATTTCCTCTGCTGTGGGATGATCTAGAGGACCACTTTACATGTGTCAGTTCTCTTCCCTTCCCCTTGGGCAATTTCCCAAAAAAACTGATGGTTTGCAGATTTCTCTTTATGTCACTGGTAACAAATATTTGGGTCACCAAGGATTTGTTGCCACAATTTGAAATTCTATTTATAAAATAGATATATCTCAACTCTCTCCTATGTTACCATGAAATACTCTTTATGGCATAGGCTTGTGCAGAAACCAAAGCTATTAAATGTTCAATTCTTGATGTATTTTCAGTTCTATCTCATATTGCTGCAAACAGCTATCAGAAATCTGACCTTAAAGTCAATTTTTTTATAAAAAATTTCATATTAAATAAAATCTGACTCTCATTTAGGTGATTTTGGAGCACATTTTTAAGTTGTAATAATTATTTTTAGTTACTTTTCATTAGAACCATAGTGTTAAAATTATTGCTTGCAGACCATAATAATGTTTATCTGTTGATAAACAAGAATATAAACTATTTAAATTCATTGGGAGTTATACATATTAAACAGAGGCAGCTTCCAGATCCTCTGGTGAATAATTACGTGAGTTTGATACAGAAACCAGCCAGACATTTAATTCCTTGTGGCTTTTTTAGGTTGGGTGATGTATAGTAGGAATAATGGATAATCCCAGCAGGAAAAATGTCACTGGTTTTTTGTCTCCACGTGGATCTGGATAAGCTGAGCATCCTTTTACTCGCTCAGGGAGGTGAAAAATGCTTATAATAATGAATTTTCAGAGCTATAAAGCAAGTAATTATTTTGATTTCTTTATTCCCAGGTGGTCACTGAGATCACTGAGACTGTCAGCACAGAGTTCACAGGTCCTGAAACTACCACAACCACCTACACTGTCAAGGAGGACAAACCTTCTGGGAAGGATGCAGCACCCCCAGCCAGGAAAAAGACAATCCGGACAAAAGTGGACCCATCCAAGTTTTTGACGCCTTACCTGGAACACAGCAACAAAATGAAGGACCTATTCAGTGAGGTAAGATTGTCCCATGTCTTTGATTTCTTGGGGAACACCCTGGAAAGATTGGATAGGGATTATTTGATTATTATGTTGCAAAAGACTAAATTTATTTTTAATTTTATACTTAATATAATAATAATACCAATAGTCAGCTCTTAATCATCATGCAATAATGGATCTATACTAATATCAATTATAGATTTAATATATCAATTAAATATATAATTTTAATGTATTTTATATAATTATTATTAACAGTAGCTTAATATCAATATTAAGCTACTAAGGAGAATATAATCAATTAAAGGTGATCCAAGCCAGACTGAAGTTAGAGATGGACTTTTTTCTGTTGTTTCAGATGGAATAAAGTAAATTGGTTAAAATAAGCACAATTGCAAATGTAATTGAGTAATGCTCATTTCTGTTACTAAATAATCACCCCAAATTCTTATCCTAACCAGATAAATATGGCAATAATTGCCAGTAGATTTCTGTCAGAGCTTCAGGCTGTGTCTTATTTGTGTTTGTCATTGTTTTCTTCCAGAACAAGTACAAAGAAAAATTTAGAAAAGAGAAAGGAAAGCCTTATGCTTCCACAATTGATACCCCAGAAATTCGGAGGATCAAGAAAGTGCAGGACCAGCTCAGTGAGGTGGGTGGCAACTGCATGAGAAAACAATGTTCAGTGAGTAGGTAAGAAGCAAATTAAGTCTGAATTTTGGGTGTTGGATAAGAAGTGATAATTCCAACCAAACTGCTGTTTTGCCATGGGAATTGTGACTATGTGGGTTTGGCACTACAGCCAGTATTTACACGGGAATGGACTGGGAAATGGAGCTACACTGCATATCCTGGGATGGACCTCTCATTATACAGTGGAAGTGCTCTTAGAAACAGCTCTATGATCACAGACAGGCACCACCTCTAGCTTGGAATCCCATCTCTTGAACCTCTCTCAAAGCTGCATTTCTTCCTCAGTTAATTCCCCAAATCCATTGGTTTCCGTAGGCTTCATTTCCAGCTCCGTTCAGGTTTGGGATGCTCACAACATTAAGTGTCAAAACGTTGATATTCTGATTTTCTTTAAGAGGAAAAAAAGCAGTTTTGCTGTAGAATAAGTTGTTTTTTTGTGCCTCCAGGTTAAATACCGCATGGCTGGGGAAATTGCCAGGACTATTTGCCACGTGGATGAAAAGGCCATGGATATAGAACATGCCAAGAAAGTGTCCCAGCAAGTGAGCAAGGTGAGTGGGTTTGACTGTGGATCGTGAAGTTGCTGATATGAATAAAGTTCTGAGCTAAAGCAATGTTTATACAGCAATTTAGAGGCACAGGGAGGGACAGCAGAGAAGTTGGTATAAATATATCTTATAAATACAGTCTTAAATGTTCCCATTTGCTGCCTTCAAATGTCACTGGAATGAGGCTTTCACTTTGAAATAATCTCAAGAGCTGGTAGTTTATTCACAATATTTACACAATATTCACAAAAGTAAATAATTTTCTAGTGATTGAGTGACCAACTGGCTGATCTTGCCTTCCAGGTGTTATATAAACAGAACTGGGAGGAGAATAAGGACAAGTACCTGCTGCCCCCTGATGCTCCAGAGCTTGTGAATGCAATAAAAAACACAGCAATGTTCAGCAAGGTAAGAGAAAACAATGCCAGCTCTAAGCAGCTGAAGTGAGAGAAGCTTTCCAAGGCACAGATTAATTCATAATGAGCATTCTCCTGGGTTTCAGAAACTCTACACTGAGGAGTGGGAAGGAGACAAAACTCTGTTTTATCCCTACAACGACAGCCCAGAGCTCAGGAGGGTGGCCCAGGCTCAGAAGTCTCTGAGTGATGTGAGTACCAAACACAGTTGGGTTCTGGCATAACTTGATAGATTATTTCTATTCTACACTATAGTTTTATAATATTTTAAATTAAATATTTGAAAAAAATGATTTCAAATGGAGAAACTCCCTCCCAGGGTTGACTCTTAAGTCCAGTTCACCATTGTGAGTCTGCAAATCTGTCTCTAAAACAGCAATAAGCAAAGTCAGGAATTGGCAGGGCTGTGGGATTTGCTGATATTTGGATACCTGGAACTCTCCAGTCAGGGTTTTCAGGTCCAGATTTCAGTGAATTTTGCAGATGTTCACTGCTGATTGAAGGGGTTCCTGCTGCAGTGGCTGTGGGCAGAACTGCTGCAGTTAATGGGGTGGGAGCAGAGCTGAATGTTCTGATGCTCAGCTTGGCAGTTACTGGAATTCTCTGTTTCTTCCCCATTTGCAGATTGTCTACAAAAAAGGACACGATGAGCAGAAAGCCAAATTTACCTCCCTGCCAGATCCCCCTGATGTGGAACTGGCCAAGAAGGTGACGAGGCAGCTGAGCAATGTGAGTAGGATGCAGTGGCTTTTCCTGTGGATACCTCACTTTGGGAGTTAGAGAGGCAAAAAGGTACCTAAAGAGAGAAAAAGAGAAAGAAGAGATATGCAGGAAGACCAAAGTTGCTGAAGAAAATGGAACCAAATTGTATAATCTTGTAAGGCAGAATTAGGATTTTAACTCAGTTCAGAATTTAGGACAAGCATGATTTTATTTATTTTATTGTATATTGAACATTATCTGCTCCTTAAGATTAGAGAGTTACACTGTTCACTTCTGGATGCAGAACCACCCATAAAATATACTGAACCCATTTGGAAGGTGAAATAATTTCATTTAGAGAAAACTTCTGTAATCTTACGATTCCACAGTTTAAAAGGTAAATTGTCATCAAGAAGATTTTGTAACATGTAAACCCCAAGATCAGTATCATAATTCTTCGAAATGAGTAAAATAATAAACAGCAATAACAGTAAATTCCTACTTAACTAATGGGCAATACTGTGTCCCAGTATTATGTGAGCAGTGAGAAAACAGAACTAAAGGAATGTGTTAGTGAAGTATCACAGAGAGATTTTCTTATTAATGACTTTGTTCAAAAAGAGCTTATTTGTGCCACCTATTTACCCTTTTTAGGTCAGGGGAGGAACTAAGAGCAATAACTGAACCCTGAAGTGGTTTGGTCAAATCATGTTTAAAGTGTTTTTGACAGTAGCTACTGAAGTGTTTAGAAGGCAGATGTAAAATGTGAAGCAACTTTAAAAATACAACTGTGACAACCAAACTTGTCAAGTGAAAATGAATCTGTGTCTTGGGGATTAAATTTGATTGTTTTATTTCCTTATAGATTAATTACCATAAGGACTATAAAAACAAAGTCAAAGGCAAGTGGAGTCAAACTCCGTGCTATGACGTGGCCATTGCAAAAATGAATGCAGAAAATCTAAGTATGGTGAGTGGATTCTTCAGGGAATCTTGACCAGCTTTATCCTCTGTCTGTGTTAACATGGAAGATACTGATATAATTTGCCTGCTCCTCTGGTGCTATTTCTCCTTTCCTAAATAAGCCACTTTGTGGGTGTCTGATTGCAAAGTAAGCACGTTTGATACGTTGTTTTCTGTCTGTCTCTGTTCCCAACAGAGAAAGTACCAGGAAGACTTTGAAAACATGAAAGACCAAATCTACTTCATGCAGACTGAAACCCCAGAGTATGAAGCCAATAAGAAAGCTTCAGAGAACGTCAGTAAGGTGAGTTCTGGGTGTGCCATTTGCTCAGCTGGAGAACAGTCAGTCCCACAGTCAGACAAGTCGGTGCTGAAACTGTTTTGTCAGGACCTTTCATGGTCCTTTGCCACCATGAATGGGAAGTTATGTAACCAGGGGCATTTTTTTCTGAAAAATTCAAGGTTATGGTATAGATTAAAATCATATCCCAGACTGGGTTGGGCTGGAAGGGACCTTAAAGCCCATCTTGTTCCAGCCCTGACACCTTCCAGTATCCCTGGTTGCTCCAAGCCCTGTCCAGTCTGGCCTTGGACACTTCCAGGGATGGGGCAGCCACAGCTTCTCTGGGCAATTACACAGGTTAGTGAACATTTGGCTTTTAATACTGATTTTTAAAACCCTGCCCTTTTTGTTTTTATTTTTTTCAAGGTAAAATACAGAGCAGACTATGAAAAGAAGAAAGCCATTGCAGATTATAATGTGCTTCCTGCTACAGAGAACCCATTGCTGAAGCAATTAAAAGCTGCAGGCAATATTCTCAGTGATGTAAGTATCATGAGTTTCAGTCATGTCCAAGAGACCAAACTCTTCATTTCTTCCCAAGGCCTCTCCTTTGCATCTCTTAGTAGTTTTAGTTTTGTGTTTGTATTTGTATTTGTCATGAGGTGCCCCCCAACCAGAACAGGTCAAGTAAAGAGTCATTTCTCCAGGGATGAGTGGGGCTGTAGCAGTGGCATGTGGATAGCTAGTTACTTTATAATTAATTTAGATACCTGTGGATAATGGATCACAAGAGGGAAGTTCTTCCCTTACTGGTTTAAGGAATTTCAACTGATACAATCATGATAAAATACGTGGTACTTTTACATATGTTGTGTTCTGGTTACTCACTGTAACAGCCTTCTCAATTTCTCTCCTCTTGCTGTTTTCATCTGCATGGAAAGAGATCACATATTTTTCAGTGTCAGAACTTCAAAAACCATTAGTCAGACCTTTCTGGCTTCCCTTACAAACCTAAAAAAAAGTTACTTTAAAAAATCATTGGGAAAATAGTACCAGCTGTTCCTCACTCCTGCGGGAAATCTTCTCTTTGCAACCATTTCACAGGTTTCCTCTTGCAATTTTTAACGTGCTGTGGGTGAGTTGCAGTGAAATCTCCTGCATTATCTGACCTTGTTTTCTCTTACAGAAATTATACAAAGAAGCCTATGAGCAGTCAAAAGGTAACAAGATGAATTACTGTGACACCCCCAAGTTCCAGACCGATGCCGCTCTGAAGAATTTCAGCGACGTACGTATTTGATTTATGTTGTGTCCTTCAGTCCTGACCCTCTGGATTACTTTTGTTTATCAACTCAGGGTTGTTTTGCCAGGTGAAATACAAGGAGGCCTATCAAAAGAATATTTTGGGGCACTATTTGGGCAGCTTTGAGGACCCATATCACACACACTGCATGCAAGTCGAAGCTATGAAGAGCGATGTGAGTGTGGCCGTTGTCCTGTTTTCCCCCCCACACCTTCCTTTCAGAGAAAGCTCAGTTGTGGTTTCTTACTGAATGTTGATTTTGCTCCTAGAAAAACTACAAAGCAGATTATGAGGAGGAAAAGACAAAATGCTACTTCCCCCAGACCATAACTCAAGAGTATGAAGCGATTAAGAAGTTGGAGCAATGCAAAGATGTAAGTAAAGAACAGGAGTAGAAATTACTTGAGTGATTCCTCTTAACTTCAGTGCTTTTCAATTTGGCTTGACGAGCTTAAGCGACTTTTAAAAACCTCCATCCCTATTTTCGAGCCTTTTGTGACATCTAGTGTTCGAGACAGATAGTGCACAATCCCTTTTTTAATAAGTAAAACCATACAATTAAAGGAATAGTTCCAAAATGAAGAATGAACCTCAAGCATTCACCTGCTTAACTCAACATATTTTAAAATGAATCCTTTGAAAGTACTTAAGTTACTTTATTCATAATTTTATTTACTTTATCAATACTCAGAAAATACTTTCTATGCCTCTTTTGCCAATGTATTTTTTATCTTCCTTCAGCACACCTACAAAAAGCATCCTGATCAAATCAAATTCACTGCAGTCACTGACTCTCCAGTACAGAAGCAAGCAGAGATTAACAGCAAACAGCTGAGTGATGTAAGTAAACTCAGCAAACATTACCAATTTCTGCCCTCTCTCACTTCATCCAGTTTTAAGAGAACTCCTGAAATAAATGTCTAGGTGACTGTGTGTGTATATTCACAGTTCCAGTGGAAAATCACCTGGAAATCACACCTTTTTAAGTAGTTTTTTAATCTACAATTAAATTTTGGGCTGCTAAATTTCTTTTTTTATTTTTCTTGGCAGATACTGTATAAATCCAAAGGTGAAGAAGTAATTCACAAGTACCACCTCCCTCCTGATGTGCCCCATTTCATCCAGGCCAGAGTTAATGCCTACAACATCAGTGATGTGAGTATATTTGGAATGTAGAGCTCTTGATCCAAATGAAGTTTCTGTTAAGTTCACCTTTTCTTCGAGAACTGTTGCAAAATGGGATTGGAAGAACTCAAAGCAAGGGGATATGATCTGAAAAGTGGTGCTATTCCTCTCCTGTCTCAAATGCCCAAGCTCTGAATTCAGCTCAACTTTTGCTTTTGTGCTTGTTAAGCAAATTTTTGAACTGTCTGAGCATTCATGAGCATAAACACATTTCAGTGCTTTACTGCTGTAAACTGAGTGAGAAAACCAGCATGATGTTATTCAGATTCCTATACTTTAGGAGACTTATATAATTTATTTTTATATAAACCATTACACGGGCAAGCAGTACAAGGTCTCTGAGTGTTGCTTCCTGCTGCTGGGCTTTTAAAGGGGAATTCCACTAGGAAGATAAGAATGCTTTTTCCTGCCATTCAGCTACCAGTCTGCCTGCTTTCCCTCCCTACTTGCATCCATCCAACACCATAAAGATCTCCACTGACAGTATCAATTGTATTGCCTTTATGATATTAAATTTTTGGTGGCATTATCAGCCTTCCAGGAGCTAGATAAAAGCTGCTATTGCCTTTAATAGCCTTGAAATGCAAATATTCTGTCCAAACTGATAATAAAAATTCAACCAGACTGCTTTCTTCAGTCGTTTCACACCACAAGGACTGTGTTTGAAGCTGACAGGAAAAAAATTTCTGAAGGTTCGGTCAAATGAGAAAAGGCTTTGCAAAAATGCCACTGATGAAGTTGTTCTAAATAAAAATTTCCAAAAATGCTTGTGGATTTAATGATTGTCTTTGTAGCAGATTTATTTATCCAAATAGAACTGCAGTTTTTGTGCAGGAGAACGTTTTTCCTTGAAATTTCTCAGACTGAACTGAATATTTTGGTTCCGTAACTGTAATAAAAATAATGACTTAAACACTTGGTTAAAATTGCTGCTCCTAACATTGTGAATTCCTTTCTTTTTTTCCCCTCCAAGGCTAACTACAAAGCAGACTGGAAGAAAACCCTTGCCAAAGGATATGACCTGAAACCTGATGCCATTCCCATTATTGCAGCTAAAGCCTCTCGGAATATTGCAAGTGATGTGAGTGTCATTTACAGCACTGCAGCTTTCTGTAGCATATTGTCTGCTTCAAGGGTTCACCAGCTCATTTCAAACTTTATTTATTATTATTATTATTATTACTATTATTATTATCCTATGCTCTGTTCTTAATTGCTGGAGACCTGTCCTTCTGCTTTAGCAAAAGCTTGCAAGTGACTCTTCCACCCCCCTCTTGAATATCCCAATTGAATATTGGGGTATCTGATTGTTTGGTGAGGGGGGTCAAAAATTTATTATTATAGTTTATATTATATTATATTGTTGTTTTATTATGATATTGTTATTACATCATAGTTTATATAATATCTTAATTAAAAGCTGAATGTCCCTGGGGGTTAGAAGTCCATGGCAGTGGAATATCGAATTTCAGTGGCAATGGTGAGAGAGGGCATGTAGATAATTTATGAGATTGTAGAATGAATTGCAATGGTTAATACTTTGCAACTCAGTGTTTTAAAATCATCAAAAGTATGTTTCCTCTTTCCCAAGTGGACAAACCTCTCTTTTCCTGTGTCTCCAGTACAAGTACAAGGAATCCTACGAGAAGGACAAAGGCAAACAGGTCGGGTACCGCAGCCTCCAGGACGATCCCAAACTTGTTCATTACATGAACGTGGCCAAAATCCAGTCGGACCGGGAGTACAAGAAGGACTATGAGGTCACCAAGACCAAATATCACACTCCCCTGGACATGTTCAGTGTGACAGCGGCCAAGAAGGCCCAGGAAGTGGTTACAAACATGGGCTATAAGCAGCCAATCCACAATTACACCCTCCTACCTGATGCTGTCAACCTGGAGCTCTCGAAGAACGCGATGCAGCTTCAGAGTGATGTATGTAATCATTAAGCAGCTCATTATTTTCTTCTTCTCATAATTACTGTGTTACACTATTAACCTTTTAAGGCTAAAAAAATCACTTATATAATCCAGTATATATTATATTAGGTTAACAGTAGATTGGGATGTAGGTGACTGGTTTGGAACCATTTATTTTCCAAAGATGATCAGAATCACGTGTAGCTGATAAGCTCTAGGGAACTTATCTAGTGAGTAACAACTTTCCTTATATCTCTACATATTTTCCAATTCCCAGCAAATTCATGTCATTTTATAATTACAGTGTGTTATTACTGTGATTATTATTTGTCCTGTCAGAGATCATAGGTTATGTACAGTGTCTAAATACTGACTTTATTATATTTAAGTTTTATTTAGCTCTAAATTTCCCCTCAAAACTGAACGACCAGGAGAAGTTTTGAGACCTTACTTGTGTTTCTGTGTAATGACAGAAATATTGTCGTTTTCTTTGCCTCACTGTGTTTCCTTGTTTACTTTTTAAAAGAATTTGTACAAATCTGACTTCAATAACTGGTTGAGAGGAGTTGGCTGGATACCAATCCAGTCCCTGGAGGTAGAAAAGGCCAAAAAAGCCTCAGAGATCCTCAGTGAGAAGAAGTACAGGCAACACCCCGACCAGCTGAAGTTCTCCATCCCCACAGATGCCATGGAGCAAGTGCTTGCCAAGCAAAATGCCAAGACCATGAACAAGGTGAGAAGCTGTTCAGGTGATCATGGATGAGCCGGAGTTTGGATCTTTGGCTTGTAGAGTTGTGCATTCTCACTGAAATTGTTGAAGTTTCCAGTGGCTGTAATGGTTGCTTGGTTAAGACTGGACACTGAGAAGTCATGGAAGCCTCAGACTGTTCATAATTAAGGGAGTTTCCTCATCTGTTTATAAAGATTTCTTGTTTGTGTATGTGATTAAAGATGTCTTCTCGCAATTTAAAATGCTTTAGTGACCTTGGCTTTTTTCTGTAGAAAGTTTTAATAATCAGTGAGCTGAAAAACCCCTGAAATTCTGTCAGTTTTGTACAATTTTCCTTTAAAAGTGGAGTTGTTTACATTTATCCATAGTTATCTGGGACACCACTGATCCTTATTCCATATCTACCATGCAAAAAGCATCTGTGAAATAAAAATCATTCTTTCCATTAAAGCAGGGAAGAATTCCCATTTGCAAAATTTATTAGTTCTCAAAACATACTTTACAAATTTCTCAAAGTACTAAAGGAAGGAGGGAGATAACGTTGCCCCTCAGCACTCATATTTGTGAAGGTTATTTATGATGCTTATGGGACTTTCTGTAAAATATTAATTATTGCAAATGAGCAAAACAAAAGCAAATTCATTAAATAAGAGTTCAGTACCTTTTCAATGCTAAAGGTGACCTTTTCATTGCAGAGGCTCTACACAGATAAATGGAACAAAGAGAAGACCACCATCCACGTTATGCCAGATACCCCAGAAATCCTGCAGTGTAAAGTGAACCAGCTCACAATGAGTGATGTGAGTTCCTGTGCTCATGCTGGGCACTGAGTGTCATTTTAATGTCTTTTGAAAAACTGTTTAATTTCAGATGTAGGACACTTCAGTAGTTCTGCCTTTGTAATGCTTGTTCTCTTTTATATTTGGAACTAGAAACTCTACAGAGCTGGCTGGGAGGAGGACAAGAAGAAGGGCTATGACCTGCAGCCTGATGCCATCCCGATCAAAGCTGCCAAAACCTCCCGAGACATCGCCAGCGATGTGAGTTGGGTGATGCCATTCACTGGAATTCAGTTCAAATGGCCAGACCTGAGGTCCTGGGATGTTTTCAGTGGTAAGACTGAGCTTAACAGTGCAGTTTGGAATTGAAGTCTTTGCTGTTGTTCCTCAGTACAAGTACAAACTGGCCTACGAGAAAGCCAAGGGGAAGCACATCGGGTTCCGCAGCCTCGAGGACGACCCCAAGCTGGTGCACTTCATGCAGGTGGCCAAGATGCAGTCGGATCGGGAATACAAGAAGGATTATGAGAAGGCCAAGACCAGTTTCCATACCCCAGTGGACATGGTCAGTGTGGTGGCAGCCAAGAAAGCCCAGGAAGTGGCTACCAATGCCAACTACAAAAACCTGATCCACACCTACAACGTCCTGCCCGATGCCATGAGCGTCGAGTTGGCCAAAAACATGATGCAGCTGCAAAGTGATGTGAGTAAGAGGGTCTTCAACCTTTGCATTGCAAACACAGCCATGCTTCAGTCATGAAAGAACACTGTGAGATTAGATAGATTTATAATCCAATATGTATTATGATAGTGGATTAACAGTAGGTTGGGATGTGACCGGTCTGGAACCATTATTTTCCAAAGATTATCAGAATTATGTGTAGCTGGGAAGGTCTAGGGAACCTGACTAGCAGGGAACAACTAAAATAAATATTAAGATAAATAATTCTATTTTCTTAGTTGAATTAGTTCAGTTTATATACTAAAAGGTAGTAAATTAAATGAGTTCTTCAATTATAGCTGTTTTGTTTTTTCCAGACTCTGAAATATGAAATTGCACCTATTGCTAAAGCATTTCAGCTCAAAAATAAGTAATTTTATGAAAGTAAAATGGATATTTACTCCTTACAGGTCCCACCAGCCTCTTCAGGAGCAATAGTTGTGTGCTGGCCAACACAGGAAAAGCCTAATTTCTCATTAATAGCTTTTATCTTGTGCTTCCAAAGTTTACAAACAGGAAGAAATATCAGGATTTACAGATTTTTTTTATGTGTGGGGGGGGTGTTTTTTCTTTCTGCCTCCAGAATCAATACAAAGCAGAGTATGATGAAACCATGAAGGGGGTAGGGTGGCTCCCACTGGGCTCCCTGGAAGCTGAGAAGAACAAAAAAGCCATGGAGATTGTCAGTGAGAAGAAATATCGGCAGCACCCGGACAAGCTGAAATATTCTGTTCCCATGGACTCCATGAGCATGGTCTTGGCTTTAAATAATGCCAAAATCATGGATGAGGTGAGAAAGGAATCAGCAAAATTCATTTAGGTTTGCAGAAGTAAGAAACAAACTCCACCTGATGTAAGAGTCAATCTTATTGTAGGCACAATTTTAGAAACCATCAATTTTTTTGCAGTTAATGAGGATATTTTAAGTGCTAAAATAAAGAGAAAAATTATTAGGATAAATGTTAATAATAAAATAAAAAATATAAAAGGTAAGGATAAGAAGATAAAAATAAATAAGAGATATTTAGTATCACCTCAGTGTCAAGGTGAGGTGACATTTCAAATATTTCAAATAGGTAATAGCCTTTTAAACTGTTTTATTTAATAAATAGAGATGCTGACATCCTTTTTTTTAAATCCTTCCAGCACAAGTACAAACAAGCCTGGGAAGAAGACAAAAAGAAAATTCACATCACCCCAGATATTCCTCAGATTGTTCTGGCAAAAGCAAATGCATTTAACATAAGTGAAGTGAGTACTGTTTGTAAGGCTCTGACCTTGCTTTTAATTTTTTATTAGGAATAGGTGAGATGACAGCAAGAATAAGTCTCTCTAATTCTCACCTTGCTAAAATTTAATTATTTCCCAAAAAGTTATTAATTTTACTTTTCCCTGCTGCCTTCCCCAAAATTAAATACCAAAAGTAGCCAGGTAAAACCCATATTATTTATAGTCAGATGATGAAATGTTCAGGTAGGTCATTAAAATATAACATTTGCTAACAGGATAGTACAGTTTGAGTACTATTCATGTTTGTTAATGCATTTATTATTTATTGTTTTATTTCCCCATGCACAAGGTTTTGTACTGGACTGGACATTCTTGCAGATTGGACCTGTTCTTTTGGTAACAGGTGAAATTATAGACAGGTTTTGGTAGCCAGTTGTTAAATCTGCATCTGCTAAATAAAATATTGCTTGTAATTGTGTATTTAATGTGGGCAGAAAGAGACATATTTGTGTCTTTTGTTTGTTTGTTTTTTTTTTTTTTAGTCTGACATCCTAATAGATATAACTTTTCCCCAATATTTGTCCATGTGGAAAACATGCAATTTTTTTGCTTTTTTAAAGATGATTCTCCTTCTTTTGGCAGAAAATGTACAGATCTTCATTTGAAGAATCCAGGAAGAAAGGATACGACCTCAGAGTTGATGCCATCCCTATTAAAGCTGCCAAAGCTTCCAGGGAAATTGCCAGTGATGTAAGTTCTTTAAAATCAAAAATGATCCATTTTAGGTGTTGTAAAGAGTTCAATTCTTGACACAATTCAATTTTAGATGCCAAATATATGAAGTCTCTTTATTCTCTGGCTTGTAAATAATTCTGAGGTGTTTGATATATATTGCAATACATTGTAATAAATATTGTAATACATTTTAATATACATTGTAACATATTTTAAGAAAGTGGTTTAAATACCCTGCTTTTGAAGGCACCCCAGACATCTGGTTTGCTTTAGAGTGCACCCTAAGAGTAAGAGGACAAAGCCACCACCTCTATATGCTTTGTGATGTTTTAACTATGCCAAAATCTTATTTTAATCTGAGGGGAGGGGTATTTTCCTTATAAAATAGATATTCCTTAGGAAGCAAATGAATCATAGAATCATGGAATGGCCTGGTTGGCCGGGACATTAAGGATCATCCAGTTCCAACCCCAACACATTCCACTATCCCAGGCTGCTCCAAGCCCCTGTCCAACCTGGCCTTAGACATTCCAGGGATCCAAGGGCAGCCACAGCTTCTCTGGGCAACCTGTGCCAGGGCCTCCCCACCCTCCCAGCCAAGAATTCCTTCCTAATGTCCAATCTAAACAAACTGAAGCCTCTGTTTCTGTTCTCCTACAGTACAAATACAAATTAGGTTATGAAAAAGACAAGGGCAAACTGGTGGGCTTCCGCAGCCTCCAGGATGATCCATTGCTTGTGCATTACATGCAAGTGGCCAAGATGCAGTCAGACAGGGAGTACAAGAAGGCCTATGAGATGGGCAAGACCCAGTACCAGACTCCCAGTGATGCCCTCAGCGTGGTGGCAGCCAAGGAGGCCCAAGGCCGTGTGACCAACACCAACTACAAGCGCCTGATCCACCAGTACATGCTCCTGCCAGATGCCATGAGCCTGGAGCTCTACAGAAACATGAACCAGATACAGAGTGATGTAAGTTTCTGTTTTAATTCTTGGGGCTTTTGTCCTGTTCTTACATCACAACTGTCTTTTGGATGGTTTTGTGTGAGCTGTTGCACAGAATCAAGGAATATCCAGAGTTGGAAGGGACCCAACAAGGGTCATCGAGTCCAGCTCCTGGCCCTGCACAGGCCTGTCCCCAGGAGTCCCACCATGTGCCTGAGAGGGAATTGTAACCTTTCCTTTTGTGTTCTCTTGGCAGAATGAGTACAAGCAGGATTACAAGGAGTGGTTCAGGGGCATTGGGTGGAGTCCTGTTGGTTCCCTGGATGTGGAGAAATCCAAGAAAGCCACGGAGATTGCGAGCGATCAGAAGTACCGCCAGCATCCCAGCCAGTTCTCCTTCACCAAACCCAGTGATGCCATGGACTTGGTCCTTGCAAAGCAGAATGCAAATATCATGAACAAAGTGAGTATTTATGGGGGAAATTGGGCAAATATTCACATAGAATCCATGTGTTCTAACAGTCTCTAAGTCTCTGTCACCACCTTTATGGAGCAGCATTTCACTGGGAAAAACAACTGTCACAGGCTCCTCTTTCTTCATTTTGTTTCTTAGTGAAACAGTTATTGATAAATAGCATTGTTGAAAAATCTTTTCTCGCTTTTCTCCAAGCTCTATTCTTCCCATTCTTATATAAAAATTACTGGTCCTGAAAATCTTGATAGTTGGACTGCATTGGAAGCAAGACTGGATAATAATTCAGCTGATTCTGGATTAGGTCATAACATAGTAAAATAAATCTAAGCCAGCACATGTCTTTTTACCCCTCAGTACACAAAGTGCACAAATGGTAAGGTGAAAACCCCTAAAGAACCATCTTTTGTCATTTATATTAACATTTGTGATGTACTTTTTATCCACAGCATGCTTATACTCAAGCCTGGGAGAAGGATAAAACTCAGGTCCATGTGATGCCAGATACACCAGATATTCTCCAGGCAAAACAGAACAAGACAAACTACAGTCAGGTAGAGTTTTTTAATTCTTCCTATTAACATTTTAAATTAATACCTGCTGGGGGTTTAGAACAGAGGCAAGAGTTTTTATGTGAGTAATATTTTAAGAGTAACATTAGGTACCAGCTTCAGACTACAAACTAACAGACTAAATTGCATTATAATGTATGGAAAATGTAAATCCTGTTTTGGAAATCTGGAATTGCATAAACCACACTCTGTGCTTAACATAAAATCAGTTAAAAATTCCTTACTGTAAAATTACAGTTAATTGTAATTGTAAAATAAAGTTAATTGTGTGTATTTTTAACCTTGGGGAAAAGAAATAGATGCAGTGATTCCCTCTTTTCTGTCAGCTTTCAAATAGGAGAAAGTGACAATTGTACCAGAAAAAAATCCTCAGGTTTTGCTTTTCTTCATTGCTCAGAGGGAAATCTTAGACTTGCAAGTGCCTGTCCTTAAAATCCACTGTGCACAGACTTACTTGACTATGGAATGGCTGCACGAAACCCTTACAAATTACAATTTTGTTAAGCCAATTGGACAGTTATCCCAGGTGTATATGTTTCAAATTCCCCAAGATAAGCTCTAGTAGGAAGCTGCTGCAATGGCAAAAAACTATTTAATGCCTACCCTAAACCTTGGAAGAGCAGTATTCCTTGTTTATCAGTTTCCCACTTCTCAGTCCCTATTCTAGCAACCCTTCCATTGTAAGTGAAGCCTGTGAAGTGACCAGAATTTGGTAATATGGATCATTAGTGTACCTAAATAGAAGGTGACATTCATATTACTAAGACTTTTTTAATTCCTGTTGTTTTCAATTTTAGAAACTCTACAAGCTGGGCTGGCAGGAAATGCTAAAGAAAGGCTATGACCTCACACCTGAAGCCATGTCAGTGAAAGCTGCCAAAGCTTCAAGGGACATTGCAAGTGATGTAAGCAGCATTTCTGACTCTGACACACACCTGATGTAGTTGCTATAACCTACAGTCACACTGGATTGAGACACACCTCTCTCTAAGGTGTGGCTTGGAGTCCACACCAAAATTGCTGACAAAAAACTCCTTCCTGGTCTGTTCTTGTCGGTGCAGAAAACAATTTAACAGGGGTTTCTCTGGCATCTTAACAAGTGCAAAGTTTGTGGTCCATCCATGGAGTTGTTAGTGATACAAAGTGAGGAGCTGTCTGCTCTTTTGGATGTTTCCTTTTCAAAGCAGCAGCAAATTTGGCCCAATTAGCTGGGCCACAGAGAAATCCTCCTCCCAGCTCTGAAACACATGTGGTGACACACGTGCTGCTGTTACCATAACTTGGCATGAGTGCAGCTCCTGCACTTGTGCAAGAGATTTTATTAATCATTAGGAAATGTTTCCAGTGCTTAAGCATCTGCATTTTTCATTGTTGATGATGTTATTCACCAAAGTATTTCAGTGTGTCAATCTTAGGAATTCTGAGCATTCAGTGACTGTGAATCAGTTGGCACAGGAGACCTTCTAGCTATGCCCTCTTCCTCTCCTGGGAGAGCATTCACTGTCACCAAGTGGTGCCCTTTGATCAAGTGGCTACTAAAACTACCTGAAATGCCATAACAAGTTACTTTTTTGTAGAGTTATAAAGTCACAGAATGGGGTGGAAGGGATGTTAAAGTTCATCCTGTTCCAGCCCCTGCCATGGACAGGGACACCTTTCACTAGACCAGGTTGCTCCAAACCCCATCCAACCTGGCCTTGGACACTTCCAGGAGTAATTAATTGGTAATGGCAATTGAATGAGAGAATTTGTTGCTGTTTTACCCTTGTGATTTGATGATCAATCCCTCTCATTGCAGTTCAAGTACAAGGAAGGTTACCGCAAGCAGCAGGGACACCACATCGGGTTCCGCAGCCTGCAGGATGATCCCAAGATGTTGTGGTCCATGCAAGTAGCTAAAATGCAGAGTGACAGGGAGTACAAGAAAGATTTTGAGAAGTGGAAGACCAAGTTTAACATGCCTGTGGATATGTTAGGCTTCCTCCTGGCTAAGAAGTGTCAGGAACTGGTCAGTGATATCGACTACAAACGGATCCTGCACCGCTGGACTTGTCTGCCAGACCAGGTTGATGTCACCGAGGCCAAGAGGGTCAATGAACTGCAGAGTGATGTAAGCTTCCTCTGAGTTTAATTCACTTATTTTCCTGTAAAATAATTACTGCTTTTTGGAAAAATATCTTTGGTAACTCTGATGTCAGTATAGATCAGACTGAAGCTAAAATACCAGTTAGTCTTTTCATCAATGAACAGTGAAATAATCTGTTGTGGCTTTGGTTTTCATCCTTAACAGAATTTGTATAAGTCAGATCTGCAATGGCTCAGGGGCATTGGATGGAGTCCTCTGGGATCTCTGGAAGCTGAGAAGAACAAGAAAGCTTCTGAAATCCTGAGTGAGAAGAAGTACAGGCAGCACCCAGACACCATCAAGTTCACGAGTATCCCAGATGCCATGGATATCGTTTTGGCCAAGTCTAATGCCAAAAACAGAAGTGATGTGAGTTGCCTCTAGAGACAGAATGTGGGATTCAATGAATACTTACATTAATAGACATTTTTAAATGATCTCCATATCAAAACATGTGCTTAAAATATACAAATAGCAGATATTTACAGTCAGTGCCACCCTGCTCGTTGCCACCGTGCCTTGTTCAGATCAAGGTTTTAGTGCTGAATAACTTACCCAGTAATAGCTACAAACAAGACCTTTTCTAGGTAGTATGTAGATATATTGCCTTAATGCTGTTGTCTTGGCATTACATGGATGTAAAGAAGAAAAAATAGGTTGTATTTCACCAAGAAGTCTTTGTGTTATTTGATTTTAATCTCCTGTGTTGTTTACATCCCTAATTCTTGCATAGTACAGCTTTGCTTTGCTATTGCAGGGAAAAGATAAACTGAAATTAGTCTTCCAAGGGGAATCTTGGATCAGACAAGGTTTTTGTTTGATCTTTCAGATCCTCTACAGAGAAGCTTGGAACAAGGACAAGACTCAGATTCACATCATGCCTGATACTCCTGAAATTTTGTTGGCTAAGTCAAACTTGATTAACACAAGTGATGTAAGTGTGTCTCTACAATGTTTCCTTGCTGGAATTATGATTGTGCCTTTAGTTTACAAAGCAATCAAGTCATTCTGCAATTCTAACAGCTATAAACACACCTGGGGTCTTTCCTGAGAAAACTTATGTACTGGGAAGACTGAGGGGGAACTGCTGAATTATAAAGTGGAAGTGAAGTTGCCAGAACATAAAAAAATACTAGGAAAATATCCAACATGTTACCAGTTTTCTCTTTGATCCCCACTCATCATGTTAATATTGTAGATATTCAGTACATTTTAGTAAGTCTGTCATTCCTGTGGAAATGTCTGATTATATTAAATTGCCTCTTTAGAATTGCATAAGATTCTGTAATTCACATAAAAATCTTGGCTACAAAGGAAGAAACACAGACTATATGCAAAGGTAAAGAAATATCAAGAGCTCTATCATGAGAACTCAGGAAAACAAAAATAACTGCATTGGAAATTGGGTGTAGAGAATCATGGGGCTCTACTATTCACCTCTGTGAGTCATTCAGATTAATATATTTAGTAGAAGGAAATTTTGATCTTGAATGAGGTATCAGAAAACATTCAGATAATAATTTTTATATATATAATCAGTTACAAAATACATGTAATTAATGGCAAGGTATGGAATTTAATTTGATCAAGCTGTGTTTGGAAACCCAAGCTTTATTTTCAATAGTCGGGGTGTAAAGTTGCACTGTTCAAAAACTCTGTGGAAAAATATCCTTGCAATGATTCCTTTGAATCCTTTTCCAACAGAAACGTTACAAGGTGGGATATGAAGAGCTGAAGAAGAAGGGCTATGACCTTCCTCCTGATGCCATCCCTCTCCAGGCAGCAAAGGCATCCAGGGACATTGCCAGTGAGGTAAGACTTATAGGAAAAATAATAGTGGGGCATTGAGGGGGGATATACTTTTGGATTAACATGTTTTATGTTTAAAAGGAGGAGAGGTCTAAAATTTTACCACACTTATTTTGCTACCCTCCTCCAAGGCCTTGTAATCCTTAATGGTGTAAAGTTAATTAAATTAAATACAATAATTTAAAATGTCATAATATATAACTGTAAAAGATCCCATAATATTTGAGGGACCTTATATAAAATGCTAAAAATGTTGGGGAAATAAACAAGAAAATGAGCATTTATTAGATGCAAAGTGATTAACCACAATATTAACAACAGAGAAATTAAAACTGCAGCTTGAAAAGAGGTGGTAATTGTTATTTCTACCTTCCACCAGTACAAATACAAAACTGCCTACAGAAAGCAGCTGGGCCACCACATCGGGGCCCGCAACATCGAGGACGACCCCAAGATGGTGTGGTCGATGCACGTGGCCAAGATCCAGAGTGACAGGGAGTACAAGAAGGACTTTGAGAAGTCCAAGACAAACTTCAGCACCCCTGTGGACATGCTGGGGATCGTGTTGGCCAAGAAGTGCCAGGAGCTGGTGAGCGACGCCGATTACCGGCACCCCCTGCACCGCTGGACCTGCCTGCCCGACCAGAACGACGTCGTCCATGCCAAGACAGTGTATGACCTGCAGAGTGATGTGAGTGCTTCTTTCCTGGCCCAGAAATGTCTCTTGTGTTCCCTTCCATTGTTGGAGGAGCGGTCTATGTGTCAGGGCAAGGGCAGCAGAGTCAAATATTTGCTTTTGGAGGACCAGCAGAATGCAAAGACAAGTGCAGTGTGCAGTGGTGAATGGAATGAAGGGTCTTAGGAGATGGAATCAAAGGCTCCTCCCATGCTTTCACCAGCTGCAATTTGCCAAATGGGACAGGTCTTTGCTGGGGATACTGAGAAGATGGAGAGGGAATGTATGTGGATTTCCTGAGAACTGCCTGTTCTGTTGCAGCAGTGGGAAGCTGAGTTTAACAAAAGTCCCTTTCCTGGTGGCTGGTTGGTGGGTTGGCCCAGGGCAATGTGTTCTGTTCAGCAGAGCTTCTTGGGTAAGAGAAGTGCTAGAATGGAGTGAGGAAGGTGCTGAGCTGGTTTGTGTCCCTACCTGTCCTTGCAGAACGTGTACAAGTCCGACCTGCAGTGGCTGAAGGGCATTGGCTGGTCCCCAATTGGATCTCTGGACGTAGAGAAGAACAAGAGGGCGAGTGAGATCCTGAGTGACAAGAAGTATCGTCAGCACCCGGGCACCATCAAATTCACGAGCCTTCCTGACTCCATGCCCATGGTTCTGGCCAAGCACAACTCTCAAATCATGGACCAAGTGAGATTACTTTGTGTTTGCATTCTGAAGGGAAAGAGTGCCTTCCTCCAGCACAGGGGGGCATCCTCTTGGCTCAGGAGTTTGAGTTCCTTGTTTGAGATGCAATTGCGTTTTGTGTGTTTGGAGCAGGAATGGGGTGCAGTGTGGAAAAGAAAAGGGTGAAGCACTAGAGAGGTTTGGGGCAAGAGAAGATGTTCCTGAGTCAGGGCAACGCTTACTTTGTTTGCTTGAGCTGATGTGCTGTTTGGGTTTGTGGCCATGTGTGTGTGTGTGCTCCAATTTGCCGTTGTCCTCCTTTGCCAGCGCTCGTACACGTCAGCCTGGGAGAAGGACAAGACGAAGATCCACATCATGCCGGACACGCCTGGGATCCTGCTGGCCCAGCAGAACAAAGTGAACTTCAGCGAGGTGGGTGGGTGGTGTGGGGGCAGTGTGCCCGTGGGGGGCTGCTGTGTGTGGGGCACAGTGTTGTTGGAGGGCACTGGTGGTGTGTCTTGCAGAAACTGTACAGGCTGGCGATGGAGGAGGAGAAGAAGAAGGGCTACGACCTGCGGGCAGATGCCATTCCCATCAAGTCTGCCAAAGCTTCCCGGGACATCGCCAGCGATGTGAGTGCACGGGAGCCCTCGTGGCACACGCTGTCGGACGGTGCTGGGGTTGGCAGATGTTGCCCAGGGTTTGAAGGCTGGGCCAAAAGGAGGCAATGCAACCCTTACCTGTCATTGCCATCCAACTGGTGCATAAACTGTTTAATTCTGAACTGTCCACCTGTAGCTGTCCCTGCATATTTTGGGTGTGCAGTGTTATGTGGGAAGGCCCAGATGATGGGCAAGAGTAACTGTGAGGGCTGGGTGATGACCATAGCCCAAAGCACTGCTCCTCCTGGTCTTGTGGCCCAGACTTCTCGTGCAACAGCCTGGGGTTTTGCAGTGTTGTGCTGCTCTCAGCACTGCCAGTCTGCACAGCCCTGATGCTGCAGCTACACAGCTGAGCTAGGCATCAGTTAAAAAACCCAAAGCAAGTTTCTGTTTAAAAATTACGGCCACGTAAAGATATATAATTTTTTGTTACTATTAGTTATTAATGCAAAATTGCACTCCTGTACGTGTTTGCTGCCTCTATTTAATCTTCCAAGTCAGTCTCTGTCGTTCTGGCTTTTGTGCCCCAAGAGTTTGAATAGGAGTTGATTTGGCTATTTTGCTTGAAGAAGAGTAAATGATTCTTTATGTAAGGGGTATTTATTGAACTTTGATCTCGTTATCTCTTCCATGCACGTGGCCTTAAATGAGTATCCAGAGTGACAGGGAGCTACTGAAGAAAGCTGCTGCTTGAGAAGTACCAAGACAAACTTCAGCACCCCTGTGGACATGCTGGGGATTGTGTTGGCCAAGAAGTGCCAGGGTTTGGTCAGTGATGCCGATTACCGGCACTACCTGCACCAGTGGATCTGCCTGCCCGACCAGAACGACGTCGTCCATGCCAAGACAGTGTATGACCTGCAGAGTGATGTGAGTGCTTCTTTGGTGACTGTGGGACAGCCAGAAGTGTCTCTTGTGTTCTCTTCCATTGTTGGAGGAGGGGTCTGTGTGTCAGGGCAAGGTCAGCAAACTCAAATATTTGCTTTTGGAGGGCAAAGAGTTGGATAAGGCAAGTGCAGTGTGCAGTGGTGAATGGAATCAAGAGCCTTAGGAGATGGGTATAACCACTTAATGGGTGGTGGGTTGGCCATGGGGAATGTGTTCTGTTCAGCAGAGCTTCCTTGGGTAGAAGTGCTGAAATGGAGTGAGGAGGGTGCTGAGCAGGTTTGTGTCCTTGCCTATCCTTGCAGAACGTGTACAAGTCCGACCTGCAGTGGCTGAAGGGCATTGGCTGGTCCCCAATTGGATCTCTGGATGCAGAGAAGAACAAGAGGGCGAGCGAGATCCTGAGTGACAAGAAGTATCGTCAGCACCCGGGCACCATCAAATTCACGAGCCTTCCTGACTCCATGCCCATGGTTCTGGCCAAGCACAACTCTCAAATCATGGACCAAGTGAGATTGCTTTGTGTTTGCATCCTAAAGTAAATAAGCACCTGCCACTCCCAGGCCCCCTTCTGGCACCTGGATTCTGCAAGGGGGGATATTGCACCCTCTTGCCTCAAGGATTTGAGTTCCTTGTTTGAGATGAAATTGTGTTTTGTGTGTTTGGAGCAGGAATGGGGTGCAGTGTGGAAAAGAAAAGGGTGAAGCACTAGAGAGGTTTGGAGCAAGAGAAGATGTTCCTGAGTCAGGGCAAAGCAGAGGGCCCTTGTTTTGTTTGCTTGAGCTGATGTGCTGTTTGGGTTTGTGGCCATGTGTGTGTGTGTGCTCCAATTTGCCGTTGTCCTCCTTTGCCAGCGCTCGTACACGTCAGCCTGGGAGAAGGACAAGACGAAGATCCACATCATGCCGGACACGCCTGGGATCCTGCTGGCCCAGCAGAACAAAGTGAACTTCAGCGAGGTGGGTGGGTGGTGTGGGGGCAGTGTGCCCGTGGGGGGCTGCTGTGTGTGGGGCACAGTGTTGTTGGAGGGCACTGGTGGTGTGTCTTGCAGAAACTGTACAAGCTGGCGATGGAGGAGGAGAAGAAGAAGGGCTACGACCTGCGGGCAGATGCCATTCCCATCAAGTCTGCCAAAGCTTCCCGGGACATCGCCAGCGATGTGAGTGCACGGGAGCCCTCGTGGAACGCGCTGTCGGACGGTGCTGGGGTTGGCAGATGTTGCCCAGGACTTGTGGGCTGAGTCAAATGGAGGCAATGCAGCCCTTACCAGTTATTGCCATCCAGCTGATCCATAAATATTTTGGTTGGGAACTGTCCACCTGTAGCTGTCCCTGCATGTTTTGGGTGTGCAGTATTTGAGGGAGTGAGTAGGCTGTGGAGAGTGTGATTGTGGGAACTAGGTGATGGTCATGGCCCAGAACAGGATTCCTTGGACAACATCACCTTGTGCAGCAGCCTGGGGTTTGAACTGTTGTGCTGCTCTCAGTACTGCCAGTCTGCACAGCCCTGATGCTGCAGATACACAGCACATGCTGACATGAGAGAAGAAAACCGAAATCAAGTTTTGTTTTAAGCCCAGGGCATTTGACTTCTCTGTTTGGGCTGGGGGTAGGTCACTATAGGTCAATCATCACTGTACCCCAGAGTATCTTTTTATCTCTCAGCTCTCCAGGAGCTGAATTTAGTCTCTCATATGAGATTCTACATTGCAAGTGTGTTCCCTTACTGTAAGGAGATGAGTTGCATCTGTCCTCAGCCTTGACATTTCAGTAAGAGATGGGGGAATACATGTCCTGTTGCCCCACAGTCACTTCCTAAGCTGAGTGGCTGTGGGGCTGCAGCTGAGCACACACACAGGGCTGGGAAAATAAGACTCCCGAGCACTGTGCAGGAGATCCTGGTGCAGTGGAGTGTGTCAGCTGCTGTGGGGCTGAGGGCAGGCAGGGCTGTGCAGGATGAGGCCAAGGCTGCCTCATGAACAAGTGTGGTGGTTTTCAGGCTCCACTAGTGAAGCACTCGCTCACAGGAGCTGCTACAGGGTAATGGCAGAAGGGAGAACAACTGTCCTGAAACTCACTGAGCCCCTTTTCCTGCAGTACAAGTACAAGGAAGGGTATCGGAAGCAGCTGGGCCACCACATCGGGGCCCGCAACATCGAGGACGACCCCAAGATGGTGTGGTCAATGCACGTGGCCAAGATCCAGAGTGACAGGGAGTACAAGAAAGCCTTTGAGAAGTCCAAGACACACTTCAGCAGCCCTGTGGACATGCTGGGGATCGTGTTGGCCAAGAAGTGCCAGGGGCTGGTGAGCGACGCCGATTACCGGCACCCCCTGCACCGCTGGACCTGCCTGCCCGACCAGAACGACGTCGTCCATGCCAAGACAGTGTATGACCTGCAGAGTGATGTGAGTGCTTCTTTGGTGACTGTGGGACAGCCAGAAGTGTCTCTTGTGCTCTCTTCCATTGTTGGAGGAGGGGTCCAGGTGGGGAGCATAACTCTAGGCCTATGGTGAGGGACTGAGATTGTGTTTTGACAGTACCACTGTGACGAGTTCTTGTCGTAAACACTCAGGGATGAAATTTTTGTGGCATAGTATTTTGTGGTCACAGGAAAGTCCTGTCTTGCCTTGAACATTTTGGAAGCAGAGTTGAAACCACAGACTAGAATTCAGTAAGGCAGGGGATGGGCAACAGAGTCAAATATTAGCTTTGGGAGGGCTAATAGGGGGAAAATGTAAATGATGTGTGCAGTGGTGAATGGTATAAAGGGACTTAGGAGGGGAGGTATGAGACTCCTCCCATGCCACTGCCAGCTGCAGATTGCCAAATGGGACAGGTTTTTGTCAGGGATATTAAGAAGGTGGAGAGTAAGGGCTTCTGGATTGCGTGACAGCTACTTAAGCTGTTGAAAGAGTGGGGAGCCAAGTTGTGAGGAACTGAGCTTAAAGGAGTCCCTTTCCTGGTGGGTGCTTGGTGGTTTAGCCCAGGGGAATGTGTTCTGTTCAACAGAGCTTCCTTTGGGAGGATGAGTGTTTGAATGGAGTGAGGAAGGTGCTGAGCTGGTTTGTGTCATTGCCTGTCCTTGCAGAACGTGTACAAGTCCGACCTGCAGTGGCTGAAGGGCATTGGCTGGTCCCCAATTGGATCTCTGGACGTAGAGAAGAACAAGAGGGCGAGTGAGATCCTGAGTGACAAGAAGTATCGTCAGCACCCGGGCACCATCAAATTCACGAGCCTTCCTGACTCCATGCCCATGGTTCTGGCCAAGCACAACTCTCAAATCATGGACCAAGTGAGATTGCTTTGTGTTTGCATTCTGAAGGGAAAGAGTGCCTTCCTCCAGCACAGGGGGGCATCCTCTTGGCTCAGGGATTTGAGTTCCTTGTTTGAGATGAAATTGTGTTTTGTGTGTTTGGAGCAGGAATGGGGTGCAGTGTGGAAAAGAAAAGGGTGAAGCACTAGAGAGGTTTGGGGCAAGAGAAGATGTTCCTGAGTCAGGGCAACGCTTACTTTGTTTGCTTGAGCTGATGTGCTGTTTGGGTTTGTGGCCATGTGTGTGTGTGTGCTCCAATTTGCCGTTGTCCTCCTTTGCCAGCGCTCGTACACGTCAGCCTGGGAGAAGGACAAGACGAAGATCCACATCATGCCGGACACGCCTGGGATCCTGCTGGCCCAGCAGAACAAAGTGAACTTCAGCGAGGTGGGTGGGTGGTGTGGGGGCAGTGTGCCCGTGGGGGGCTGCTGTGTGTGGGGCACAGTGTTGTTGGAGGGCACTGGTGGTGTGTCTTGCAGAAACTGTACAAGCTGGCGATGGAGGAGGAGAAGAAGAAGGGCTACGACCTGCGGGCAGATGCCATTCCCATCAAGTCTGCCAAAGCTTCCCGGGACATCGCCAGTGATGTGAGTGCATGGGAGCCCTTGCAGGCTCCAGCTGTGCCTTGGGTCTCCTCATCCCTTCCCTGGAATCCCAGGCCTTAGTTCTATAATCTCCCCAGATGTGTATCCCTTCCTCCACTGCTAGTGCATTTTGTTTTGGTTTTGCATTTTAGTTTAGCTAAGAAGTCTCAGCCAAGGTGGCCTCCCCCCTCCCCTGCCGGAATTCCAGCATGTTGCAATTGAGAGCTCTCGTGTCCCAAGAAAAATGTTTTTAAATACCTTCATCTGTAAGGGCAATTTTCCAAGAGACCCCAGGTGCCTTAACCAGCTGAACATTTGCCTTGCTGAGGTTTAAGGGTACTGGCTTTACGTTTTACCTTTCCCAATCTTGCCCCTCAAGATTGAGAAATGCAGGGCATGATTGTCCAGCCCAGGCTACCTCCAGTCTTCACCTCCTCCATAAGTTCTTCCCTGTTAGTGACAAAAGGTCCAGTAGTACCTCTCCTGTGCTCAGGACTCCATCACCTCTCCTAGGAATGTGTCCCCAACACACTCCAGCAGATGTCAGAGCAATTTAGGTCCCCAATCAGGGTCAGGGCCTGTGAGTGTGATGCTTCCTGCAGTTGAAGGAAGAATTCATACTCAGCATGCTCTCCTTTCCCAGTGTTCTGTACTACAGCAAATTTGTTTGCTTGGTCTCACCCATACGATCTCAAGAGTCTTTGCTTAAAAAGTGGGCCTTGTCCCTTCCCAAGCTGAGTGGCTGTGGGCCTGCAGATTAGGACAGACACCAGGCTGGAATCACAGGATTCCTGAGCACTGTGGAGACCTCCATGTGCCTATAGGGGGTCAGCATAGGTGTGGGATGGGAGGGAAGTATAGGACACAGTAGGGATATCCTGTACTTAGGTGCCTGTTCATGTAGTGGTGTTACTGGGCTCCACTAGTGAAGCACTCACTCACAGGAGCTGCTACAGGGTAATGGCAGGAGGGAGAACAACTGTCCTGAAACTCACTGAGCCCCTTTTCCTGCAGTACAAGTACAAGGAAGGGTATCGGAAGCAGCTGGGCCACCACATCGGGGCCCGCAACATCGAGGACGACCCCAAGATGGTGTGGTCGATGCACGTGGCCAAGATCCAGAGTGACAGGGAATACAAGAAAGCCTTTGAGAAGTCCAAGACAAACTTCAGCAGCCCTGTGGACATGCTGGGGATCGTGTTGGCCAAGAAGTGCCAGGGGCTGGTGAGCGACATCGACTACCGGCGCTACCTGCACCAGTGGATCTGCCTGCCCGACCAGAACGACGTCGTCCATGCCAAGACAGTGTATGACCTGCAGAGTGATGTGAGTGCTTCTTTCCTGGCCCAGAAATGTCTCTTGTGTTCTCTTCCATTGTTGGAGGAGCGGTCTGTGTGTCAGGGCAAGGGCAGCAGAGTCAAATATTTGCTTTTGGAGGACCAGCAGAGTGCAAAGGCAAGTGCAGTGTGCAGTGGTGAATGCAATGAAGAGTCTTAGGAGATGGGACCAAAGTCTCCTCTCATGCCTCCATGAGCTGTGATTTGCCAAATGGGACAGGTCTTTGCTGGAGAGACTAAAAGACTCTGGAGGGGGATGGTTCATGGGGTGCTTGAGAGCTGCCTGTTCTGTTGCAGGAGTGGGGAGCCAGGTTTTGGGAGCTGAGATTAGTGGGAGTCTCTTGTGGGACTGGTTGGTGCGTTGATCCCGTGGAATGTGTTCCGATTAGCAGGGCTTACTTTGGGAAGTAAGAGTGTTTGAATGGAGTGAGGAAGGTGCTGAGCTGGTTTGTGTCCCTGCCTGTCCTTGCAGAACGTGTACAAGTCCGACCTGCAGTGGCTGAAGGGCATTGGCTGGTCCCCAATTGGATCTCTGGATGCAGAGAAGAACAAGAGGGCGAGTGAGATCCTGAGTGACAAGAAGTATCGTCAGCACCCGGGCACCATCAAATTCACGAGCCTTCCTGACTCCATGCCCATGGTTCTGGCCAAGCACAACTCTCAAATCATGGACCAAGTGAGATTGCTTTGTGTTTGCATCCTAAAGTAAATGAGCATCTTCCTTTCTTAGGACATGGGGCTCTGTCCTTCCAGGGTTCAGGATCTGCAAGGGGGATGTTGCACCCTCTTGCCTTGTTTGAGATGAAATTGTGTTTTGTGTGTTTGGAGCAGGAATGGGGTGCAGTGTGGAAAAGAAAAGGGTGAAGCACTAGAAAGGTTTGGGGCAAGAGAAGATGTTCCTGAGTCAGGGCAAAGCAGAGGGCCCTTGTTTTGTTTGCTTGAGCTGATGTGCTGTTTGGGTTTGTGGCCGTGTGTGTGTGTGTGCTCCAATTTGCTGTTGTCCTCCTTTGCCAGCGCTCGTACACGTCAGCCTGGGAGAAGGACAAGACGAAGATCCACATCATGCCGGACACGCCTGGGATCCTGCTGGCCCAGCAGAACAAAGTGAACTTCAGCGAGGTGGGTGGGTGGTGTGGGGGCAGTGTGCCCGTGGGGGGCTGCTGTGTGTGTGGCACAGTGTTGTTGGAGGGCACTGGTGGTGTGTCTTGCAGAAACTGTACAAGCTGGCGATGGAGGAGGAGAAGAAGAAGGGCTACGACCTGCGGGCAGATGCCATTCCCATCAAGTCTGCCAAAGCTTCCCGGGACATCGCCAGCGATGTGAGTGCACGGGAGCCCTCGTGGCACACAACAGGGCTCAAGACTTTCTCACTCCAAAATCTCTGTTGTTTCAGCTGCTTTATTTTCTGGTAGTAGTGCCACAGGGGCTGCCAGGGGCATAAAGGAAAATGAAACTAAAACTCACTGATGGTTTTTTTTCCTGCAGTACAAGTACAAGGAAGGGTATCGGAAGCAGCTGGGCCACCACATCGGGGCCCGTAACATCGAGGACGACCCCAAGATGGTGTGGTCGATGCACGTGGCCAAGATCCAGAGTGACAGGGAGTACAAGAAAGCCTTTGAGAAGACCAAGACACACTTCAGTAGCCCCGTGGACATGCTGGGGATCGTGTTGGCCAAGAAGTGCCAGGGGCTGGTGAGCGACATCGACTACCGGCGCTACCTGCACCAGTGGATCTGCCTGCCCGACCAGAATGACGTGATCCACGCCAGGGAAGCCTATGACCTGCAGAGTGATGTGAGTACTCACTAATAAGCTCTTTTTATTACTAAAAATTATAATTTCCTTGGAATATAAAGTACAGAAGCTACTCTTATACAGTATTTTTCCACATTGTGTTTTTTCTTTCCCTGTTCCAAGCGAAGTAATTAGAGTTTGAGTAGGGAATGAATTTGTGTGTAAGGAAGGTTGACCATTATGAGGGTTTCTATACAGCCAAACAGCAGAATAAGCTGCATAGCATCCTTCACAGTAGACAATCTCAAAACATTTATATGCTGACTAAGCTCTTATAAAGTGGAAATTGTGTAACTGCTGTCTTTATATGTTGTGACAGAATGTCTACAAGTCTGACCTGCAGTGGCTGCGGGGCATTGGTTGGGTGCCCATTGGTTCCTTGGAAGTGGAGAAGGCCAAGAAGGCTGGGGAGATCCTGAGTGACAAAATCTACCGTCAGCACCCGGACACCATCAAGTTCACCAGCATCCCAGACTCCCTGCCGATGGTGTTGGCCAAGCAGAACGCGGACACCATGAACAAGGTGAGTCCTGAGTTGATTAGGTGACATCAGCAGCCTGTGCCTAAACCCCAGAGACAGGACTAGAACTAAGATTTGCAGATTCCAGCACAGCAAGGCTTTACAAGTGTAAGTTCCATTCTTGGTAATCAACAGGTAACGTATTTTCAGCAGTTGGTAATGTAATAATATCTTCCAAGTTACTGAGCTAATTCCCAGTTATCAATTGGGAAGCTTTCCAAATCCTGTGCTGTGTGTCTAATAATGTGTTACCTAACTTCCATCTAATTTTAAATATAGCAAGTTCTCTGATAAATCCAATAATTTACCAAATTTACCTTGTAATCTAGAAGTTAATAAATTACCAGTTTTAGGGCAGTCTTTGAAGTACCCATATTTTAAACAATTCAGCATAGTACTTAAAATATAAGCTTAGGCCCTGATCTCAATCCTATTTATGTCAATCAGCTCATTTTCTCTTTCAAACAGGCCTTGTTCTTAGAGTTTAGGTCTCTGTGTGTCTGATTAGCTTTCTGTGCCTTTTTTCTAAACATCTTTCTCACAGAATCCTTTCTAGGTTGTTAATTTTTAACCTGGAATTTACGTATCTAGAGGGGTGAATTTAGAATCTCATGGCTGCATAAGAAATAAGGATTTTTTAGACTTTGGCTACAGATCTGTAATTCTCCTGGTGTTCTAGGAGATCTCTTAGTAGTCACTGGTTTTTTTTCCCTTTTAACACATATTATTTCTCCTGCAGCGTTTGTACACTGAGGCCTGGGATAAAGACAAGACACAAATCCACATAATGCCTGACACTCCTGAAATCACACTGGCAAGAGAGAACAAGAAAAACTACAGCCAGGTGAGTGTGTGAGCTCTGCAAATGTAACAGCTCTGTGCATGGCTGCACCAGGAATGTTCTGGTGAACCTTTTATAGCTGACACCCTCACTTTCCATAAGTAACTCCCGTATTTATCCTCGAAAACGTGACTGTAAAATCATGGTTTGCATATCTGTAGTAGTGCATACATAGACCAGTGAGCACTACTGAGAATGAATTCCATGGGAAATTAGTCTGAACTTTTAGGAGTCATTTCTGCTAGTGTTTGAATCATTGGGAAGGCACAAAATTAATTCCAACACTGGAAATACCAGAAAGATGATTTCAATTCTGAAAAGCTGTGATCTCAGTGTTAGTTTTGGCAAAAAACCCTCACATTAGTAAAAGGTGGCTTTTAAAAGTAGGTTTTACTCCCCTTGAATAGAAGAATAGTTTAGCTCTCAAACTGTAGTCAATGTTATGTTATTTAAAGTAGTAACAGAAAAATTCATAAACAAATGTATTTAGCGAAATCTTCCTTTGACATGAGTTGGTGTCAACTGTTGATATGGAGCTCTGAGTTAAAGTTAAATAAAGCTGAGTTAGAATGAATCTTAACATAATTTTTAAATCTGCTTCCAAACAGTTTGTTTTGCATAGAATTTAATATGTGGAACTTATATGAATCCCATTGTTTAATTCCTTCCCTAGAAACAATACAGACAGGCCATGGAAGATTCAAAGAAGAAAGGCTACGATTTGAGAGTTGATGCCATCCCCATTCAAGCGGCCAAGGCATCCAGGCAAATTGCCAGTGATGTAAGAATCCACTTTTTCTCTTCCTTTGTATGTTGACATCTCAGCTCTGCAACCTGGAAGTTGTCAGAGGTGAGCTGGAAATACAACATCTTGTTCTGTATTTCAGTACAAGTACAAGGAAGGGTATCGGAAGCAGCTGGGCCACCACATCGGGGCCCGCAACATCGAGGACGACCCCAAGATGGTGTGGTCAATGCACGTGGCCAAGATCCAGAGTGACAGGGAGTACAAGAAGGACTTTGAGAAGACCAAGACAAACTTCAGCAGCCCTGTGGACATGCTGGAGATCGTGTTGGCCAAGAAGTGCCAGGGGCTGGTGAGCGACATCGACTACCGGCACTACCTGCACCAGTGGATCTGCCTGCCCGACCAGAACGACGTGATCCACGCCAGGGAAGCCTATGACCTGCAGAGTGATGTGAGCAAATCCTCACATTTGTAACACATAATTAGAGATACAGGGTCTTCTACACTAATTTTTCAAATATACATTATATGCCTGAGTCACTTCATCAGATTTGTTGGTGAAGGTGGAATGTTCATTATACCATCACATTTATGTTTAATTGTATTGCCTTTGTTGTTAACCTCAGGCATAATTTTATTTCATCAAAATTATGTTTTATCCCATTTTCCTCAATCCTTAACATGAGGTGTAATTCGTGTGTAACTCTGGTATTTGTGATGTGCTCCAATAATTCTGCTCTTTTTTGTTATTTAATCATTATTTTACTTCATCTTCAAAAATAACACGTGTTTTCAAAACCATATCCTGCTACTATAGGGAAACGTGCAATTGCTCTCATAGTCTGGGATGTGCTTATTTATAATTCTTTTAATATTTGATCACACTTGCATCTATATAACAGGCTTTCAAATCTTTTCAGGCTGTTTACAAATCAGACCTGCAGTGGCTGCGGGGCATTGGTTGGGTGCCCATTGGTTCCTTGGAAGTGGAGAAGGCCAAGAAGGCTGGGGAGATCCTGAGTGACAAAATCTACCGTCAGCACCCGGACACCATCAAGTTCACCAGCATCCCAGACTCCCTGCCGATGGTGTTGGCCAAGCAGAACGCGGACACCATGAACAAGGTGAGTCCTGGTTGGATTAGGTGACATCAGCAGCCTATGCCTAAACCCCAGGGACAGGACTAGAGCTGTACTGGGCCCAAGCAATGCTGAAGTGGTTTATTCATTCTCCTCAGTCAATGTGACCATTTCCTAAGTGTTGTTACATTCCCTCAGATAAATTCTCCCTTTGTTGCTGTTATCTCTGCCTAATTACCTACCCATTTATCCATGTTATATTTCCTATATTTTTACCTGCTATGCTCCATGTTTTCCCTGATTCTTGAAATATTACCCTCTCTTGGAATGCCATATTTACCTCTTCCTCTCTTCCCTCTCAGCGTTTATACACTGAAGCCTGGGATAAAGACAAGACCTCGATTCATGTCATGCCTGACACCCCAGAAATCCTGCTGGCCAAACAAAACCGAGTGAACTACAGTGAGGTGAGGGAAACTGAGGGGGTGAGACAACTAAAGGGTTTCTGGCAAGTACAATCTTGTCATCTCTGACTTTCAGTTAATATAAAAATATTGTCAGGTTGCTTAGTTTCACAAATAACCAGTTCCAGTACTGAAATTAGAGTTGTTCTTTCAATAGAATTGACCTCCTGAATACCTATTTAGCTTTTTAAAAGATATTACCTGCCATAATCAAGAAATCATTTCTACAGCAAGATGTGGAAATAAATATATTTTCTTTCCCTTCCTTGAATTATTTCCATTTCCCAAATGTCTACAATAATGTTATAAGGCCTTTGAAATCTGCATTTTGTTATTTTCTAGAGAAGATAGAGCTGTATTCAAGTTATTTAAGTTGCCTGAAGATCAAATATATTGTTTGAGGACTTGAATAATTTTCTTACTCAGATGTGCTTAACTGAAATGCAGTTTGGTTTTTGAAACTAAAATGTGATTTTGTTTTTCTCTCAGAAAATGTACAAACTGGCCTTGGAGGAATCGAAGAAGAAGGGCTATGATCTGCGTTTTGATGCCATTCCCATTCAATCTGCCAAAGCCTCCAGAGAGATTGCCAGTGATGTAAGCAGGGGTATTTTTATGCATTTGGAATATCAAAAAAGAATTAGAGTGTTGGTTCCTTTCTTTGTTCATGTCCTACTTTACATGATAGAATAGATAGAATTAAATCCCAGATTCTACCACATGCCCTTAGTGCATGAAAGGAATTAGTACATAAAAGGAGTGGGTAGCCAGTATCTTTATGCATGAGGTTTATATCACTGAAATAAATAGATGGAATAAAATGAGGATTATTTATATGCCCCCTGCAATAGTTCCACGATCTCCATGGATGTTCAAATAGGAAGATCAAAAAGGCATTCGAGACAGTGCTAGGGTTTGTCAAATTAATTTCTGATTCAAAAAATACTTCTGTTTAAGTGTCACATTCAAGATGTCTGAACACAAAAACAGGGGTAAAACTATGTAATGGCTAGGACAGGTTTTGCTTCTGGGATGAGGCAACATGACTAAGAGAGGGAGAAAAACAGATTTTTATGCTCTTTCTTTTTCTGTCATGATTGATATTGTATCACATTAGATATTGTATTTAGACCAACTCATATCATCTTCATTCAGGTGTTTTGTACAAAGGTTTTAAAATAAGTTAATACTTATAATTTAGTCCTAACAATAAAAGAATGAGGAATATCAAACTTATTGGAATGTGGTGTTACAAGTTTAGTGAATTGAACCTGTGATATAGGTATATAAAAAATGTGGGATAACTATATCTGATAAAAGTGCCTTTTCTGTGAAGATCAATCCAATAGTAGAAAGAGCTGAATAATATTTTTATTGCAACAAAATACTAAGGAATATTTTAAACTGTTTGAATTATTTATTAACTTACCAGTACACCAAGTGACTCTGAATATCCTTTGTTTCAGTACAAGTACAAGGAAGGGTATCGGAAGCAGCTGGGCCACCACATCGGGGCCCGCAACATCGAGGACGACCCCAAGATGGTGTGGTCGATGCACGTGGCCAAGATCCAGAGTGACAGGGAGTACAAGAAAGCCTTTGAGAAGACCAAGACAAACTTCAGCAGCCCTGTGGACATGCTGGAGATCGTGTTGGCCAAGAAATGCCAGGGGCTGGTGAGCGACATCGACTACCGGCGCTACCTGCACCAGTGGATCTGCCTGCCCGACCAGAACGACGTGATCCACGCCAGGGAAGCCTATGACCTGCAGAGTGATGTGAGCAAATCCTTACATTTGTAACACATAATTAGAGATGCAAGGTCTTCTACACTCTTAATTTTAAAATATACATTATATGCCTTAGTCGCTTCATCAGATTTGTTGGAGGAGGTGAAGTGTTCATTACATCATCAAATTTATGTTTAATTGTATTTCCTTTGTTGTTAACCTCAGGCATAATTTTATTTCATCAAAATTATGTTTTATCCCATTTTCCTCAGTCCTTAACCTGAGGTGTAATTTGTGAGTAATTCTGATATTTGTGGTGTGCTCCAATAACTCTGCTCCTTTTGTTATTTAATTATTATTTTGCTTCATCTTCAAAAATAACAAGTATTTACAAAACCACATCCTGCTACTATGGGGAAACGTGCAATTGCTCTCATAGTCTGGGATGTGCTTATTTATAATCCTTTTAATATTTGATCACACTTGCCCCTATATAACAGGCTTTCAAATCTTTTCAGGCTGTTTACAAATCAGACCTGCAGTGGCTGCGGGGCATTGGTTGGGTGCCCATTGGTTCCTTGGAAGTGGAGAAGGCCAAGAGGGCTGGGGAGATCCTGAGTGACAAAATCTACCGTCAGCACCCGGACACCATCAAGTTCACCAGCATCCCAGACTCCCTGCCGATGGTGTTGGCCAAGCAGAACGCGGACACCATGAACAAGGTGAGTCCTGATTCCAGTTTCCCAAGTGTTGAATTCCCTCAGATAAATTCTCCTTTAGTTAATGTTATCTCTACCTGACTAAACACAGAACTCTGTATCCCTGCTGTATTTCAGAGTATCACAGAATGGTTTGGTTAGAACAGACCTTAAAGATCATTTTGTTCCAACTCCCTGCTATGGGCAGGGACACCTTACACTAGGGAAGTTCCTCTAATTTTAATTAATATGCTCTATGTTTTTCCTTGATTTCTGAGATATTACCCAGTTTAGAATGCAATATTAATCTCTTCCTGTTTTCTTCCTCAGCGTTTATACACTGAAGCCTGGGATAAAGACAAGACCTCGATTCATGTCATGCCTGACACCCCAGAAATCCTGCTGGCCAAACAAAACCGAGTGAACTACAGTGAGGTGAGGGAAACTGAGGGGGTGAGACAACTAAAGGGTTTCTGGCAAGTACAGTCTTGTCATCTTAGACTTTCAATCAATAGTAGAATACTATTGTCAAGTTGTTCAGTGTCAGAAATTGCCAGTTCCAGTGCTGAAATCAGATTTCTTCTTTCACTGGAATTTTTCTCCTGGGTATCTAATTGGGCTTTTAAAAGATATTTTCTACCATAAATGAGAAATCATTTATATAGCAAGTTGTGAAATAAATAATTTAACTTTTTAAATGTTCCTTTCTTTGCCTTCCCTACATGCTTTCCATTTTCCAAGGGTCTCCAATATAATTACAAAGTCTCTGAAATCTGCATTTTTTTGTTTTCTAGAGAACAATATCGAAATGGCCTGAAGATTAACAGTATTGTTTAGGGACTTCATTTGTTCTGTTACAGAGTTGTGCTTAACTGAAGCATAATTTTGCTTTAGGAACTAAAATGTGGTTTTTTTTCTCACAGAAAATGTATAAATTGGCCTTGGAGGAATCGAAGAAGAAGGGCTATGATCTGCGTTTTGATGCCATTCCCATTCAATCTGCCAAAGCCTCCAGAGAGATTGCCAGTGATGTAAGTAGGTTTTGTTATTTCCAGATGGATTTGGGAATGGAAAAGGATCAGAATGTTTGTTCTGTTGTCTGTTAATGTCATACTTCATGGAATAACTAATATTGAAGTCTATTTTCATAGTGATTCTACCCCATGCCTTCGGTGCATGAAAAGAAGGGGTAGCCAATATTTTATGCAGGAGGTTTATATCACTGTAATAAATAAATAGGATAATGTGAGGATTATCTATATGTCCCCTGTAATAGTTCCATTTATGTCCATGGATGTTTAAGTAGGATAATCAAAAAGATGTCTACGCTAGAGTTAGTCAAGGTAACTCCTGATTCAGAATAGGAAATACTTTAAAATCTCTCCCCAAAAGAGACATATTAGTAAATCAATTCTAGAAGTTCAAATGCTTGTTTTTTTCCAGTGGAAAAATATATTCTGTAAAAGTGCCATACTCACATTCAAAATGTCTCAGTATGGAGCCAGGAAAAAATATATGCAATGACTAGGACAGGTTTTGCATTGAGGATGAGGCAACATCACTAAGAGACAGAGGATAACAGATTCTTATGCTCCTTGTTTTTCTATCAAGATTGGTATTTAAATGGCTTGTGTTAAAATTTTATATATATACATTTTTCGTTCTGTATTTCAGTACAAGTACAAGGAAGGGTATCGGAAGCAGCTGGGCCACCACATCGGGGCCCGCAACATCGAGGACGACCCCAAGATGGTGTGGTCGATGCACGTGGCCAAGATCCAGAGTGACAGGGAGTACAAGAAGGACTTTGAGAAGACCAAGACAAACTTCAGCAGCCCTGTGGACATGCTGGGGATTGTGTTGGCCAAGAAATGCCAAGTGTTGGTGAGCGACATCGACTACCGGCACTACCTGCACCAGTGGATCTGCCTGCCCGACCAGAACGACGTGATCCACGCCAGGGAAGCCTATGACCTGCAGAGTGATGTGAGCAAATCCTCACATTTGTGATAATAATTAAAGATACAGGGTCTTCTAAACTCTTAATTTTTCAAATATACATTATATGCCTTAGTTGCTTCATCAGATTTGTTGGTGGAGGTGAAATGTTCATTACACCATCACATTTATGTTTAATTGTATTTCCTTTGTTCTTAACCTGAGGTGTAATTTTATTTCATCAAAATTTATGATTAATTGTATTCCTCAGTCCTTAACCTGAAGTGTAATTTATGAGTAACTCTGATGTTTGTGGTGTGCTCCAATAACTCCATTCTTTTTGTTATTTTGCTTCATCTTCAAAAATAACAAGTGTTTTCAAAACCATATCCTGCTACCAGAAACACACACAGTTGTTCATATTGACTAAGATGTGCTTATTTATAGTTATTTTAATTCTGAATCACATTTGCACCTATATAACGGACTTTCAAATCTTTTCAGGCTGTTTATAAATCAGACCTGCAATGGCTACGAGGTATTGGATGGGTTCCTATTGGTTCCTTGGAAGTGGAGAAAGCCAAGAGAGCTGGAGAAATCCTGAGTGACAGGAAGTACCGTCAACCTGCAGACAAAATCAAATTTACCAGTGTGACAGACTCCTTGCCCATGGTCTTAGCCAAGCAAAATGCTGAGATAATGAACAAGGTGAGATGTTTTTTGTTTTTTTCTTGTCAAAATCACCAGTATTACCAGCTGATAGAACTTGTTCATGAGGTGAGAAATACAACATACAAAGTAAGACTGAAGACTTTTGCTGTGGACTTAAAATGAAAGTCCAAATTCAGCCATTGTACAGGAAAGCTCTTAATTTAGGACTCTTTGTCTGAACTGAGCACTCGGTAAAAATGTACAGAAAGAAGTCACCTAAATCACTTATTTTTTAACAGTGCTGCTGAATGATGAACAAGTTATGAGGAAACAGCTGATGTTCTCTGGAAGTGAAGTTTCTGCAATATATCTCAGAGCTGGAGGATAAAATCACCAAGTACCTCCTCCTGCTCCTTTTTAAGGAACAGAATCAAACAACTTATACAGACACAGCAGAATAATGAATACAGTTTTCCTCTTACAGCAGTTTCTCAGCAATTCAAAATCAACCAACTGCTGCACCAACTTAGCCTGAGAAATAAGGACAAAATTTCTTTCTTGAGCTGTTCAGTCAGAACCTTTGCTGAATCAGGGTATTTTATTGCTTGAACTACCCACAGCAGTCTGTAAAATAATTTATTTGGACAAATGTATTAGTTTGGTTATATATCTATATATAGTTCTCCTTCAAGGTTACTTTTCTATCATGGATATATTTTTTATCACTGCTGCTTTCAAATCCGTGGTGTTTCCATCACAACACACATAAAGGAATGTTTCTAAAGGACTGTTTTCCTCTCTCGTAGCGTTTGTACACAGAAGCCTGGGATGCAGACAAAAAAACCATCCATGTCATGCCTGACACACCAGATATTCTGTTAGCCAGGGCCAACGCAGCCAACGTCAGCAAGGTAAGAACATTTACACATTTACTAAGCTAAGGGAAATTCAGAATTAAGGAAGCATTTCTTTAACTATAAAGAATTACACATTGATGAAAATTTTGAGGAAAAAATTATGGAATGTAGAAACCCCTTGTTAAATATTGATAAGCCATTTTCTGTCTTCTCTTGTGTAGAAACTTTATGTACAAGCCTGGGAAGAGGCCAAGAAGAAGGGTTATGACATGAGAGCAGATGCAATTCCAATCCAAAGTGCCAAGGCATCGAGAGATATCGCGAGTGACGTACGCTCTTCCTCATGCATTTTCAGTTACCTGGAAAACAGGAATATGTATCTTTGTGATCAGCAGTGATATGAAATTATGGGACATTCGCCCCAGCTTCTGCTAATACTTCTTTTTGTGTTTCTTAGTACAAATACAAACAAGCCCATGAGAAGCAGAAGGGGCACTACATCGGGCTCCCCAGTGCCAAGGACGACCCCAAGCTGGCGCTGGCCGCGCGGGCCATGGCGCTGCAGAACGACCGCCTCTACAAGAAGGGCTACCACGATTCCAAGACCCAGATCCACATTCCCATGGATGCCCTGTCAGTGCAGGCAGCCAAGGAGTGCCAGACACTGGTCAGTGACATTAACTACAAGCAGTACCTGCACCAGTGGACGTGTCTTCCTGACCAGAACGACGTGATCCACGCACGACAGGCCTACGACCTGCAGAGCGACGTGAGTGGGAATAACTTTGGGAAAGCTTTATGTCTGTGGCTCTGTTTGATAGTGACTGGCCAAATATCCAATCAAATGCACATTCATAAGCCTACACTCTGTCCTGCTGTGTTTATTTTGTCCTTTCCAAATCAGCAGTGCTTTCTGCCTGGGGGCCAAAAATATTCTGGGTGGTTCATAAAGAGGCCGTGTTTCTTTGGGCTGTTATAGAATGTTTGTTCGCAGCCTGCTTGCAGATTATGCCCCTGGTTTGCACATAGTAAGTGTCTTAAAAGTATCTTTGTTGCTGTGAAAATCAGGGGTTTTGCTGTGTGTGGAAAGCACCTGATACATCACAGTGTCATTGACTGTTTGTTGTGTAACTATGTGAGAAGAAATCTGGGGAAAGCTTTATGTGAAGTCTCTGCATAAAGAGTTGGAACCACAGAATTCCAGAATGGTTTGGGTTGGAAGGGACCTTAAAGATCATCTCATTCCAGCCCCCAAGGTCAGGGACACCTTCCAGTAGAACAGGTTACTCAGAGCTTCATCCACACTGGTTTTGAACATCTCCAGGGATGGAGAATCCAGAACCCTTCTGGGCATAAAGAGTTGTCTGTGCAATGCCAGTAACCCTTGGTTTGTTTGCAGCACGTGTACAAGTCTGACCTGGAATGGTTGAGAGGCATTGGCTGGCTCACAGAAGGGTCTGTGGATGTGGTGAAAGCCAAGAAGGCCCAGGAGCTCCTCAATGACCGGTTGTACCGCACGCGGCCCGAGCAGCTCAAGTTCACCAGCATCACTGACTCCCCTGACGTTGTCCTGGCCAAGACCAACGCCATGCAGCTCAGTGATGTAAGCTCACCTTGCACCTCCCTTTCACTTCTGAGGTGGCATTTCTTCTCTTTGTGGTGGGCAGTAGAACTGGAAATTAGTCACTGGAATTACCCAAGAATTCCCGTTGGTGTTTTAACCCCCACGGTGAAGTGCCATTTTTCTTCCTTTCTCCTCAGCGTCTGTATCGTGAGGCCTGGGATAAAGACAAGACACAGATCTCTCTACCTTCTGACACTCCTGTAATGCTGCAGTCCAAAGTCAACGCTCTCAACATCAGCAATGTAAGAGAATTAAATGAAATGCTTGTGAAGAGTTAGAAAGTTAACAATGACAATTGTTCTTCTGGTTTTCGGCCTGTGTCTTTTAGGTTTTGCTGTAAATAGTGGTGCACAAACACCGTCTTCTAATGTGCTTGTAAACAAGAAATTACGTTCAGGGGCTCTTTAGGCTGAGAGGTTGTGAGTTTGTGAGCAAACTCCAAAGTTCAAAGCAAATTCTCCATGGAAGAGTTTTTGGAGTTTGCAGACTCCTCAACCCTGACAGGTTTTGCAGACTTGTGTAGTTTCACCCACTAGTTTTATGGGATTTACACACTGGAGATTTTGTACAGCTGGAAACATTTCCTATTTTGCATTTCCAGCAGGTTTTGACAGGGGCTTTGCCTGGAACATGTGTTTCCTCCCAGCCTGTCTTGCTGTTGATAGCATTAAATGTTTTTCAAAAGCACCTGATATGACTGGATTAGGCAAAAGACATTTCACTTCCCCTGTTTTTGTCTTGCTTGTGCTTTGACTACTGTTTTTTTCTGAGTTTCTTATAGTCTGAGTCGCAATAGCATTTGGTTTCTGAATTTTCACAGATGTTAAAAATAAAAAATCCTTCATTTACCCACTTGTGCTTATGACAGAGTTGCCAGAAGGGCTGACCAAGCTTCTGTGGACTGAGATGCCACAAAGAAGGAGCCCTCATGTTCTTGGGCTTGGTGTCCTGGACAAGTTGGGTGTCTCTAGCACTTTGGTTTCTGCTCAGTCTCAAAAATGGACTGAGCCTCTCTGCCTACACTCACTTTTTTGATAGGACTAAAAAGCTGTGAAAGAAAGAAGTCCCTGGCAGCTGCCAGGAGACTTGAGAACTTAAGGACAGTCTAGATCTATTTTGTCAGTAGAACAGATGTTTTTGTGACCCTGCAGTCAGGTGTGTGTGAGCAGAGCCTCTGGGTCATGCACAATTCAGGGCTGGTCTCTTAGAGGTGACACAGTGAGATGTTCTCAGGAATATTCCTGCTGCCTCTTTGTGTTTTGGATCTGGCACCTGCTTTAAGTCTTGAGTTTTCTCTTAAGACACTTGCCAGGATCATTATTGTAACCCTGCCAGTTACAGGGGGCAAACAGGGTAATTCCCAGGGAAGTAGGTTTTGAGGGAAGGAATTTGTACCAAAGAGACTTCATTGTGTTTGACAAAGGTGATTCATTTCCTTTGCAGAAACATTATCAGAAGGCCTGGGATGAGGCCAAGGCAAAGAGCTATGACCTAAGAGCTGATGCCATTCCCATCAAACAAGCCAAGGCCTCCAGGGACATTTGCAGTGAGGTACAGTCCTCTCCTAATGTGGGGGTGGTGTCTGTCTCTGTGTCCAGCTCAGCAGAACTGAGTGAGGTTCAGTTCGAGGGGCCGAGAGCTTGGGAAGCTGCAAACCCTTTTGTTTGGTGGTCTGTCCAGGTGAGCAATGAGTGACTGCTTGTGTTACCTCTGCACTTCTAGTACAAGTACAAAGAGACCCACGAGAAGCAGAAGGGGCACTACATCGGGCTCCCCAGTGCCAAGGACGACCCCAAGCTGGCGCTGGCCGCGCGGGCCATGGCGCTGCAGAACGACCGCCTCTACAAGAAGGGCTACCACGATTCCAAGACCCAGATCCACATTCCCATGGATGCCCTGTCAGTGCAGGCAGCCAAAGAGTGCCAGACACTGGTCAGTGACATTAACTACAAGCAGTACCTGCACCAGTGGACGTGTCTTCCTGACCAGAACGACGTGATCCATGCACGACAGGCCTACGACCTGCAGAGCGACGTGAGTGTCTCTAGAGGGGTGGTGGTTGCTACTCTTGCTATTTAATATATTGCAATCTTGATGGTTTGATATTATACCGTTACAACAGATTTATCTTTAGACTGTTTTCTTAAATTTTTTCCAATCTACTCTTTTTCACCTTTAAAAAGCCTTCATTTTTCCTCTAAATTTCATAAAACTTTAGTCGGTATCTGCTGGGTTACATGTCCTTTTGGAGTGGTATGATCTGGAGAGGATGATGGATTTGTCTCTCTTGCTTTGATGGGGCTTAGGAGTAAAAGCTATTTGCTGCCTGAAATCAGGTAGCTTTTGTTACTCCTGTTTATTTGAGTCAGCTGGAAATAAATATAATTGGAAAAAATCAGTGTAAGGTACAGGTGAAATGTTTTAGTGGCTGATTGAGCAGGAGGGGTCAGTGCAGTTGATTTCCTGACTTGGCTTTGCTGCTTACCAGTCAACCTCAGTCACTGTTCCACTATTCCAATTCTGAGCTTTGAGGTGAGATTCATGTTCCTTGCTTTTTTCCTTGCCAAATTTCCTGGTGGGCATCTTGTTTTTTTGTTTGGACTTGTATACTGTTGAAATGAGGAGTCTTTTAAAATCTTAATATTCATAACCATTAGCAGCAATTCATTTCAGTTGTTTCCCCTCTATTTAACTCCACAAGGTTTAGAAGGTGTTGTTTAAGAAAGGAACTACTTAAAACCTGGTTCCCAGATTTAAGTTTACTTATTACAGTGGACATCTCTTGTGTGTAAAAAGGATTGATCTATCTCTAGCTAGATATGAAACATATACTGCTTTCTATAATTTAAAATAATGAAGACAGTAATTTTAAACACAAGGTTTTTCTTTTCCATGTCTCCTTTAGGCTGTGTATAAGGCAGACCTGGAGTGGCTCCGTGGAATTGGCTGGTTGCCCAACGAGTCTCCAGAGATTAAGAGAGTGAAGAATGCCCAGGATCTCCTGAGTGACAACGTGTACCGGACACCCATCAACAGCGTCAAGTTCACCAGTGTGGTGGATTCCCCAGACGTTGTCCTTGCTAAAACAAACGCTGAGCAGCTCAGCATCGTATGTAACGACCTCCTTGAGTTCTTAAAGGGAGAAATCTCGCTGCTAAAATATAGAATCAATCAGTGGCATTTTAAGTTCAATGCTTTTCCAAGCTTTTTATTCTTTAGAGATGATAATTCAGCAGAGATTTGTGGGATTTTATGCTGTTGACAAGTGAAATTCCATCATTATAATATAAAATGAACTGTTTTAACAGCCAAAATACAAAGAAGCCTGGGAAAAGGACAAGACCATGATCCATATTATGCCAGACACACCTGAAATCAACCTAGCCAGGGCTAATGCTGTTAATTATAGCCAGGTATGCTTGTCATTGTTTTCTACTTTCTACATTATTTCTATTACATTCTACTATTCTCTACATTTCTCTAAAATAGTGTGTGTGTCCTGTGAATATATCATTCTAAGATGTTGCTTCCAAAGCTGAAGATTAAGTCATGCAAGTCTCATTGAAGTCTGTCCTCATACAGGACTTGCAACATTCCCTTCAAGTATTTAGATATTTTAAAATAAATTCTTGCATAAAACTGTTTAAAAATTATTATTATGATGCACCATTCAGGTAATATTTTATTGAAATAGATGTGAGCCCAAGGCATATAAATATTTTCTAAGCTTTTACAAACACCCTTCTGTGCTTTATGGGTTGCAAAACTGGTGGTGCAGGCCCTGTGCATGTTTTAAAGGCAGTGAGACTTGCAGCACAATTTATGTCTGGGAGCAGGAGTCATGCACAAAAAAATTCATTGGTATTTCAGCACACAGGTGGCAGGAACTCTGTGTTTCTTTAATGGCAAATGGCAGAGCATTCAGCATATGTGTGGCATTTTTCTGTCTCTTCAGAAAATGTATAAAGGAGCTTGGGATGAGCTGAAGTCGAGCTACGATTTGAGAGCGGACGCAATCCCCATCAAGACAGCCAAGGCTTCCAGAGAGATTGCCAGTGATGTAAGTGCCAAGAGACATCTGGATCTTCACGTGCTCTAAGAACTATTCATGATACCTGTTATAATGGTGACCTGTGCTCTGTCCCCAGTACAAATACAAACTGGAGCACGAGAAGCAGAAGGGACATTATGTTGGAGTTCCGAACGCCAAAGGAGACTCGAAAATCCAGTTTGCCCTTGATGTAGCCAAAGTTCAGAGCGAACGAGAGTACAAGAAGTACTTTGCCAAGCTGAGGACCCAGTGCCACCTCCCAGCGGATATGATGTCCATCGTGGCAGCCAAGCACGGGCAGACTCTGGTCAGTGACGCCGATTACCGGACATACCTGCACCAGTGGATCTGCCTCCCGGACCAGAACGATGTCATCCATGCCAGGCAGGCCTATGACCTCCAGAGTGATGTAAGATACCATGAAAACATCCCTTAATGCAGTAATAAGTTGTCTCTTCTTTTTTTTGCTTCAGCAATAAATAGTGGGAACCTGCTGAACTCAGAGAATTGGCTTTGCTCTCTGTTAGGAGTACAAAATATATACCACTTACGTTTTGCCAAGTTTAAAGGGTGATAAATTCAGATACAGTGCTCATGTTGGAATTATTGCTCTCCTTTTAGCCACTGGAAGTAAGAGCCATTATTTATGGATCTTGCTGGAGCTGTAGCTAACAGCAGGGACCCTATTTTGTTTTCCCAGGCTGTTTATAAAGCTGATTTGGAATGGCTGCGGGGCATTGGATGGCTGCCAAATGATTCCCTTGAAGTCAAGCACGTCAAATATGCTGGAGATCTCTTGAGTGAGGTAACAAAATGGCTTTCAATACTACAATTTTCTTCAGGGTATTAGTCATCCAAAGTATTTTAAATGGTTAAATACATTGGTTTGTTTCTAATGAAAAAGACAACTGTAGTATTTGCACAACATTCATTGTGCATGGAGAGTTTTACTTCCACGTAAACCTCCTTGTCTTGAGCCTGTATTCAGAATTGCTGTGTTAACCAGGAAATATTCCAGGGGGATGTGACTGTTCTTTCCTTTCTTTCCTCTTGCACAGAAAAAGTACCGCACAAAGGCTGAAACTCTTCCCTTCACCGCGGTGGCCGACAGGGTTGATTATGTCACAGCGAAGAACAGTGGGGAGATTCTCAGTGATGTGAGTTTGCTCCCAGGGGTCTGGGCTACGTTTGACTTCTAGGACTCTGTACTTAATGTGTTTTGTCTAATAACCCTGCAAATTCAGGGCTTTGTACAGTATTTCGTGCATAAATTATGTGTTTTCCAAAGTCTGTGGTGGTGCTACAAGGCAGTTGTGTCTTTCTCTGTTCTAGATTAAATACCACAAAGCCTGGAATGAGGCCAAGTCCAATTATACCCTGACAGATACACCACAGCTGGATATGGCCCGGGAGGCAGCCAGGATTCTAAATCAGGTACATGATCCCTCCTTGACAGTTTCCACTCACATTAATAACTCTTTTATGGTATTTAGAAAATCTACTTTATTAAGAACAACCCAAAGGAAGGATTTGTTATTGTTATACTTTAATATAGGTCACACATATAGAATGGTTTGGGTTGGAAGGGACCTTAAAGCTCATCTTTTTCCACCCCCTGCCATGGGCAAGGACACATTCCAATAGACCAGGTTGCTCCAAGCCCTGTCCAACCTGGCCTAGAAATACATATATATATATATGTATATATATATATATATACACACATACACACACTGTGATAGTTATCAATATAGTAGTGTTGAATTCCTCCTCACTTTTATTTTCCACAGAGTTTATATAAGGAAAGTTGGGAGAAAGAAAAAGCCACTGGGTACCTGTTACCTCCTGACACGATTCAGATCTCTCATGCCAAGCACTCGAGCGATGTCCAGAGTGAGGTAATGATTTTTCTCCTTAGGAAAACAAGTGCTTGGAAGCCTGAAATGTTAAAGGCCTTGGAAATACAACAGACTTAGAAAGCTTTCAATCTGGGGTAACATCCAGACTTTTCATGAACCACTGTCCTCCAAAGAATTCAGCCATCTTGCTGATAATGGGTTTTGGTGCTATCAGTGCTGGAAGGTCAGACTGACCCTTCCACATTCATTCTCTCCAGAAACAGTCCTTTCAAAATCAACTGAGGTGGACTTTCATATTTTATAAATGTTAAAAAATTGAAGTGATATTATGATTCTAATATATGGCTCTGATTTCACTTTTTTTGGCTTACTATGGAGGCTTTCTCCTTGAAAACCTGTAAGCAGGTACACACTTTACATTTTCAACTTGTGCATAATGGATATTAAAATTATTACATGATTCTTTTTTGGAATATACATTTTATCAAAATAGTGTGATGTAAATACCTTAAATAAACATCCACTCTTCAGACAGTCTCAAATAATTTGTTACAAAAATGAGACTAAATGCACTTATTAGCAAACATTTCCTCTTGTGTTGACAATACTGATTACTGAAAATTGGTAGCATTTCAGTCTAGAAAATGCTATATTTTGAAGTGAGAGGCCTATAAAAAGTAATATTACTGTATGCCTCATATTTTTATCTGGTCATGTGCTGAAAACCTAAGGCTGCACTGGACAACTCTCTGTCTCATCTGCTCTTTGTGTAGCTGTTCCCAGGTTAGAACCAGACTGGGCATGACCAATGATGATTTATCCCTATTTCTGCCCTCTTCCATCAGCTGAAATACAAAGCTGAGTATGTGAAGCAGAGAGGTCACTACGTTGGCGTTGCCAAGATGAGGGATGACCCCAAGCTGGTGTGGTACGAGCACGCGGGCGAGATCCAGAACGACCGCCTGTACAAATCCGACTACAACAAAACCAAGTCCAAAATCCACATCCCTGCAGATGCCATGGCAGTTGTGGCAGCAAAGGAAGGTCAGAACTTGGTCAGTGATGTTGACTATCGCCAACGCCTGCACCAGTGGACGTGTCTTCCTGACCAGAACGACATCATCCACGCACGGCAGGCCTACGACCTGCAGAGCGATGTGAGTGATGCTACAGACACACTGGGCCATTCCCACTTAGCATAGTGCATAATTCATCCTGAATTAAATAATTTCCTTCCTTTTCCGTTGTCTTTATGACTCAGAACGTTTACAAATCCGACTTGGAATGGCTCCGTGGCATTGGTTGGATCCCTCTGGATTCAGTGGAACACAAGAAAGTTAAGACTGCCCAAGAACTGATAAATAAGGTAAGAGAGAATATTTCAGCAGTGGCACAGTGAGCACTGCTTTCTCATGCCCAGTGTTTAAGGTATTATTTCATCTCTTTGCAGAGATCATACACCAAAGAAGCCCTGGATAACTTTTCCAAATACACCAGTGTGGTTGACACTCCCGACATCGTGTTGGCGAAGATGAACTCTGTCAACCAGAGTGATGTATGGACTGTTTCTTATAATAGAAACTTACATACAAGAATTAGTAGATGATTTAATTGTTTCTGCTAAATTATTCTATGTTTAGCCCTATGTGTGTGTGTGAAAATGCTGCTTCATGAATAACGGGCTTTCCTGGGATAAATAAATTTAGTAAGAAGTGATATAAATGAACAACAAAATATTCTAGCCAAAATAATTTAGCATTTTTCTGTAGAAGGATATAACATGTGACTGATTTAGAGTTTACGTAGGTTTTGCTTATGGTAGTTAAAAATTGAGTCTTGTTCTCAGGATATACATAAGAGAAAATTAGTGTCTACTTCCAATAGTTGGACTAGTTGGAATGATGTATTTCTCCTGTGGATTTGACACTGTGTTTGTTTTCTTTTTGTAGCTAAAATACAAAGAAACCTTTAACCTTGAGAAAGGCCAATACATCGGGTCTGACGACACTCCTGCGCTGCACCACGCCAAGGACATGTCCTTACTCCACAGTGAGGTAGGATCCCAAAAATATCCACCTCATCCCTGATTTCTTTGTTTGGAAAGCAACAGAATGTGGAGTGGACTTCAGGAAAATTTTCTACTCCTGTTTCTGCCAGAGGTCTACTGCGTGGCACTGGGAAAGTTATTTAATGTCCAGGTTTGGATCACTGGAATCAGGATAATTTCTTTCCTTTTTAAACTGATCTTAAAGCACAGTTGGGTGGTGTTTGGAAGTAGAAGTAGTGGTAGTAGAGTTTGTGTGACAAAACCAATTTATAATTCCATCCAATGATCTCTTCCTTGGCTACTGATGAAATTCACAGTTATTTTTTTTATAAGAAAGGAAAATTGTAGATTAGTTACATTATTAAACAGTTACTTTTGAGTAGTTTCACTGATTTTAATGGGAAACCTCTGTTTTTTGAAAATATAAGTGCCCACTCATTCATACAAGTAGAAACTTCATAATTCAATGTGAAGGTAAATATATTTAATATTTAACATAATAAGATGCATTAGAAAAGTGCCACTGACACAGTTAATGTTTTTATAATAAACACCAATATTACTTGCAGATTTTTCACAATTTTGATCACATATCTATAAAATTATCAATCTCAATTCTATTCTGCACTTTTAAACAAGAGTTCATATCTACATTTTGGATATTTTTGTTACTCTCCTGGATATAAATATAATAAAGAAAGCAGAAATCAGCTCACATTTGTGCTCAGGTACCTTCCTGGCGTGAAACACTTACTCTGCTTGCCTTACACTGCATAAGTGTCCAAAATAAACGTTAATTTACTTTCTTGGGAACCACTCCATAAAAATAATCTCATTCCATATGTGTTTCTTGGAAGGTATAATTGATTTTTTTTTTTAACAAAACCTGTATGTGCTTTGTCTAGAAACTTTATAAGAAGGCTTGGGAGCTCAGCAAGCCCACTGGATACACTCTGGATGAGAAGTACGTGCCTCTCGTTGGAGCCAAACACGCAAACGATATCAACAGTGAGGTCAGGAATTCTCCATCCTTTCCCTTTTTTCCCCCATCTTTCTGTTAGAATGAACATTAAAACTCCCTCGTGAATATTTTGCAGCGCAAATATAAGGAAATATATGAGAAGCTGAAAGGCCATTACCTGGCTGGGAAGGAAATTGGGGATTTCCCCGCTGTCGTTCACTCGCTGGAATTCCAGAAAATGAGGAGCGCGGTAAGGAGAGAATTATCTGAGCAGATCATCTTCCATTGTCTTTATTTCCCTATTTATTTCACTAATGAAATTCATTATTTCATTATTCAAACATAAATCCTGCAATGCTTAATAGAATTACAGAATCACAGGGTCATTAAGGTTGGAAAAGACCTCCAAGGTCAAGTTGGACTCATCAAGTCCAACCTCAACATCAATCCACGATAACATCAGTCAAAGTGATTCCAACAAGTTTGCATTTCCTGACTGGTTATTTTATATGTGGGTTAAATAATTGAAGTTGAAATGATTTAGGAGATTAAGGAGGGGCTTGTTTAGTTATTAGACAATAATAGAATAGGAAAGGCAGAATAGAATAGGAAATGAAAGACATAGAAAGACATGGAATGGGAAAAAAATAAAGACATAGAATAGGAAGAAAAATATTTCTGTTTCAGTTTAAGAATATGAGGAGTAAGAAATTGGGATTCTTTTGCTTTACAAATAAAAGCATAGATTTGGGGTTGAAATAGGAATTTAAGAACTGGAAAAGTAAGTGCATATGTGGTGTTTTGCTGTTATCACCACTGCACATACAGCAAGTCGTGCAGGGCATAAAATCACTGTAATCCCAAATGTTCTGTCTTTAATTACATGAAAACCATGTTTGTAGCATAGGACTTTTTAAATCTTGAAGTCTTATTAATTTTCTTGCCAGCTGTTAAAACTGCAAGTGAAGAAGGTCATTCTTGTCCTTCCAGAACCTCATCAGAATAAATGGTGATTAACTTCAAAGTTAAGATTTCATGCTGTTGAATCCCATGGGAATTTAGCTACTAAATCCAGAAATAATGTCTCGGATTATGCTGTGGCCTATTAGGCAAAGTTATGCAGAGAATCATTCTTATTTCCTCTCCCCCTTTCCCCAATCCTTCCTTTTTAGTTGGCCTACAGAAAGAATTATGAAGACACCAAGAAAAATGTCCATATCCCAACTGACATGATGAACCACGTTCTGGCCAAGAAGTGCCAGCAAATCCTCAGTGACCTGGAATACCGAAGTTACTTCCATCAGTGGAATTCTTCCCCTGAAGAAAATGATGTTATTCACGCCAGAAGAGCCCAGGAGATTCTGAGTGATGTAGGTTTATCATTTCTGTAAAATCGTAGCATATCCTGAGCTGGAAGGGACCCACAAGGATCATCCAGTCTAACTCCTGACCTTGCACAGGACACCCCAGAAATCCCACCCTGTCCCTCAGAGCATTGTCCAAACACTTCTTGAACTTATTTGACATTATAGTGGTACTTTAAATGTAATTTCTTCCAAGATGTTTAAATATAAAATACTTTCAAGTATCTTCCATAGTATTTAAATATTAAGTTAATAACTGTGGCTTTAGATTCTTAGTAGCACAGTAACAATCACTGCAGCGATCTTTGTGTATTATAATTGGGAATGCTGTAATTAGCACAGGGGCCAGGACAATCCTTCTGGATCCAGTGGGTCTGGAAAAGACTTCTCCTTGTTCATATGGGGTTGTGTGAGCCCCCAGAGTGTGAGCTGAGGGAATGGTCTCTGAACCATAACATGTTCTCATATTCCATGGTCAGCAGTGTCCCAGCTTGGGCCAATCCACTTCCCTAAGGGAATCTGATGGTGTGTTAATTGCCTGGCCTGTTACTGTGCAGAATTCTTTGATTTAATTCCCCCTGCAAATCCTGTGGGTAAAAATCCTTCAGCAGACCATGAGATGGTCTCACATTTAAACTTCCAGATGGATTGGAATTCCTCAGGGATCCTGGTTCAGAGTCAGTGGTGGCCTTCTGCTTTGGATTTGCACGAGTCAAAGACACTGAATAGAGAAAAAAAAAGCTGTCTTTTTATCAGAGAATCCCAGGCTGGTTGGGGTTGGAAGGGACCTCTGGAGATCATCCAATCCAACCCAGGTTCACCCAGAGCAGGTTGCACAGGATCATGACCAGCTGGGATTCAAATGTCTCCGGAGAAGGAATCTCCACATCCTCTCTGGGCAGCCTGTCCCAGTGCTCCCTCAGCCTGAACAATATTCTCAGGGATAATATTAGTTTTCTCCTTTATTTTCTTCAAGCAGAAGGCAGATTTCTTCCTAACTTAATGTTCTTTTTTACATCCATGTAGGCAGTGTATAAAGATGACTTGAACTGGCTGAAGGGAATTGGATGTTATGTCTGGGATACTCCAGAAATCATACAGGCTAAGAAGTCCTATGACCTCCAGAGTCAAGTAAGTTTGTTTGCCTTGAATAAGTTAAATATAATAATAATAATAATAATAATAATAATAATAATAATAATAATAATAATAATAATAATTTAATAATAATAATAAATATTTATAATACTTGTTTTCTTATGATTCACTGAGATTGACCCCTGTTCTAGTCCAGAGCAGAAAGAAATATTTCCTATTACATCAAAAATATTTTGTTAAATCTGTGATAATACAGTTTTTGAGTTTTGTCTGTAGAGACATCACTTCTGATATTGAAGGAGTAGAAAATTCAGGAGAATGGAGGGACAGCAAGGTTGTGGTTTTTATCGGTGAAAAGATACAACTTTTTCATTTCTGTATGGGCAAGATACCTCAGGGCGACACTTCTGTTGGGAAAATAGTGTCTCCTGCCTTGCTGGTTGTGCTCTTAACCCACCAGCAATGTATAATTTTCACTATTCCTCAGTTCAGACTGGCTTTATATTAAGTATTTGTATTTTATGACCTGTCATTTTTAGAATTGGTCTTAAATTGAGCTGTAATCCTGGGCTTCAGAACTGCTTTTGAAGGAAGCTGGCAGGGAATTCTCAGGTTGTTTTCAGCATTAATGAGTTTTTTGTTTGTTTGTTTGTTTTTTCCCTTAGATAAAATACACATCTGCAGGAAAGGAGAACTTCCAGAACTTCAGTGTGGTCACAGACACCCCTGTCTATGTGACTGCTCTGCAGAGTGCTTTCAACGCCAGCGATGTGAGAACCCCCCCTTCTCCCACTCCCCGTCTTCCTTCCAAGAACTGAAATAATTAACTACACCTGGCTTTCATTTCCAGGTGAAATACAAGGAAGAATTCCATAAAACTAAGGACAAGTACACGCCTGTGGCTGAAACAGTGGAGTCTGAAAGAGTTCAGAATTTGAAACATCTTTATAGCAATGTAAGTGTTTCTAAACGGCCTTTTTCCCTCTTAAGGTGCTACTTTTATTTTGTTTGTTTATTGATTCCCTCTGTCTGAAGGTAAATATCCAAACAAGGAGCTTCTCAAAGCCAGTGATAACCCTCTGCACCACTTGACTGTGGAGATGTTTCATTTCAGGCAGAGGGTTTGTTTTCTAACTGTAATTCTAGTCTTGTCAAAAGCTGTGCATTAGTAAATGGATTCCCTGAATAAAATTACACCTGGACAAAATCAAAACCTCGTAGGAGAACAAACATGAATAGTCAGAAAGCATTTGATCACCCTTTATGTGCCCTGTCAAGATTAAACTTGATATTAAGCAAGAGTTACAGGGTCTGAATAAAACCCAAAGGGCTTTAGATTCCTGCTGAAGTTTCTGCTGATTTCTCTTGGTTGTTGGTTATTACTTAGGAAAAGAAATTTGCCACTCACACAGACTTTCTATTTGCCCACAGAATCTCTACAGGAAAGCCTGGGATAAAGTGAAGGCCACTGGATATGCTCTACCCTCAGATTCCGTAGCCCTGGCACGTGCCAAGGAGCTGAAGCACAATGCCAGCATTGTAAGTGAATTAAATGCTTTATTTTTTATCAGATCATCAGTTATAACAATGAAATCCTTCATGCCTTGCATATACTATAGGTATAAAAAATTTTTAGAAGATTTCATTTATTTTCTCTTTTTAATTGAGATCTAATATGTATCTGTAGATAATTAGTTTTCTGTGATAATCATTTGGATAATTGTCCTTTGTGGCTTCTTGTCATGAAACAAAAAAGTCACATTTTATAGTAGTCAAAACTATCTCTTGGAAGTGTCTGGTTAGGGTTTTTTTAGTCTGAATTTCACGAGCATCCATGTCAGAAAAATGCCCCAAAACCTTTAAATAATACTTTACTAAGTAGAGAAGAACATCTTACAATTTACTGAACTGAGGATTATGAGATCACTCCACGGATCTCTTTAAATGAAAGAGCTGGAACAATAATAAATAAATGCCTTATTCTACATCAATTTCTTTTAAAATCTTTTAGTCAGCTGTTATTTTTAAAACATGATGGTTATGATGTGCTTCCTTTGCCATTTAAGATAAAACAGAAAGCCAAGATTGTGCTTTAGAACCTTTCTCTGCTTGTTGGACTCAACTAAATATATTGTTACTGATGACTTTTGTTCCAAAATTACAGTTGACTCGTTGGAGTCAGTTATTTGTTGCATTTCTTTGTTCCTGCTCAGGTCAAATACCGTGAGGAATATGACAAGTTCAAAGCACTGTACACGATCCCCAAGGGGGTGGAGGATGATCCCAACATGGAACGGTGCCTCAGAGTCGGGAAGCTCAACATTGATGTAAGTGTTGGCTTTGGGTGTGTGTTCTCCTGATAAATCCATGCTTACCTCAGAAGAGGCTACTCAAAGAACCCACATTGATCCAGGTGTTCCATTTCCACATGTTTGGCAGTGGAATTGCTGAATTCTGAAATACACCTACGAATTTAAGCTTTTGACTCAAATGTTATTTTGCTTGCACAGCCAAACCTTTTGTGTGAAGGTGGAACTACACATTCAGCCTCCTTTTAATTCACAAGCAGAAGGAAAATTGCCCAAATCTTATTTTATCAGCCTTGATAAGTTCTGCAAATTATTTTTAGAGCAGGCAGGGTGTAGATTTTACCACGGCCAAAGTGATAGCGATGATTTTCTTCAATTTTACCAACAGTTTATTCTCAGAATCATTGATAACTCTGCTCTAACCCCGCAGAGACTGTACAAAGAGACCTATGAGAAGACTAAAGCCAAGGTGCACATCGTCCCAGACATGATGGACATCATTGCTGCCAAGGATGCTCAGAAGAAGATCAGTGAGGTCGAGTACCGCACCCGCCTCCACGACTGGATGTGCCTCCCAGACCTGCAGGTCAACGCCCACGTCCGCATGGTCACCGACCAAGTCAGCGATGTGAGTGCACAAATCTCGTCTTCCTGGCTCACCTTGCAAAAGATTCTTGGGTTTCTGCTCTGCTGGAAGAAATGATTCAGCAGCTGGACAGCTCTGATGTGGCCACTTGACCCCGTCGTGCTGATTTTGGAACACTTGGCAATGAATGTGTAGTTGAGATGGGGCTTGGTTGCATTGAGTCATAGAATCCCAGACTGGTTTGGGTTGGAAGGGACCTTAAAGTTCATCCATTCCCATCCCCCTGCCATGGGCAGGACCTTCCACCAGACCCTGATGCTCCAACCTGGCCAAGGACACTTCCAGGGATGGGCAGTCCACAACCTCTCTGGGCAATAATTCCAATAATTTCAGCGTTATCACTGTAGCCATTGAGTCATGGCATTACAGTTTTACCAGCTCAGCCATCCCTGTCTGTAAATTGTCCTTTATTTGGTTGAATATGGTGTGGAAACTGTGGAAGTCTGAGAAATTCCCGTTTGTGTGAAGCTTCTACGCACTGGTCAGCCCGGGAGCAGGCCTGAGATCTGTCAGTAAATCAGTGCCCAGTAGGGATATGCAGGTAGTTTTTTTAAAAATATTTGGATTTTTAATTTATTGACCAAATTAAAGTGATGAAGAAACATTATTTAAATTCCAAAAGGAATTGTTTTGGTTTTTTTAAACAAAAAAGTCAAAGTACTAGAAACTTTAGCTGACAGTTGTGTTTCAGACAGTGGAATTCTTACAGATTTTCTCTGCTCTGACAATTTAGGTGATCTACAAGGATGATCTGAACTGGCTGAAAGGCATTGGCTGCTTTGTTTGGGACACCCCAGAAATCCTCCATGCCAAGCAGGCCTATGATCTCCGCAGTGATGTGAGTCAATACACTGATTTTACTTCTTAGAAGGTTTTTTTTCACTCCATTGTAGCTTTATTCTACTTCAGATGTCATCTGGAAAATGTTATATATCCTTCTCTACTGAAGTATTCATTAGATAACCAACCATAATGTCAATGTACTTTCTGTTTCAGTGCTGGTTCACTAATAGAATAGTTCAGTAATAAATAATGAACATAATAATAAAATAAATTCAATTACTAATGGTTACATTTACTAATTAGAGCTCTTGCATTTCTCTCTGCAGATTAAGTACAAATCTAAGGCAGAAAAGATGAAGAAGGACTTCACTGTGGTCACAGACACCCCTGTCTATGTCCAGAATGTCCTCAGTGCCTTGAATTTAAGTGAAGTAAGTGTTTGTGTCACCTCCCACCCCAATATTCCATATGCCACTACCTCACAAGTACTAGAAATGTGACTTTTAATATATATTTTTTTAATAATTTAATTTTAATTGCTGGTTATCTACAGCTCACTGTAGACACAATCACTAAAATCCTTAACGGCCTGAAGCCAAAAAGCTTCCATCCCTGTTTTATATCTTCATCCAAACAGTGAGGAAACACCACAACTAGGATCTTTTCTCTTTCCCAGGCTGTTTATCGTGGTGATTATGTGAAGAATATTAAAGGCAAAATGATTTCTACTGATAAAACCATCGATTTGGAGCGGGCATATAATGCAAACAAGATACAGAGTGAGGTGAGTAGGAAACTCTGGGGCCCACAGAGTTTCTCATACTAAAAAGCAAATTTTTTTCTATGTTAATGTGTGGTTTTAGCTTTTCAGATGAAGCCACGTGTCATTGCTCTAAAATAAAAGTGGGAAAATATCCTTACTTACTTACAAGGATGTGTTTAATGCAGATATGAGGGAAATCTTTTGCCAGTTGTGATCCAGAGGTCTCTGAGGTTGAGATTTTACCCTCAAATGTTACACACATTTGTCACAAACTCTCTCTCCCTTCTCTTGCAGAATTTGTATCGCTGGGCTGGTGTGAATGCTCTGCCCACTGGATACAGCCTTCCCACGGATACTCCCAACTTCCAGCATGCAAAACATGTCCAGCACATTGGCAGTGATGTAAGTCCTGGATTAAATCCTTCTGCACCATGGGAATGATCAACAGTCCCAGATAAAAGACTCTCAACTTGGGCAATTATTACCAAAATATAAATTGTCTCAGGAACGTGAAATAGATGCAAGAGAAATGTAACATAGTAAATGTAATATACATATATAAATGTAATATATTATTAATCTTGGGCCATATGATAAAGGTATTTAACTCTGATATAGCTACATCTCACTTATTTCTCCCTAAAAATCTGGCTCTTTATGCAGCACAAATTGCTCTCAGAAGTGCAGTGGAATTAGAACCACAATCAAATTTAGATTCTCTGTTTTTTCCACTTTATAGCTGAAATATAAAGAAGCCTATGAACACATGAAAGCCAAAGGTTATACTCTGGGGCCTAAAGATGTTGGCTTTGAAACTGCAAGGAAAGTGAATCAAGCCATTAATGAGGTACAGTAAATATATGTATTTGCTTTCAGTTTTATTTGTAGGGCCCAGAATATGAATAGGGGCAGTACATTGGCTGGGAAGCTGTTCTTTGAGGCTTGTAAGAGCAGTTTAGATAAATATCCATCAAGAATGGCAAGGAATCATTAATACAGGGTAAAACTGTTATCATAATATAAAATTGCAGCCTAATTTTATTGGCCAATCTGCTGCTGTGTGGTTAAAGTTGAATAGAAATTATTAATATCTGTGTGACTTTGGGTCTCTATAGTTTTAGTTTTTATATGTATTTACTCACTCCTTTGATCACTGGCTTTAATAGGATGACAATTAAATATACATATTTACATGTTTTTAGGATTAGAACCTGAGATTCTCCAATAATTATTTACTTTATAAAGATTAAAGGTGCTGCTGTTGAAAACAGTTGTGGAAAACCTTTGCCTGGTTAGAAAACAGCGTGTTTGTGTCAGAAGTGCTTCCACTGTGCCAAACTGCTTTGCTGTTTTAATGTTATAAAATGTGCTAAAATGCTTGAAACTGTGCTAAAATGTTTTAAAACATGTTAAAATGTAGGATGTTGTCTCTTCTGCCACAGAGGCTCTACAGGGCAACATACCACAAGACCAAGGACAAGATCCACACCACTCCAGACACCCCCGAAATCCGGCAAGTCCGAGCCACCCAGGAAGCTGTCAGTGATGTAGGTGCCTTCCCAACAGCACAAACAGAGAAAATTTAGATTATCCAGTGACCAAAAGTGTGAAATGCTGCTTTTCTCTTTGTCTTTCAGCTGATCTACAAGTCAGATTTCTTCAAGATGCAGGGCCACCTGATCTCCCTGCCTTACACCCCCCACGTGCTGCACTGTCGCTACGTTGGGGACATCACAAGTGACGTGAGTGACTCCTGCTCAGGTGTTGGAAAAACAGGCCTAGTGTTTTATACTTAAAGCAGGATTTTCCTTCTCTCATTTCCACTCTAATCTGTATTAAATAACTCTTTTGTCGCTGTGTTTAGGGGCTGGTTAATGAAATTCTCCCCAAAGGTGACTGTTGATTTTTCTTTCTCTCACAGAATAAATACAAGGAGGACCTGAGGTGGTTGAAGGGCCTGGGTTGTTTCCTGTATGACACTCCTGACATGGTCCGTGCTCGTGAGCTCAAAAAGCTTTGGGTAAGAGTTTTTTTTTGGAACCACCTATAACAGCATTTGATTTATTTCTGTGCATTCAGGAAGGGAAATACTCATTGCCCATGAAAATGAGCAAAGACCTGTGACAGAATTTCTTGCCATGCAGCCAATTAGTTGTTTCAAAGCACTGCCAGCTTACACTAAAAATTTCCTTGACACTGTAAAATTTCCTTTCCTACCAGGAATAGTAAAAGCTGCCTAAATAAAACTGCTTTTCTCTTCCAGTCTAATTACATATACACTGGTGCTGCAAAGAAGATGTGGTCCAAATTCAAAGTGGTGTTGGATACTCCTGGATACAGAGCAGTTCAGGAGCTAAAAACCCATTTGAGTGAAGTAAGTTCTGTGTTATTTTTGCACAAGTTCATGGCTATAATTAACCTCTCCCTGTTGTGTTTTTTTTTTTCTGAAATAGGTGAAATGTTTTAATTGCAAAGGTGTTAAATGAACATGTGTAACAGAAGAAATAATTCATGGACTTGTCTTTTTTTTCCAGCTGGTTTACAGAGCTGCAGGCAACGAGGTGAAGACAAAATACACTTCCATCCTGGACACACCTGACTTGATAAGAGCCAAGGAAGGACAAAAAATACAGAGCCAGGTGAAAAGCTTGTATTAATGAAAAAATAATCAGGGGGTCCCTCTTAGCAAAATCTTTCCAGGCCATTTCAAATCAATGTAGAAAATTGTGTGGTTATGTCTATGTTTTGAATTTACAGACATTTTTCGGAGTTAAAAAGTAGAATTCACTTGCAATGGATATGTTTTTAAATTGTTTTCTCCTTGCTGCAGTACTTGTATGTGGAACTTGCCACAAAAGAGAGGCCCCATCATCATGCTGATAATCAGACTCAAGCCTTTACACATGCCAGGCAAGTCAAGGACATGATCAGTGAGGTAAGATAACTGCTTTTTTGATTTGGTACCACTATGCTGAACTCTTTAAAAGTTTTATTTCTAATTTTAGTAGTAATTTCAAGGCTCAAGTCCATTTTCCCTACATTTAGTTGTTTTCTCTCTGAAGTTCCACGTTTCCTTTGTAAGCTCTAATAAAATAAACCACTTTAAAAATATGTTTCTGTGTTTTATAAGATACCTGTTTCTAAGTGCTTGTTTGCAGATTGGCAAAGATTGAAATTATAACTCTTACCTTTTGCTGTGTCTCTTAGAAAAAGTATAAAACCCAGTATGAGAAGATGAAGCACAAATACACCCCTGTCCCTGACACCCCAGTCCTGATCAGAGCCAAGAGGGCCTATCTGAATGCCAGTGATGTGAGTACTCAGCAGCACCTGCACTGCTGCTTCTCCTTGGATTCTTTCCACAAAGACCAGAAAATAATCAATAGGGAGCAAGAATTCAAAGCATAGACTATCCCAGTGTAGGTCATGAATGAGATCACTCCATTTGCATGTCCATTTCCATTTGATATTATGGAGATTATTAAGTTTAGATTTGATGTAACTGTAATTTTTTTTTTCGATTATTATAATTCATTTTTATTTCCCACTGCACTGAACAAAGGAAAAACAGATTTAGAGTAATTTGCTTACACATCAGTTCTCCAAATAGTGCAGACTGGAGTGAAATGATTGATGCTGGAACAAGGATAGAGTACCTTTTATCAGCTTTTTTCATCTCTCTGTGTTAGAAGTAAACTTCTCTGTCACTGAGAACGTGTTTATTTTTTAATTCAAGAGTGGATTAGAGGCAAAAATTATCTGAGCTGCTGCACAGAAGGTTATTAAGGTGAAACTGATATTTTTTCCTTCAAGCATTGAACAGTTACTTGGGATTTAAGGCAGTGGGCAGAGCATCATTTGGGAGATCTTTCCTATGTATTTCAGAACCTGCAGGATATGAAAGGACATGTGCTGGGCTGGTTTTTTTTCCCAGGGATTAATTAGTTTTAATGCTTTCTTAGAAGTGATTTTAAAATAATTTAAAGGAGCATCCCAGCTCTTCTGCATGTCTCAGTTTCTCCTCTGAGAAAACCTTTCAGCACAGACTGGGATGATCTTCCTGCTTTGTTCTAGATCAGGGCATGGAAGAAAGGATAAGCAGTTTTTAATGCCACAAGTGGCACTTGTGTCCTGTGAAACAGGGACCTTTTTTCCAGTCTGAAAGTGAACTGGGTAAAATTCTCTCGAATTTCCACCATAAGTTTCAGTCAAATTCCAATTAATTGTAGGCAGCTGCAGCTTCTTCAAATCCCTCAAATCCCTCAGTGCTTACACAAGGGTGTTGGACAGCAACACATCCCAGGATGTCACTCCTGAGAGTTAAGAACTTTAACTGAAACAGTTCCTGGCAGATGAATATGTTGTTTTGTGTGTCATTTTCGTGCCCAGCTGCGCTACAAAGAGACCTTTGAGAACACCAAGGGCAAGTACCACACGGTGAAGGACGCCCTGGACATCGTCTACCATCGCAAGGTCACCGATGACATCAGCTCTGTAAGTACAGCAGTTCTGTTCCCAACCACTGTCTGTCACTTAATAACCTACAATAGCTGTTGTTCCATTGAAATAATTAGAAAAAATTAGATTATTTCCTTCTCTGGAATATTAGATTTGATTGCGTCTGACGTTACAAAGGTGAATCTCGTTTCCGTTCTTGGTTCCCGTGTTTCAGAAAAACATATGGAACTGTGTGATCTGAAGTGTTCTTTTAAATTGTTTTACTTAATTCTTCAATGTTCTCTGTAGATCAAATATAAGGAGAATTATAAGAGCCAGCTGGGAATCTGGAGATCGATCCCAGACCGTCCGGAGCATTTCCATCATCGCCTGGTCACGGATGCCATCAGTGATGTGAGTTCAGAGAGCTCCTGGAAAAGTTATAAGTAGGTTTCCAAAATGAAACCAAAGCCTTCTTTCTAAAGAAAGGGAAGGCAGGTGAAATTTTTTCAGTGATTTACACTTTCTCCTGGTAGATCTGTGAGATGACAGAGTGATTCCAATGGCTAAAATTGCAGCTCATCTCCTTTTCAAATTAACAGAGCAATCCTAATTCATTTCAGTTGCATTTTTCTGTTAACTCTGTCACCCTGTTAACCCTGTAATTGTTCATATCTGTAATTATACAATGACCCTTTAAATGTCCAAGAATAAATATTTTTGATTCACACAGAGACTCCAATAGTTAATGATAGATTAGGTATGTGAGTAATCTGAGTCCCTCAGAAAAGTATGAGTAACTAATTTATTTAATCCTGGAATAATAATGGGTGGAATTGTTTGCCACACCTTGAGGTGTCCTTTCAGCACTGATAATCTCCTTAAAACTGCATCCTTTTATTTCTTTTCTAAAGGTTAAATACAAGGAAGACTTGGAATGGCTCAAGGGCACCGGGTGTTATGTGTGGGATACTCCAGCTTTTGTTCTGGCAGAACAGAATAAAGTGCTCTACAGTGGGGTGAGTAAAACAGTCTGAGATGTTGCTGAATGTCTTTTTGACATTTGCTGTACATTTACAACCATTTGTTTGTAGAAAACTTAAACACACATATGCAATAATTCTACCACGGTCTGTCTCTAAAATCCTATTTTCATGGCCTGGCCATTCTTTAGATTAAAATGGGGATTTTTGTTGTGTGTTTGGTTCTGGTTTTCTCCAGTGCAAGTACAAGGAGTCGTTTGAGAAGACCAAGTCCCAGTTTAAGTACGTGGCTGACTCTCCAAGTAACGAGCATTTTAGATACGCAACTCAGCTGATGGATGGGGTAAGTGCTGGAGGCTCCTCTGGAGTCTCCTACTCAAGTAGTGAAGTCTGTATGGAAATACAGAGCTGGAGGTGGATCTGCCTTATATTCAGGCTTAAAGATGCCTTAAGATCAGGCCGAAATCATGGAAGACAAGGTTATTCTTATTGTCTGAGTATTAGTTTTTTACAGAACCTAGAAAGTGTAATTCCCACCCCTGTCCCATTAATTTGTCTCATTGCAAAGGAACTTTTCCTTTGCTGACTGGGAAATAAATGATAAATAATGCTGCTTGTGGAGCAACACTGGTGATTTCCATCTGAGAAAGGTATAGAGAGAAATCCAATTGCTTTCCTAAAGCATTGGAAAAACCAGTGTTGGGAAGACAGTCTTATGCCTGAAGTTACCAAAGCTTGTTTCATTCCATATATTTCCTTGAATTTTTCCACTCTGCTACTCACTTTTATCTTATTTTTCACCTCTAGTGCTAAACAAACAATATACACACCTTCTAGTGCAGGGGGTTAATGAACCCCCCGGGGTTTAAGGTTAAAATCACCTCTGGAATTTGTAGGATTAGTTCTCTACACCCACAGGACAAAGCCTGTGGAGAAACACCATGTTCTGGGTGATTCCCATCAGCTCAGAGTTGGAATATCACACACAGCTCTGATGCTTTTCATTGAAGAAGCAGATATTTAGATTCCCATTTTGGTATTTCATTATTTTTCACCAGCTGTTACAATGAATTGTTTACCTGTCTGTCCATGTATTATAGTTTTACCTTTTTGGGTAAGAAAAACTGTTCACAACAAATACAATTCCAGTTCTGTTGCTGTAATTTTTTACTGAATTTGATAAACAATGAGCCAGAATTTCTTATGGATGATTGTTAGTATTCAGTTCTTATTGTTCAGTAAAGCAAATAAGGAAAAATTTAATATCAGAAGCATAAATGGGTAAAATTTTAGCAATGGGGCTCCATACATTGGAATGATCTTGCCTTGCCTGAATGTCTTCTGTTATATAAGTCATAAGTTTTTAATAAGAGATTATAGATTTTGCTTAAAAAAATGTTAAAAAAATATTGTCTTTTACCCCCACATCTCATTGTCATCTTTTTATCCTCAGCTCAAGAATCTGTAATAGAGTTCTACTGTTATTTTTCATGAAGAAAATGAGTGATAAAATGAGTTTATTGGAGTGGCAGGAATATGTAGACGTGCTTAAATTGTGGTTTAGGCCTTCCAGTGACAACCTAGAAATGCATGTACCTTTGGAAATACTCTCTCTCTTCTTTTTGTTTTTAATTCTTTTTCTCTTTTTGGCCATGACCTCCCAGCCCAGGCTGTAATGCCCCCTGTGCAGAGGTGGCAATGGTTAGAACAATGATCTCTCTGTGTTTTCACTCTCTTGTCACGCTGTGTGCTGCTCTCCTGAGCAGAAATTATATAGGGCTGCCTATGAGAAGCTCAAAGATAGGTACAGCGTTATTGTGGATGATCCCAGGAATCTCCTGGCCAAGTGGGTCTCCAGGCTGAGCAGTCAGGTACTGTGGGAGCACTGGGTCATCCCAGAACTGTGTGCCACCTTCACCCAGCAGTATCAGCTGTGATACTGTCCTGGGCGTTCGGGTCATCGACGATCTTCGTTCTGCCACCCAAAAAGAACTGGGACTTTTTGTGTGAGCTGCTCTGTGCTTTATGTACTTTCATTATTGTGCATCGACTCACTGCAGAACCTGAGCCCTCTTCAAGCCACTGGAGAGGTTTAAAAAATGCCTTTACTTATCAAGCATTTCTTTTTAATACCTCTCTTTTAAAGGCCTTTGCCAAGATAATCTTCTCCTTCCTAGATAAGCAGCAGTGCCATGTTTGCCTTTTGAGTGCTCTCACCTTCAGCTACAATTTCCCCTCATCTCCCCCCAAAAATTCATGATTTCCTTTCCTTCCCTATAAAAATATTAAGACATTTCCTTCCCTATGCAAATAGGAGAGGAAATATCTTTCTACATTTAATACAAATGCATTTATATATTTTTAGATGAATATTTATCCATTTCATATTTCTGTTGGCGATATCTGCCCCTGACATTCCCAACTCTGCAGATGGGAGTTGTATGCACATGTCAATGAATACATACAGTACCTTGCCTACATCTCTCCACTCTCCAAGTGTCTGGGATCTAGAGCTGTGTTGTTGTTCCTGGTGTTCATGGGTCTCTCTTGTCCTTCGTTGCCATTTGCATGAACAGAAAAGCTATAAATCCTTTGCCAAGATGCTCCTGCAACATGGATGTAATGAAATTCTGAGGCCAGATATGCTGACAGCTCTCTACAACACTTACTTGTGGAGCCAGGTAATATGAAGAACTGCTCTAGGAGACATTTAGATACAATTTCGCTGCTTGGACTTCTAATATTTCCTGCTTTCCTACGGATTTCAGACCCCAAGGATTTGCTGATGTGCTTTATGCTGGCAGTGATCAAATAGTTTTGAGACCAGAATATCACATTTGCTGTCACTGGGTCACTCAGCTCAGGCTGATCTTGTCTCCATTTTCTCCCTTCATCATAAATAATTGTTATATATTTCACATATTTACATAAAAAGCAATTTTTCACACATTTCAGATATTATATGTTAATATTTCCTTAACCCAATTCTCACTCTGCCACCATTTCTTAGATTGCCCACCTTCCATAACATGAGTTCTTAATTACAGAATTAATGATGAAGTAATTTAAAGTAGATTATAATATTTATTCCCACTCTGCCTGGAATGGTGTCAGATAGAGAACAGAGTTATCTGTGCTCTGAAATCACAGCTGCTGGCAGTGACCTTACTCCTTTTAATGGTAAAAATGATTCCTGATCACAATATAAATTATAAACCTGGAAAATAATAATAATAAAATAATAATAATATAATATAATAATAACAACAACAACTATATAAATTATAAACTGGACATTTATAATAATAATAACTATATAAATTATAAACTGGACATTTATAATAATAAATTACTAATAAATTAAGTTATAAACTGGAAATGGAACAGTAGAAAACAGTTACATGAGAGGAAGAAGGGTGTTATTCTTTACTATTAGCACAGATAATATTCTTCAGTATTAAATTACTGAAGGTCTTTACTAGGCATTTTTATTCCATTTTTCTGTGGATTTCTATTATCTCATTAAAAACTCCTTGCAGGTAATTTTGAGTATGTTTGAATTTAAAAAAAAAAAACAAACAGTGTCTAACTGCATGTTCACTTCATGTTATTGTTGATAATTTGTTCATAAGTTTTTTATATTTTGTCTGTCATGGTCCTGTTTCAAAAGCATGGGTTTGTTTTCTGATGCAATGAAAGTTCTGTTTTAAAAATGAGTTTTTAAAAATGTTTTCAAACCCCTTCCAGCTGCCCTCAGGATGCCTACAATGAATCCAAACTCTTGGTGAACAGCCTGTTCTCACTGAACTGTGTGAAAACAGGTTTAGAGTCCTCAGTAGGGCAAGAAAAGTGTTATCAAGACACAAATGTTGCTGCCAAAGCCTTTAAAATATATATATACAGCATTAGAATATATGTGGTGGATATTTTAATCTTTGGTTGTTTAAGATATTTTACATTTCTCCTCATTCTGGTTGTAAAATCATTAAGGTTGGAAAAGACCCCCAAGATCATCAAGTCCAACCTTGGGCCAAATATGGTGAATATTTAAAAAGGAGATGCTGTCCAGTTAGGGAATTTAAAAGTCACTGAGCTGCCAAGATTGATTCTTTAGCTCCATCCTGGAGATAAATGAATGAAGTTAATCAGACAAATTAATTACTCAGGCAGCCTCTTGGGCACAGGAGGGGTTTGCAAAGCTCAGCTCCTGGTGCACGTTCAGCTTTCTTGGGCTTTGTGGGAGGGTTTTGCAAAGTGATGTTCATGTAAAATCACATCTCTCCCAGAGGTTTTGTCCTGCTCTGGGTGTTAATTTACAATCTTTCCCCACCACCAGATTCAATACAAAAAGGACTATGAGAAGAAGAAAGACAAATACACCACGGTCTTGGATACCCCGGAGTACCTGAGGACCAGCAAAGTCAACAAACAGATCAGTGATGTGAGTGTGCTTTGGGCTCATCTCCTCCTCATCCCAGCCTTTGGAGTGGGATAATCACCCCCAGGGAATTCATCTGCTCTCCAACGTGCCTTTGCAGATTATTTACAAGCTGGAGTACAACAAAGCCAAGCCCAAGGGCTACACCACCATCCAGGACACGCCCATGTTGCTCCACGTGCGCAAGGTCAAGGACAGGATCAGTGATGTGAGTAAATCAGCCCTGGCTGGGGGTCAAAAACACACAGAATTAACTTTTTACCTTGACAGCCAATGTTTTTAACTCAGGTGTAACACTCAGGAAAAAAAAAAACCTTTCTTGTTAGAGCCTATTTTATTTTGTTTGCCTGTTAAACTCTATTTTCATTTAATGCTATTTTCATTTAGTTCATTTAAAACAGTTTTTCAGCAAGTGTTATATGTAACATTCTTCTGTAACTCTTGAAACATTTTTTTGTGTAATTATGCATTTTACTGGTAATTTACATTTTACTAGCAATAAAAGCCATGAGCTGCAACTGATCTCTAAATCATGAATTGGGAAGTTTTTTCCTAGGTTTTTGTCCTCTGGTGGCTTTTTTTGAGCCCTGAATAAATTAGTTAATACTTTACTGTGTTTATCAATTTCTTCTATGGATGTTGTGAATTCGTAAGGTAGATATTGTGGTCTAAAATAAAGATATGTTTTGATTCTGGGGCAGTGAAAGACTAGAAAGGAGAGAGAAAGGAAGATGAAGTAGATAGAATAATATATAGGATTTAGGAGTCCTGCTCCTAATTCCTCCTTCTACTTTAGGCTTTCTCCCTGACCTTTGTATTGTTCTTTAGATATCCATAAATAAAATGAGGATATTAACACTTCTGTAACTCAATATAGTACTGTCAGAATAAGTAACCTGAATGTCATTCAGATGCTCTGTGGATTATCTACATAAATAGTAAATCCAGGAAGGAAAAATAACCATATTATCCAGATACTAATGGGATCACCAGGAGACTGAGATGTTTCAAAGTGATCTGAGAACTAAAGTACATTTTTTAAAGCTCCAAATTGAATGCTGAGGTTCTACAAAGGAGTTTTCAGGAAGCATTGAATGCTCTTAGAAAACAAGTATATTTAAAGCATTTCTTTTAGCCACATCCAGTCATTTCTTCTATTAAGATTTTATCTTGACAGGAGCAAATTTACTGTTACATTTTTCACATTGGGATGCTTTTCTTGCTGCTGCTGATTGGTACCTTTGTAACATTTGATGTGTTGGTCCTTCTGTAGCTGAAATACAAAGAAATGTATGAGAGGAGCAAATCTCGCTGCAACGTCGTGGCAGATTCGGTTCATATCAAGACTCCAAGACACGCTTACAAGCTCAACAGCAACGTGAGTTCACTTAAATTCAGGTCTTATTTTCATTATGGAGAGTGTTTTAGACTGGCAGGAGAGGCCATGAGTTCCATTTTCAGTTCCACTGAATTTTCTCAGCTTGGACGTCGCTTCTAATTCTTACCCCGCTTGACTTCAATATATTTTAATTCATTTTGTGCTAAAATTCTCACTCCTGCAAGTTTTCCTTGAGGTCAGTGGAGGTCCTTCTGTGTCAGAAATCTGCTGTTCATTTAGCTGTCCTCTTTCCTGACAGACACACAACTGTCCCAGGAATTCCCTGGGATGTTCTTGTAGACAAAGCAAGCACTTCATGGGAAGCTTTCCCATGTTTTCTGGTTTTAGTGGCCCAACTCCCATTTCAAGAGGAAGAACCTGAAAGCTCCCACCTTCCTCAAAGTCAGGACATCACTTCAGCCCTTCATATTCCATTTTCCACCTAAGAGTGGGAAAACTGGAATAAATAGACTCTGCATGAGTCAGAGGAAAGCCCCAATCTGACGTAGCTGCACCTTCTTCCCTCTTCTCTCTTTTTTTGGGACAGATCAAAGAGAATTTCCCTCTCTATGTCATGTGTAAAGTTCACAACTTCCAATTAACTCTCTTTTCTTTGGTTTTTCCCTGCAAACAGCTGGATTATAAGAAGAAATATGAAGCAGCCAAGGCTCACTGGCACCTGATTGCTGACAGGCCTGACTTTGTGCAAGCAGCCAAATCATCTCTGCAGCAGAGTGATGTAAGAAAGTCAGAACAACCCAAATATTCCCTTTTCCCACATCTCTCACATCCAGAATATAAGAAACAAATTGTAGAAGATCTGAGACTCTCTTCTCTTATCCTTTTTTTATTTTTTATTCCCTGCAGTATGAATACAAACTGGACCGGGAATTCCTGAAGGGGTGCAAAATCTCTGTCACTGATGATAAAAACACAGTGTTGGCCTTAAATAATGCCATTTTAGCCAGTGATGTAAGTACCAAACTCACTTTTCCTCTCTAAGTAAGTAAAGTTCTTTGTTAGAACTTTATTTATTACATTAACTGCTTTATTAGAAATATGGTTGGAATAACAGTGAAGCTTGGAACAGTCATTCTCAGTCTCACTCCATTATTTGAATTGACTTGCTTATTTCATTAACAAATCAACAAAATTTGAATAAATTTGGTCTTGTAAATGTCACACAATATTAAATTAATATCCAAAGTTAACGTTGCCTGAACACTCCAGGCCTTCCACCCAGGTATCTCTACATTCCTGGTATTGAAATGGAAATATCTGGAGAAAGCAACAAAAAAAGCTGCAGCTATAAATCGGGCATAACACAAAGTATCTTTAATAATTACTATCAAGATATTAATATTTGCTATATCCATAAAATTCCAAGTGAGAGCTCTAGGAATGTATAGACTAAAATGAATTTATTTTGGAATATATTAAAATATGGGATTTTCTGCTAAGTTTTGCACTAGCAAGCAGACACGACTATAATAATTACTTTTTAATCTGCCACAAGACAAGATAAACATGGCTTAAAATCAGATCTTTCCTTCCTGGTAGATAAAATACAAAGAGAAGCACAACAAAGCCCGGGGAACGTACCATGTGGTCCCAGACACACCTCAGATCCTCCTGGCCAAGAATGTCAGCTCTCTTGTCTCTGAGGTAAAACACCAGCAGTTATTTGCTCCTTTTAGTTTAATTTAATCCTTGAATTGCTGTTTCTCACCTCTTTTTGTGCTGTGCTTTCAGAACAAGTACAAAGAGCACAGCAAGAAGCAGCTCCCCCACGGCTCTTTCACGACCCTGCCCGAGACGCGGGACACGGCGCACGTGAAGGAGGTGACCAAGAACGTCAGTGAGGTGGGTTCAGACTCACATCATCGTCTCCAAATAACCAACTTTGAGATCTAAACTGCAGATTGTGGTGACCAAACTGGGGACCACACGCTTTGGGAATGAGGAGACTCCACCTGAGCCCTTCTCAGCAGTTTCGGGGGGTTATTTCCAAGTTTTGGTGGCGTTTCCCTTCCTGTGAAATTGCCAAATCACACGTGGCCCTTTTTGCTCTTAACAGACAAACTATAAGAAGAAGTTTGTGAAGGAGAAAGGCAAATCTAATTATTCTGTCATGCTGGAGCCTCCTGAAGTGAAACATGCCATGGAAGTTGCCAAAAACCAGAGTACAGTGAGTTTGCCTTTTCTTTCCATTAATTAAGTAGGTTTTATAAGCAAATTCAATAAAAACCCCAAATTTCTGTATTTCTGAATTCCCTCCCAGCCTCCATATTTTGGTGTAATTTTGAAAAATTTTATTTTTCTTTTATCTGAATGATTGTATCTTTACTTTTATCTGAAAGATTAAAGTACCTATATTTACAAATATAAAATTACACTGAAATGAAGGATTTGTACTTGATCACATGGTGGGATTTAAAGTAATGTGATGCAAATCACATCTAATAATTTTTTCATTCTTTCAAATACAGACGGAATTTCCAATGTTTATTTCTTCATTTGTAGAAAACTTGCAAAAATAAATTCCCAAATCCCTTCCTTGTGAAATTATTTCAAAAATAAACCCATATACTTTCTCAGCAATGTTGCTGTGTCCTTCACTGGTATATTCCTTATGGATAATCCTCAGGAATTTCCTTTTCTTTGCCTGTTTTCATGGATTAGATTGAATACAAGAAGGATGCCAAGTCAAAGCTCCACTACACACCGATAGCAGATCGACCAGATATTAAGAAAGCAACTCAGGCTGCCAAGTTAATCAGTAATGTAAGTGGGGTTTAAGTCTTCTCTGTAATTCCTAGGCATTAATTTTCCTACTAAACCAGTGTCAGTAGAATAATTCAAAGGGAATGCCAACTGTATCTTTATTTTCCCTGTTAGATTGAGTACAAAAAGCGTGGAGCAGCTGGAGTGGGGGTGACCATGCTGGGACGGCCAGACATTGAACTGGCCAAGGAGGTGTCCAAACTCACCAGCCAGGTAAGGAGGAATTAATTAAAAAGTGGGGGAAACTTTGGAACAGTGAGAGAAATGAGACATAATATTAACTTATAATGTCACTAGTATAACCGAAATTATTTCTAGATTAGGGGAAAAGGAAAAAAAATAAAGTAAAAATTAAATACCAGCACAGGTATTTCTTTGTTCGATGAACATTTCTACTGATTTACTAAATGTCATTAATGGAGGTATAAAATCTTCTTAAAATGGTGTTGTGAGAAGATTTATTTTTTTTTTAAATGCTAAAGCTGAAGTGTTTGCCATGTTCTTTTACAGCTCTTCTGGATATTTATTGGCTTTACAAGAATCCCCCCTTGACCCAACTCTTATTACCCATCCTTTGAATGGACACTCGCTTTCTTGCAACTGCTTTCCACCCCATGTCTTCAAAATAATCTCGTGCCAGGACCTCAGAGCTTGGTTCTTTCTCCCTCTTTCATGCCTTAATGCTGGAATTGTGCCTTTCTGACCTTGCTTTCTTGCTGCTGATTGTAGGCTGAGTATCTCAAACAACACATGAGGGGCCACGGAGCTGCATCCTATGACACCCCCTGGATGAGAACCTTTAAGAAAGCCAATATGCTCAGTAGCCATGTAAGATAATTTTATTTAAGTGGCATCAATGCCATTATTGTGCACCTGTCTCTTGCTTGCTTATCATCTTGCAATTCTGAAGCATCACTTTGTTGAAACGTTATTGTGCCCTTCAAAATGGCTTTGGAGCTTCCAGATGAGTGAAAACTCATCTTTTTCACGCCAAAACACCTAAAACTTGAGGTGTTATTTTCTGAAAGTGTGCAAAAAAAAAAAGGAAATATATGTGTATGACAAATCTGAGTGATGGTGCTGGAAATTTTCAGTGAACAGTCACTAGAACTTCATTTTAACTTTCAAACCTCTATTAAAACTTCGTTTAAACTTTATGTAAATTTTAAAGGAAATTTAAAATTCTAATTTATTTATAAATGTAAACAGCCTGTTTACACTGTGCTGGAATTTCATAGTGGAAAAATAGTGTGTGACTGAATCAATCCCACAGCCTGGGAGGGCTTGGAAGGCACATAATTTCTTATCCTTCTTCCCACCTCAAAACCTTTGTAAAATAAGAAAGTGAGCCTGGGCTGCAGCTGTTGAAGTGGCAGCAGCAGGTCTGTGCCATTTCAGTGTTACACATGTATTTCCAAGTGAAAAAAAGGGTGGATTTTCGTTTTTCCATATCTGCTGCATGTGTCTGTGGCATGTTTGAGTGTCAGGAAAACCATGGATCTCTTCAACAGAGCCAGGGATTCTTTAATTGAACCACTGAATTACAAGAAAAAGAAGAAATTAAGTTTATTCCCACTCAGTGCTGAGATCCTCCTTTTCCATGCTCTTGTCCCAGTGCTGACCAGTTCTTTGGGTCTTTTAAACATTCTTTGCTGAGATTATTTTAGTTCTGAGAGAAAATAAGCTGCTGTAGAGGCAGTGAGGGAGCAAAGAATAACTGGAATATCTTCAACTATTTTGTTTTCTCTTGGCTATCTCTTCTCATAAACTTCTTATGTCCTTCTTTATGTCCTGTTTGTTTATCCAGTTGGGTTTTTTTAGTTGGATTTTGTCTGTCTGTCATGCTTGCTTTCAATTCTGCAATTTTTGGGGGTTAAAAAATTCTCATTCTTGTCACCATTTCTCTGCCTCCAGCCTGGATCTGCTGGATTATTATGGCTCTCATTACCTGTCTGCTGCTGCTGTGGCTTGGAAGTGTTACTAAACCTCTTGTATAATCTAATTCCTGGTAATTAATTGTGTCCCTGTCCTGTTTGTGATCATTGGTGTCATTTGTCTCTTATTCAGCCAGAACACACTGTTTGTATAATAACATATCGAAAAGTATTTGATGTATTGACATCTTCGGTGCTCTTATGTCTTTTAAAGCTCTTATTTCTCCAAGAAATATGTAAAAAGTTCTTTTAAACACCTTATATATCCTCGTATTATATCATATCATATCATATCATATCATATCATATCATATCATATCATATCATATCATATCATATCATATCATCTTACATTATTATATTATATAAAATATAATATATATTTTATATATATAATTGTTTTATGCTATACTCTTATTATACCTCTCTTTTCATCTCTTTGTGAAATGTCTTTAGTCAATGGCCAGTTCTCATCAAGTGAAAAATTCTTCCTGTCCCAGGGCCAGGATTTGACTCTATTTTGGCACCACAATTCTCTCGGCTCTTCTATTTTTACACCGAGGAGATGCAGTTTTTCATTCAAGTGGTATTTTGTAAACACAGATGTAGATTTTCTTTCCATGTCAGGTTTTCTTTGCTATAACCTTTATTCCACTGGGTGCCTTCAGGTTATTACATTTCTGTTCTTCTCCCCAGCAGCCCCATTGAAGCAGAGCCTCTTTGCCTTCTGCACCAAACAAGCGAGTCCTCAAGAGCAGTTGTAACCCCTGGTTGTTTCCATTTAGGTGAAATACAAGGAGAACTTTTCCAAAGAGTTGGGTAAGAAGCCAAAGTATGACCTAAAGGAGGCCAAAATCTACAAGACCATGAAGGACGCCCACAACATGGCCAGTGAGGTACGGGGGGGTTGTGCTTTGCCCTGAGGGGGGAAGTTCAGATTTCTTTGCCAAAAACCCTCTTGGTGTTACTAAAACACCCCCCAGCCCAGTTTCGTGAGGTGGTTTGTCCCCCCTGACGTGCAGGTGAAGTACAAAGCTGACCTGAAGAAGCTCCACAAGCCCGTCACGGACATGTCGCAGTCGCTGATCATGAACCACGTGCTGAGCACGAGCCAGCTCGCCAGCGCTGTAAGACCCCTAACTCACCCCTAATTCCCAATCCCACATGGAATTCCCTCTGCTAACTCCTCCTGTAACAGCTCCTCCCTGTGTTGTTCCCATGGGACGTCACCTGGTAGTGATCTCTTCCTCCACCTCCTAATTATTAGTTCCTCGTTAACCAGCAGCTTCACCACTTTTGTCCTCTGGGAAGGGAAATCTTTCAAATCCTCTGATAATTTTTAGTGGATTGATTCTTTATCCCATTTTAACTGGTTGCACTACACTAACAAATGCCTTTTTTTTTTCTTTACTGATTAATATATTTAAATTCTTTAATTTTTTTCTGGTTTTTTATCTTTTCATGTTTGTTTAATATCCCCCTGTTATAAACCTCCATGATTATGCCTAACAAAATAATTGAGAATTTTACTGAGAAAAGGCAAAAAATGTATCTTGGTACAGCCTTTTCTTTTATCTGCTGTGTTTTCTCTTTCCTTTTTCTTTTTTTTAATGGTTTTGACAAAATCTTTGTTACAACCCCCCAAAAAAATAACCCACACCTTTAACTCCCAGTTTCCAAAATCACTTCTAAACTTCTTGCTTTTTGTTTTGCTTCTTGTATTTCTAATTTCTCTTTGATGTTCCATTGAAGTGTTGCTTTGATTGGACCTGAGAAGTAAATTTTCTGAGGGATTTTTTTTTTTATTGAGATGATTTTTGACACCTTCCCTTCAGTACCAGTACAAGAAGCAATATGAGAAGAGTAAGGGTCACTACCATGTGGTGCCAGATAATCTTGAGCAGGTTCATCTCAGGGAGGCATCAGAACTCCAGAGCCACGTAAGTTGGTCGTGTGTTTGTCCTTATCCCAAAAAATATCCATCCCTGAAATCCTCCCAGGAAATTCTCTCCAGTCTCTAACAATCCCTCTCTGCTTTACCAACGCTGCCTCATGAGAAATATCTGCACATTTGCAAGTAGAACACAGAAAATATACAGAAAAATACCTTCATTACACAGTCAGTCTCAGTTCCTCACCCCTGCTGTGCATGGATTTTTTACAGTGTATAATACATTTATCAGGGGGATTTCCCTATAGAAAAATGACCTGGAAATCACAGAAAAACTGGAAACTGGAGGAGTCAGGGTTGTTGTTCACAGTTGTATTTTCAACTGCTTTAATTATTCAAGTGCAAGGAGACCTCTGCCATTCCTTTTCTGCATCCAAAATTGTTTTAACCCAAACAACTATTAAATATGTCTGGTTTTCCCCTCTGCAATAAAATGGTGAATCATTCCAGAGAAATTCAAACTCTGATTTGATCTCTAATCCTCTCTATTCCAAGTATTTATTGGCTGTAGAGCAAGAGGAAAATTGCTGGTAGGACACAAAGGACCGTGGTTATGGCATGGAATGGAATTCCAGGATTTTTTTGGGTTGGAAGGGACCCCAAACCCCATCCAGTCCCACCCCCTGCCATGGACAGGGAACACCTTCCACTAGCCCAGGTTGCTCCAACCTGGCCTTGGACACTTCCAGGGACTTTCAAGGCATGGAAGAGCAAAAAGGCCACATAACAAAGGACTGTAAGAAAATGGTTAAAATTAAATTTTAAGTCACTACTTTTTGGGATCAGGCTCTGACTCAGTGACATCTCATTCAACAGTTGATGCCCTAAAGGCTGGGTAATGTAATTTATAGGAAGAATATCTTCAACTTTGTGGACATTTTCCTTCCTGGGCACCAAATTTGAAATTTGATGGTCAGTAATAGACTTTTCAGGAAGGTAAACAGTATTAAGCATTAATTTTTTACCACAGAACTGTTGTCAGTGAGCAGATATTAGTCAGTGAATTGGATCTTGGATTATTTAGGAGGGTGACTTTTTGTCTTTTCTTCTCAGGTGAAATACAGGGAAAAGTATGAGAAGGAAAAAGGAAAACCCATGTTGGACTTTGAGACTCCAACATACCTCACAGCAAAGGAGTCCCAGCTCATGCAGAGCGAGGTACAGTCAAAATCAGTACTGATGGTCAAAAAAAATCCTGCAATTTATTTTTTTATAGTTAAACTTTAATAGACATTTAATAGGCAGTTATACCTACATCCTGTGCATGCTGAGAGACTGAAAAATTACAGTTCCATCAGATTTCTTTACACTGGTTATGAAATGCCACTGAAGCTTTCCTGTGTCACAGTAAAGTGGGTTTTTATCTGTTTTTTTTTTAGCAAGAAGCTCTCAGTAAATGAAGCTTAAACAAGTCTTTGAGGAAGAAATGTAACATGAAATACATCTCCCTTAAACTTTACAAAAAAAAAATACAGTGTGTGTTGGTTATCACAGCCCACAGAAAGTGCCCTGGTTATTTTTTCACCTCAAACCTCCATTTTTGAGGAAGCCCCTTATTCCCTGTGTGTCTCTGCTGTCCCAGACCTGTCACTCCATTTCCCTGAGCAGTGTTGTTGGGTTTATTTGAAGTATAATCTTGTTCTGGCACAGATGGAGGCTTGGCCATATATCTTTATAGGGCCATATAAGTCATTGTGTTGGAGTGATTCCTTTAAGTATTTTCTCTGCACAGACAAATAAGTAGAAAAATAAAAAAATAAAGGCAGGATCTGGTCATATTTCCATTGAAAAGCAATGAGCTGTTTCATAACCTTCGGTGAAAATAGGATTTATTGCTTTAGGTGCCCTCAAATGGTGTCATTAATGCTAATTCCTGCTCCATCCTCCCAGTAGTTTTTCACATCATTAAAAATGCTGTGATAAACACTTGCTATTTTGCTTTTTTTTTCCCCCCCTTCTTGCTTTCATTAGAAAGAATACAAGAAGGACTTTGAGGAGTCCATGAAGGGCAGGAACCTGACTGGCCTGGAGGTCACACCATCCCTGTTACATGTCAAATATGCAACCAAAATAGCCAGTGAGGTACCAGCAACTCTGTGCTTTATTCCCTCCTTCTTGTTTTCCACATCTGTTTTTTTTTATTTTGGAGCTTTTGTGATTCTTTTTACTTTCATTCTTTTAATTATTATTATTATTCATTATTTTTTATCATTATTTATTTATATATTATTAAGTGGTAGAGTGCAGAGCTCCCTTTAGCCTGGATTTGCAGGTTTTCTCCTTCTTCTCCTGCAGAAAGAGTACAAGAAGGATCTGGAGGAAGGTGTCAAGGGGAAAGGACTGACAGCCCTGGAGGAGACTCCAGAGATGTTGAGAGCCAAGAATGCAACTCAGATCCTCAATGAGGTATGTCAGAGCTCTTTGGAAAATTCCTGAGTGGATGGAACATCCTCCAGCTGCCATGGAAAGGAATAACTTCCACTAGATCAACTCCAAACCCTGTCCAACCTGGCCTTGGACACTTCCAGGGATCCAGGGGCAGCCACAGCTTCTCTGGGCAACCTGGGACAGGGCCTGCCCCCCCTCCCAGCCAGCAATTCCTTCCCAATATCCCATCTAAATCTACCCTCCCACTGAGGGAGGAATGAACTTTGTCATTCCCTAGAAACTCCCGAGTAGAGTGATAAAAAGAACATGGGCGGGTGACTAAGGATCAAAATGGGAACTCTTTTGTGGCTTTGCAGTCACTGCTGGGAATTCAGGTGGAAAACGGGTGCTGGGATCAATAGTCAGATCAGTCCAGAGACTCATTTAGGTCATTAGTCCATTGCCTAAATCAGTCAAGGGACTAAGCCAAGGTCTAAGTTGTGAAGTGCACCCTGAAGTGACTGGATTGAACTGTGAGTTGATATTGGTAGTATTCCTGTTCTGAGGTGTGCTCATGAAAGTTGCTGAAGGTATTTCCTTCCCCTTGCCATGATCTATTCCCTGTCTTGCCCCGCAGAAAGAGTACAAAAAAGCCTTGGAGTTGGAAATCCGAGGAAAAGGCCTGACAGAGCTGGCTCTGGAGACCCCGGATTTCGTGCGGGCCAAGAACGCCACGGACATCGCCAGCCAGGTGTGTGGGGGGACCCTGAGCTGTCAGCTGGGCTCTTCTTAAAGGAAACCTCAGTTCTTTGTGCTTAAACCCAGAGCAAGTTGTTGTGCAGAGATGATTGAGGCACCTAAACCTGAGCTTTGCCCGACAGATCAAATACAAACAATTGGCAGAAATGGAGAAAGCCAACTACACCAGTGTTGTTGATACTCCAGAGATTATTCATGCCCACCAGGTCAAGAACCTTTCCAGCCAGGTATCTCGAGTGAAGCGACCTAATCACTGTTCATTGGCCACAAAATACTAATTTGGGCACCTAAATAACCACCTCTGACACCTTTCAGGTTACACCAGGAAGCAAATCTCTCTAGAGCTGTGATGTGGCATCTTACTCTGAAATTCCATTTCAATAATCAAATTAATTGATTTTAATGCTGTGTAATACTCTGCAATACCAAAGCTAATTCTTTTCTGCGTGGATTTAGCTTAATTTTCCACTCCTTAATAACCTAATATTTAAATTAATTACACAGAGGCATAATCTCAGTTTACAGCAGGCAGAGGAGTACTCACATCTTCATAACGATGGGCATCATGCAGCAATAAATAATGCCAGCTTATCACTGCTTCTGTGGTTTCTGTTTTAATGTATTTGGGATTTTCTGTTAGAAAAAATACAAGGAAGAGGCAGAGAAGAGCATGTCACACTATGTGCCTGTGGCAGACACCCCAGAAATGCAGCGAGTCCGGGAGAACCAAAAGAACTTCAGCATAGTAAGTACAGAAATACAAAAATTATTTTTTTTTCTCAGCTTCAAAGAAAACTCTACAAGTAAAGGTTTATGGGATGGAGTCAACATTTGACATTTTACTTGAACTTTTCCAACAGCTCCAGTACCAGTCAGACCTTCAGAACAGCAAAGGAAAAGTCACAGTTGTCCAAGACACCCCAGAGATGCTGCGGGTGAAAGAAAACCAGAAGAACTTCAGCTCGGTAGGGTCACTTTGTGTCCTCAGCTGTCCCCAGAAATCCAGTTTAATGCTGGATAAAATAACTGGGTTTGGCTCTCCTCTTCCAGGTCCAGTAGATTTAGTTGGGTTTTATGGAGTGTTTTTACCACCTGTTTTTTTTATGGAGTGCCCTGATTGGACTTTTCGCATACATAGCTGTGATATAGTTAAAACAGTCACTCCTGTAATTAATTAGTATTCATTAGTAATTAATTAGTATTCCTTTTCTTTTGTCCTGTTACCCTGTAAGTGCATTTTTGTCCTGTGGCCCCTCGTGCACTGTCTGCCTGACTTGTTTCCCATTCCATGTTGCTGTGAAGTTCCTCAAGTCTGTTGTAGAACTTTGCCTCCAGCACCATTATTAAAGCACACAACAAAGGGGAAAACATTTGTGGAAAACAAATTAGAGCAAATTACGATTTTCAATCCTAAAATTGGCCCACAAATGTTTGGATCATAGAATTATGGAATGGTTTGTGTTGGAAGGGACCTTCAAGCCCATCTCGCCCCACCCCCTGCAGGGGCACCTTCCACTAGCCCAGGTTTCTCAGATGTTCTACTGAAATATATTTGATTTATTATATCAATGATATTCTACTTAAAATGCATCAAATATAAACGATCAGCCCCTTTTTTCCCCCCAAATGGTGCTGAGACTTCAGCGAGGCAACAGGCAGTGACTGGAGCTGGTCCTTTGTGCCCCAGTTCACTCTCTTAAGAGCAAGAATGTTGTGTTTTGGATGCTTAACCTTGTTGTCTTCATTCTAAATATTAAGATTTTGTATAAAGAAGATATTGGAACTGGAACCACTATTGAAAAGACACCAGAGATGCAGAGAGTTAAACAAACCCAGGATAATATCAGCTCGGTACAAAAGAATTGATTTTTAATCCTCTACCACTGCTAATTCCTCTTGAAATAATATTTCTTTTTCTATTTTTTTTTCTTCTCATGTTGCTAACAGTGGTTTGGCAATAACCCCACCCAGCTGAGGGTGACTTTCTTCAAGTTTTTGCCTCTCCTTTTTACTTTAACAGTCATCTTTCTAATGATTAACACTCAGTTTCTTACTTACAACCCATTTCTAAACCACGAGAGCTCTTGCCAGCATTTTAATCTCACCCCAAAGATTGTTTGGACAGAATCAAAGAATCGTTTAGGTTGGAAGGGACTTGTTGAGAGCATCTGTTGCTCCAGCAGGGTCTGGAGGTTGCTTGGATGAGCTGGGTTTTGAGTATCCCACAGGATGAAGATTCCACAACCTCTCCAGGCAATTTTGTTCCAGTGTCTGTGTGACCATCTCACCGTTAAAAAGTGTTTTACTGTGATCAGACTGAATTTTCTGGTGGTGGTTTGTTTTTTTTTTGTTTGTTTTTTTTTTTTTGGTTTTTTGGGGTTTTTTTTGGTTTTTTTTGTTGTTGTTGGGTTTTTTTGGTTGATTTTTTTGTTTGTTTTATTTGTTTATTTGTTTTGTTTGTTTAGGATTTTTTGGTTTTTTTCAGGGATTGTTGGTTTGTTTTAGGTTTTTTGCTTGTGTGGTTTTTGGGTTCTTTTTTTGGTGTTTTTTTTTTTTTGGGGGGGGGAGGGTTTTGTTTTTTTTCTGTTTGGTTTGTTTTATTTTTTTGTCCTGTCACTGACAGCTCCTAAAAAGAGCAGCTCCCTCCCCTTTATTCCTTCTCACTGGGCATTTCTACACATTGAGAAGTTCCCCCTGAACATCCTCTCCAAACTGAAGAGTCTCAGCTCTCTGAGCCTCTTCTCATGTCTGAGGTGATCCTGTCTCCTACTCATCTTTTTGGCTTCTCCAGTCAGTCCATGTCTGGGGAGCCCAGAGCTGGACACACAACTCCAGTTGCAGCCTCACTGAGTGGAGGGGCAGGATCACCCACCCTGGCCTGCTGGGAGTGCCCTCCTGAATCATAAGCCCATGGAATCAATGGGTTGGGATGGAAGAACCTTGGCCTTTGCCGTGAGGGTCCTCAGGATCCTTCTCTGCAAAGCTGCTTCCCAGCCAGTTATTCCCAGCCCGGGGCTGTTCCTCCCCATTACAGGACCTTGAATTCCCCCCTGTGGAACCTCCTGAGGTGCCTCTCAGCCCCTTTCTCCATCCCTGTCCCTCTGGATGCAGCACAACCCTTGGCTGGATCAACCAACCCTCCCAGCTTTGTCACCCTCTGTCCCAGATCCAGGTCCCCCGGGAGGGTGACCCAGTTTTGACCTGGGGGTCCCCCAGTGGTCACTTGTGTCCAGCTGCTCCTGGTGCCACTGCTCAGGACCCCCTGGATCCAGTTTTCTGTCCGTGTCTTGTGCTTGTCTGTGGAGCTGCCAGGGCCAACAAGTGCCCCCAGCCTCAGGAAAGCTTCTCTTGTCAAGCTTTTACATGATATCAAAAGCTGCAGCACTCTAAAATTGGAATAATTATACATAGTCCTTCTCTTTCCAAACTCATAAATCTCTTCTCTGCTTTTTTGGAATGCTGGTGTCACTTTGGTCTAAAATACTAACATTTCAGCCAATTTGTTGATGCAGAATGTGTTCAATATGTTGTTGTGAGGTGCATTTTCCCTTGCTGTGCCCAGGCAGACGCAGAGAGCGCTGGGATGTTGGGTGAGGACTCTCACCTTGGCTGAACACGAGGGATTCTTGCACAGCCCAAATTCTCCTTTCACTGGTAGAAAGACCAAATGGAATGGGGTTCCAGCTGGTTTTATAAAACCTTTCCAGTGCCATTCCCAGCGACTCAGCAGCTGAAGTTGCCTTGTCCCAGATTTCTTGGCAAGGCGATGGGAATCCTTTACCAGTTCAAACCCACGAGATCCTTTAAATTCTCACTCTCCACAAGCTCAGGAAAGAAAAATTTTCTTTCTGTATCCATAATGAATCCATTTAGTGCTTCAGTGTAACCCCTTTTTGCTGTCTGTGCCTCTGCAGATCAAGTACAAGGAGAGCATTGGGAAGGGAACCCCCATTCCCGACCTGCCGGAGGTGAAGCGCGTCAAGGAGACCCAGAAGCACATCAGCTCGGTATGGCCCTGTCTGTGCCCCCTCCACACCACCCACAGCTCCAGCTCCAACTTTTACTCCTTGGCTGTTGGTTTTAGGGTTGGGAAGAGTCTCCCAAATCCTTGGGTTGAGCAGCAGGGAGTTTAAATCCCTGAACTCGATCACAGTCGGTCACTTCCTGCATTAATTCTGTGACCTTTTCTAAACACACAAGTAGGAGCAAAAATTACCCAGGTTGTGTTGTAATTAGTCTGAAAAAAAAATGGATCAGGTAGGGAGAACTTTGTGGAAAAAACCCAAATGGAGCTTCTTTATAGTCACAAAATAAGGGAAAACAAAACCTGGCTGTTCCCTTATCTAAGTGTAGATTTTAACAACCACAACGTGTTTCCCAGCTCATTTTTGCACAACTGAGTTCTTTTCTCAATTTTTTTCCCAACCTTTTACATAGTTTCATTTTCCCTTGCTGAGATTGCTTTATTTTTGGTTGGTTTTTTTTTTTCATTGTTTCAATTATATCAAGCACTGAAAGTTGCTGGTTTTTTTTTTTTACTTACCTTGTTTTGTTGCAAGTATTTTACTACTTGCAGGAAGAGCCCTGAATGCATTTGTCATGTATTTCTATGTGGTTGGGGTTTAAACCAACCCAGGTTTCTCCTATACAACTCCCTCCACAAAAAAATACAATCTTTTTGAAATCAAACTTAATAACATGAGGGATAATAGTTATCCTTAGTTGAGAGTTTTCCTCTCACAACTAGAATTGTTTTCCTTACTAGAGATCTAACCCACAGTAAAGCAGTGCTGTTGCAAACAAACAGGCACAGAAATCAAAATGAATGAAGCCCACAATTAAGTATTTGTGGATTAAACATGGTTATAAAAGATTAACACCATCAAAGAGACTCCAGAAATGCTGAGTGCCTGAAAAATAATACTGTTATAGTTCCTGAACTCAGGTGAAAAGCAAAACCTCTGGTCAGGAGGATATTTGTCCTTGAAGTGTTTGAGGTGCTTGAACACACTGAAGTCAGAGCACTTTGCTGAGCTGGTGGCTGGGCTTGTACAGACAGTGAGGGACAGAAACTGGGCACTATTTCCATGTGATCCCAGGGAAATTCTCTGTCCCAGTGCAGCTCTTGTGGAAGTCGTGATCTCTGCAACAGGAGGGGGGAGCCAGAGGGGGTTCGGGCTCTGCTCCCAGGGAACAAGGGACAGGAGGAGAGGGAACGGCCTCAGGCTGTGCCAGGGGAGGCTCAGGTTGGACATCAGCCTTTCTCATGGAAAGGGTGGTCAGGCACTGGCAGGGGCTGCCCAGGGAGGTTTGGAGTGCCCAGCCCTGGAGGTGTCCAGAGAAGGCCTGGCCGTGGCACTCAGTGCTCTGGGCTGGGGGACAAGGTGGGGAATGATCACAGGGGAGACTCCATGACCTTGGAAGTGTTTTCCAGCCTCAGTGATGCCATGACTCTGTGCCCTTGTGTCCTGCAGGTGTTGTACAAGGAGGAGCTGGGCACGGGCACCCCCACGCCCGTGACCCCCGAGATAGAGCGAGTCAAACGCACGCAGGAGCACATTAGCTCGGTACCGGCCCCGGGACTTGTAACAACGGCTGTTGTTATAATCCTGCTCTGTAACCCCCTAACACTCCTCCTCCCTCAGGGGTTTAGTCCTGGCTTTGCCCTGGCAGTGTCTTAACTCATTGATATCCCACCTGTTTGTGCTTTTGGGGGATTCACACCTTTCCACACCAACCAGAACCGAATTTAACGTGGTGTTTCTCCCCATGTTTATCTCGACCCTTTATCTTCTCTTCCCTCCAATCACCTATTTACAGAATAATCCCCCATCAGCCTCTTCCTTAATATTTGCCTCTGGATCCAGTGTGAAGTGAATTAAGAGGTGATCTAACGCTGAGCATAACCCAGGGAAGGGTCAGCCGTGGTGGTTGTGCCTGTGCTGAGGGGTTTTTGTGGGCGCTGTCTCGTCCCTCGCAGGTGTTGTACAAGGAGGGTTTAGGGACGGGCACCGCGACCCCGGTGACGCCGGAGATGGAGCGAGTGCGGCGTAACCAGGAGAACATCAGCTCGGTACTGCCCTTCCAAATGCCAGTCAGACCCCTTCAGCTCCTCCACTGACACCCTCCTTCCCATTCCTGGGTGACCTGGGAGCAGCCCTTCCCTTATGGAATCACTGAAACCCTGTCAGGATCCTGATAGTTTCGTTTTTCCCTCATTTAACCTGTCACTCAGTTGTTCCAGCTGGGAGATTTTAACCTCAGTCATTCAAGCAGTTGAGTGCTGCCTTGTTGTAATTCCCAAGGAATTGTTAGCAGTGTGAGTGGTGTCACTGTCCTCAATAACAGAACCCACCCTTCCAACATCTCCAGCCTCACCTCTGCAATGGAAAAGAACCCTTAACCCTTCCTGGCTCAGGGAATCATGGAATGGTTTGAGTTGGAATTTCTGCTGTGTTGGCTGTTCTCTTATACCCCCAGGTCTTTCTAAGGAATCCAGGTGGCATTCCCAGGTCACTGCATATGAAAACATGGTGAAAATTGCATATAGATGGAAAAATTGCTGTAGGGAGGAATATTGATCTGGATCATTTCTCCTCCTGACACTTCCCAGTCAAATGGCCACTGTGTCATCATTTTGTTCAGTATTCCTGCTTTCATTGGGGCAGTTTATGGCTCATTTTGGCTCAGTTCAGACATGAAATAAGTCCTGTCTTGAGGCCGTTTCAGAGAAGCCCCTGTTGGTAAATGTTCTGCTGCACTTCCCATCCCTGAGGTCCTGCAGCTGCCTCAGTTTGGAATCCTTGGAGCCAAAGCTGCTCGTGCCAGGTCTGTTATTTGAGTAGAGGAATCCTTTGCAGGGGGGTTTCCAGGTAGTTTAGAACTCCCACATTTCTGTGCCCAGTGGAAAAAAAAGCTCAGTGGAACCTCAGCCCCCTGTTTTCATTGAAGGTTCTTTGCTGAACTTTGAACAAGGCTGGAAAAACACCATTTTTCATACTTTGATGTTTCCCTGTATTAAATTATTGCTCTTCTTTCTCTCTTTTCATTCTTTTCCTTTTTTAACTTCTTTTCCTTTCTTGTTTTTTCCCCCCTTTCTCCTTTTTTTTTCCTTCCTCTTTTTTTATTTTTCCCTTTCTCCTTTTTTCCCCTTTTTCCTCTTTCCCCTTCTTTTTTTCCCCTTTCTCCTTTTTTTTCCCCTTTCTCCTTTTTTTTCCCCTTTCTCCTTTTTTTTCCCCTTTCTCTTTTTTTTTCCCCCTTCTCCTTTTTTATCCCCTTTCTCCTTTGATTTTACTTTCCTGCTGCCCCAGGTGTTGTACAAGGAGGGGCTGGGGGTTGGCACCCCCGTTCCTGTCACCCCTGAGATGGAGAGGGTCAAACGCAACCAGGAGAACTTTAGCTCGGTATCTTTTGCCTTTTTTTTAATGCTAATTAACTTATAAACTCATCTCCTTTCTGCTATTACATTTTTAATTACTCTGTTATATTTGATGTACTGATTTTTTGAAATATTTTCCTGTAATCGTAACACTCAGTGCTTGGTGTCCATTAATTTTTTTTCCTGCAGTTTAAGGTATTTTGCATTTTTAAAACCACTTTTTTAATATAATTTGCTTCATTCCTTCCCTTTAATCCTTTTATTATTCTGCTCCAAGCAGTTGGATGTACATTCCCAGCTGTCCCTTCCTCTGGATTGAATTGATCACAATTATTAACTGGTTGATCCTTCCTAATTTTTCCTGCTTTCTGGTATATTTAATGGGCATAAAATCACAAGAATTACCTCCACCAAATGCAGGTTTTTTTGTCCTGAACTGCCTGTTGCCCCCCAGGTGTTGTACAAGGAGGAGCTGGGCACAGGAACCCCCACCCCTGTGACCCCCGAGATCCAGAGGGTCAAACGCAACCAGGAAAACTTGAGCTCGGTATTTTTCAACTTGGAAAGCAAAAAAAAACCCCAAACCTTTTAATCTCTTTCAAAAATACTCTTAACACCCAAATTCTCCTGCTGTATTTCCCTGTAATCAATTCACACAACAACAACATCTCATTCCTTGTGTTTTGAGATTTTTTTCCTCCTTAATTTCTTTTGATTGGATCCACCTCACTAATGATTTTTAGATTCCCTGTTCCCGTCTTTCTCTTGCCATATTTTTTATTTTCTGCTTTTCCTTTTATTAATCACTTCAACCCTTGGTTATTGGGGTTTTTTCCCCTGGTTTTTACCACATATAAAAACTAAACTATTTATTTCCTTCCCCAAATCCGTGGCTGTGACCCGACTCTGCTCCCTCCCGTGTGCTCTGCTGGTGTGGGGTGGGCAAATCAAGTGGAATTGCTGCCTTTGTTCCTTCTGTGTTGGATGTGACGCCTTTTCCTTTGGGAAATGTTGGATGTTGTTGCAGGGATACAGTGGCCCAAGTCCCAGGTGGTGGGAACTGCCCTGGGGGTGTTGGTAGCACCGTTAGAGGGGAAAAAATCACTGAGGTTGGGATGTTTGGAAAAGTGAGGAAGTGCCACTGAAAACAGGAGAGGAGTAGTAATAATAGATATAAATATAAAATATAAATATAAAATATATATATAAAATCGTAGTTGAGGTGTGTGTACAGCAAAGGTTTCAGGAAGGTGCCTCAGGCCCTGCTCCTCCAATGAGTCACTTATGGTCAGGAAAATGTTTTCCCTCACAGCTGCTGAAAGGACAATAATGTGTTTATTGCCAATTTATTGTCAAATATTGACAATAATGTATTTATTGGCATTTATATCAGACTTTAGTCTTCTAAGTACTCCCCAGGTTTAAGTGGCTGATAGAATTCACTGAATCATTGAATCCCAGACTGGTTTGGGTTGGAAGGGAAATTAAAGCCCATCTAATTCCAACCCTCACACCTTCCACCAGCCCAGGTTGCTCCAAGCCCCGTCCAGCCTGGCCTTGGACACTTCCAGGGATCCAGGGGCAGCCACAGCTTCTCTGGGCAACCTGTGCCAGGGCCTCCCCACCCTCACAGCCAGGAATTCCTTCCCAATATCCATGTAAATCAATCCCCCTTCAGCTTCAGTCTTATCAGTGTAACAGAGTTTGAAACTAGATCTTTATTTCCAGGGCTTTTTTAATCCCTGTTTCTCCAGGGCGTGTCAGAGCCCCTCTCTCCTGGTGGGAGTGTTCCTGCTGTTGGTTTTATTCTCTTTTTTGTCACTCTAACCCTGTTGCCCCCCAGGTGTTGTACAAGGAGGAGCTGGGCACGGGAACCCCCTCCCCTGTGACCCCCGAGATCCAGAGGGTCAAACGCAACCAGGAAAACCTGAGCTCGGTATCTTGGAATTTGAAAAGCAAAACAAAATCCCTTTTAATCTATTTTAAAAGACTTTTTAACACACCAATCAATATTCTTGTTTCCCTGTAATCAACTTACCCAAGAAATAATATCCTGCTCCTTTGAGATTTTTTTTTCCTTTGTAATTATTACTTACATTGTTCTTGTTCCCTTTTTTTAATGATATCATTTTAATAATTGAATTTCACCTTTTTGAGTGTGATTACCTTTTTTTTTTTTTTTTTTTTTTTTTTAACTCTTAAAACCCCACCCTGTTTTCCTTCTCTTGGTCTCAACAATCCTTAAGTTTTGCTCTGTGTGGTGGGTTTTTCCCTGATTTTCCTTCCCTCATGCACAGGAACTAAACTCCTTTGGGCCTTGGCTGGGTGTGGCCGTGCTGGGGTGGGGTCAGCAGGACCTGCTGGGGTGGGAATGAATTAAATTGGTTTATTTGTTGGTTTTCTGTGGTATTTGATACTTTCCCAGTGTTTTGTTGCCCCTTTGGTGTCCGGCTCAGGAGCAGCGATGACGCTCCAGCTCCCAGAGGGAATCCGTATTCACCGTGTGGTTTTGAGGAGTTTTTAATCCCTGGTTTTTATCCCAAACTGTGTGTGGGAGGCACTTTCCCAACCCCTCCGTGTGCCTGTTGTTGTTCCCTCCCTGACCAGCCCTTTGTCCCGCAGGTTTTGTACCGGGAGGAGCTGGGAACAGGAACCCCCATCCCGGTGCCTCCCGAGGTGGAGCGAGTCAAACGCACCCAGGAGCTCATCAGCTCGGTACCGTGGGGAGGAACAGCCCCCCTTTCACTGCACCCAACCACCACTCCTTAACCTCCTTTAAAAATGGGCAATTCCTCTCCTCATTCCGTGCAATCAACTCTTATTCCACGTAATCAACTCTTATTCCATGTAATCGACTTATCCTCTCTTCCCGTTTTCCAGCGTTACTGACCCGCCTCTTCTTCACTGATGGAGTTAGTTATAAATTTATAAATTATTTACAAATTATTGACATTATCCTGAATATTTTTTAACTGTTTTGCTCCCTGTTCCACCTCCCTTCTTCCTTTTTTTAGTGTTGGTTTTTTATACATCCACTTCCTGTGTCCTACTTTTCTCCTGGCAGAGGGAGGGGCCTTTCCAGCTCCCTGCAGAGGGGGGGGTCTAAAAGCTCCCCTTCCCCAGGAGATGATGGATTTAATGATTTTTTTGAGTGGTGATGATGTTTTTTGGATGCTTTTTGTCGTGCAGGTGTTGTACAAAGAGAATGTGGGGACGGGGACCCCCACCCCTGTCACCCCCGAGATGGAGAGGGTCAAACGCAACCAGGAGATCTGTAGCTCGGTACTTCCCAGAGAAAAGCTGCCCTTTAACTCCCTCTAAAACCACTTTTTAACACTTTGAATAAGTGGATTTGTTCCAAAATAACACTGACCCAGCTCAGAGCAGGGGCCACTTCTTACTCATGGCTTACTCTGGTTTAAACCTTGACTTTTGCTCCTGTTTATCTTGATTTTAAGAGTGATTTTTAATACCCAGTTCTAATCCTAAAAACACTTAAAACTCCCCTCATTTTCTCTGCAGTGCTGACATTTATTTTAAAGCAATTAATTTAAATTTTTATAACATTCTCAGCCCCTCCATGTGGTATTTAGTGCTCATTGATGCAGATCTCACATGATTTACTTACACTGTTTATTCTGAGGAGTTAAAGCCAGGCTGCAAAACTCTACTAAAGGACATGCTTTAAAAATCCCTGGGCCGTGAGAAACTAAATCCAAGGAAAAAACTGTGTAGGGAGAGCTGGTTGTTTATTCACTGTTGCTTTCTGTGGCTCTTTCTCTCCTCCCACAGGTGTTGTACAAGGAAAACATAGGGAAAGCCACCCCCACCCCAGTCACCCCCGAGATGGAGAGAGTCAAACGCAATCAAGAGATCATTAGCTCGGTACTTCCACCAGGAAAACACTTCCTAAACCTTGGAATGAAGTGTTTAACACACTGTAACACTCAGCAATCTGTGCTTATTAACTCCAGACACAGCCGACACAACCAAAGGCTTCTCTTTAACACTGTTTGAAGCAGGGTTTTACTGAAGAAAAAAAATCCCTTTTTTAGTGGATTTTGTTTTCTGGTCGATTTTTTTAATTTTTTTTTTTAACCCTTTCTCACCCCAAGTGTGTTTCCAGCAGTTGATTCCACGCAGGGGCCCATCCCTGCATCCCAGATTAATGGCCAAGCTCCAGCTCCTGCCGTGCCCCAGCTCTAACCCCTCCTCGGTGTAACTCCAAAGCTGGGCTGAACGTTCTGCTTTGTTTTCCTTTGGGTTTTTCTTTTTCCTTTTTTAATTTGGGGATGCTCCCTTGTACCCCGCAGGTCCTGTACAAAGAAAACATGGGCAAAGTGACGCCGACCCCCGTCACCCCCGAGATGGAGCGAGTCAAACGCAACCAGGAGATCATCAGCTCGGTACTTAAGGGGGAGGGCTTTGTTTGCCTCTGGCCTAACAAACGGCAGCCTAACTCCTGACTCAAAGCCGAGTTCAAGCTAAAAACCAGACGTGTTTCTTTCTGCAGATTAATTGCTCCTTCTAAACCGATCCCACCATTTCACGGCTTTTCTACAACTCGGTTTGTGTGTTTGTGGGTTCTATCCAGGCAAGCTCAGAGATCTCTTGCTGGAGATTATGGAATGTTGGGGTTGGAAGGGACCTTAAATCCCATCTTGTTCCACCCCAACCTTCCACCAGCCCAGGTTGCTCGGGCATATTCAGGTTTATATTTAGTATTTCAACTTTCAGTAGATTTTCAGGGGAATTTGACTTCAGGGAGAAACACCCATCCCTGACATCTGAATGTGGGACAGCGTGGCAACAAAACTCCCACCTCCCTCCCAAAAAAGGTCAGGAATGACTTAAAATATACATAAAAAAGCAGGTAACTGTTAAAGAAATGTTTTCTGTAGAGCCAGAAGTGTCTTCCCTGAGCCTCTGGCCCTTCAGCATCCCCGCCCCTGGATAGAGCCCGGCTCTGTTAACCCCACAGCCCAGCTTTTCTCTCCAGTCTGCCTCTCTCACCCCTCCTGGCAGCACTAAACGTTTGACTTTTTGGCAATTTGATAACAAAGTAACCCTTTGTGTTCAAACTCTTTCCATTTGGGGATTTTTAAGCCCCTGGATACCTGTTGTGTATCCCACAGGTGTTGTACAAAGAGAACGTGGGGCAGGCGACCCCCACCCCCGTCACCCCCGAGATGGAGAGAGTCAAACGCAATCAAGAACAGATTAGCTCGGTACTTCCCCCAGGAAAACACTTCCCAAAGATCCCACTGAAGTGCTTAACACGAGATGATGTGATAGAGAACTTCTTAATAACCTGGTTTTACTTAACTCTCTAATTTTTCCCCTTTAGCAAGTCACCTCTTGCAAAGACTTTTTTGTTGTGTAACTTGTTAATCCTCTTTTTCCTGACTTTTCTTCCCTTTCCTAACGGCCAGTGTTGACTCTAAACCCAGTAACAGCCCAGTTTTTGGTTTTCTCCTGGTGATAATTCCTCTGTGCTCTGTAGGTTACCTACAGGGAAGGCTTAGGGAAGGCCACCCCCAGCCCGGTCACTCCGGAGATGGAGCGAGTCAAGCGCAACCAGGAACAGATCAGCTCGGTACTGAGGGAACAGCCAAGCCTTTGTATCCAAAATAACCACCCTGAGCCAAACCCACTCTAATTCAGCCTCATTTTCCCAGTTTTCCTCATTTTTGTCTATTTTCCCTTGGATTTTTTTTTTTCACCTTTTGCCAATAACTTTTCAGCCGCTTTGTTTCCCGAGATCTTTTCCATCCTGCAGCGCTGGGTTTGCTTCAATAACCCCATTCCCAGAGAGCTGGGATTCTGCCTGGAATTCTGAGCTGTGTCCACGTGTTTGTGCTCTGCAGGTTTTGTACAAAGAGCACATGGCAAAGGGAACTCCGACCCCTCTGACCCCGGAGATGGAAAGAGCCAAACGGAACCAGGAGAACATCAGCTCGGTGAGTCCTGCTCAGCCAAAGGGAAAATACACTAAAATCACAATTTATCCCTGAAATCCTCACTCAGAGTTGAGGCTTGGAGGGATGAAGTAACCACATGGAATTCTTTAATATATTCCTTGTGATTAACTGGAGTTTGGGGGATTTTTAAACAGTTAAATTTCAAGTAACACGTTGCTTTCAAGTCTCTTCTGGCTTTGCTGCTCTTACACCTCAGGAGACAGAAAATGATGGTTCTTCAGGAAGAGATTTCTGATGTTCTCTATAAAAAAAAAACCATATAAAAATCTGGACCCGGCCTCCTTCAGGCCCTTCTTTGCTAACCTGAGGTAAATCCTGCCATGGTTCTGTCCTTGTTCTCCCCTGGCAGGTTCTTTACTCCGACAGTTTCCGGAAGCAGGTCCAAGGAAAAGCCGCCTACGTCCTGGACACGCCGGAGATGAGGAGAGTGAGGGAGACCCAGAAACACATCTCCACAGTAAGGGCAGCTCCAGAGGGGCCTTACCTTGGGAAGGGAGTTAAACCTAAACATAAGCCTGGTTGGCAGCTCAAGGACAGGTTTGCTGACCCAAATCTTTCACACTAAAGCATTTAAGGGATTAGGCTCTCTCTCGTGGCCCCTTGGATTGGGAAAGCCAAAGTTTGGGACACTCCCTGAACTTCACCTGAGGGAAGCAGGGGTCACAGTTGAGCTGCAGAGCACAGCCCTTCCCTTTGAACCTGCAGGTGAAGTACCACGAGGACTTTGAGAAGAGCAAAGGGAGCTTCACCCCCGTGGTCACCGACCCCATCACCGAGAGGGTGAAGAAGAACATGCAGGACTTCAGTGACATCAGTTACAGGGGCATCCAGAGGAGGGTGGTGGAGATGGAGCGCAAACGGGTGGACCAGGACCAGGAGAACCTCACAGGTAAGGCTCTACAGAGACCCCAGTACCTCCCAGAAAAGCAGGACCTAATTTCATAAGGACTTGACTACTTCATTTCCACAACACAAGCAGAGCTGGGATGAGTGGTTTAATTTAACCTCAGGCACATCAATTCTAATTCATCATTACTTGGGGATGATGTTTTTATGGAAGTCCTTTCTTGAAAGTCTTTTTTTTGAAAATCTCTTTTGAAAAAATAGTCTTGCAGCAGCTGTGGTCTGCCTGTCCCCAACTTTAGAATATAACACTAGAATATTATATTATAACACTAGATTATATCTCTATGCATATTAAAGGCCCTGATGTAGATGAAATGTAAAAAAAGCCTAATCTGTGCTATAAAACTGAGAAATACAAATTGTTGAAATAAATATGCTTTTCATAAAATTCCAAACTGGTTTGGGTTGGAGGGACCTTAAAGCCCATCCTGTTCCACCCCCTGCCATGGGCAGGGACACCTTCCACTATCCCAGGTTGCTCCAAGCCCCATCCAACCTGGCCTTGGACACTTCCAGGGAGGCCACAGCTGCTATTCCTGCTGTCCAGGCCAGGCTGTGCTGCTCCAGCTCTCCAGCATTCCCGTTTCTCCCACAGGTCTCCGTGTCTGGCGCACCAACCCCGGATCCGTCTTTGACTACGACCCGGCCGAGGACAACATCCAGTCCCGGAGCCTGCACATGATCTCAGGTGTGTCCCAGGGGGCTCTTCTACTGGGGCAAAATAGGGTTTGTACTCCTGCAAACGTGGGTTCTTGGGGGTCAAACAGAGCTGAGAGGTCAGGGGTGACACAGGGACAGAGGACAAACTGTCTGTGGCTGCTCCTCCCCAGCATATTTTCAAACAAGACATTATCAATTTTTCTGTCCTAAAATGACCCAACACAGGCAGGAGGAGGATTGTTTATATGACCCACACAGCATGTGATTCCTTTTGCAATAACTAAAAATACTGTCCTGAGTTACATTTATTTTGTTTAACTCCTTTCCTGCTTATTGAGAGGAAAAATACCTGAAGGGTAGAAACCAGCCTCAGGGAGGGCTCAGAGCTGTGTCAGAGAAGGAAGGGAAAGGTGGGATAATTAGAATAAAAACTGTGAAGACTAAGAGGAAAGAGACTGGAGAAAGGATAAAACTACTGTGACTGTTGAAGAGCAGAACTTGAGTGTGGTGTCCACAGAACACTTAAAAAATCACTTGGAAACACCACCAAGGAACCATAAATACACTGGGATTATTTACACGGAGTTTGTTCCCCACAAACTTTGGGAAACAGCCGGGCTGGGGCTGTGAGCCCCCACGGGTGTGGTGACCCTGCCCCTGCTGTCCCCAGTCCAGGCCCAGCGGCGCAGCCGGGAGCATTCCCGCTCCGCCAGCGCCCTGAGCATCAGCGGCGCCGGAGACGAGAAATCCGAGCCCTCGGAGGGCACCGACCAGCGCCTGTCCTACTACAGCAACGGGGGCTTCTTCACCACCACCACCACAGGTACGGGGGCACTGGGCAGGGCAAACTGCCCACGCCAGCTGGGGCAGCAATTCCTGCAGCCAGGACAGACCACAGCTCCAAAAGGGCGAGTTGTGGACGCAACCAACATAATCTGTTCTGGTAATTTGAGCCACTCAAGAGCCCTGTCCCTGCTCTCCAACCACAACAGCTCCATCACCGACTCCAGTAACACCACAACCTCTGTTTCCCTTTCAGTGGGCTACAAACAGGTGAAAACCATCGAGCTGCCACAACAACGCTCGTCCTCGGTGGCCACCCAGCAAACCACGGTGTCCTCGGTCCCCTCCCACCCCTCCACTGCTGGGGTGAGTAACTCTGAGCCTGGGATTGGGACACGGCCCCAGGAGTTGATTTGGCTGCCTCCCCACACTGCACAGCCCTGCAGGGGTCATGGCCCATGGTCTGTAGTGCTTCAGATTATGTTAATCCAGGATTAAGTCAGGAACGTTCCTCTCCTTCGGGCTGAAGCTCAGCACTAAACCCAGTGAAGGTGTAACTCTCACTGAAGTGGGACACACCCTCACCTGGACTTCAAAACTTTGAATTAGCACCTTAATCTCAGGAATAGGAAGAATTCAAATTTTGAGTCTGGAGTAGATCCATGACAGTGGGTATGGCTTTGCCTCCCAAAACCTGCCTGGAGCTACCCTGGGCTGATCCTGCTCAAACCCACCCTGCAAACATTTTGTTCAGGCTGAGTGTCACCAGCACACACAGGTATGGTGGCACTCAGGTAACCAAGGTGCCCAGGACCCAGGGGAGGAGCTGGGAAGGAAGGGGATGGGTTATTTCCCACCTCAACACAGCATTATTTGCTTCATCTCCTGAAGCACCTGGTACCAGCCAGAAGGAAATAAAAATCACTGTAAGCTAAGACAGACTAAACCCAAGTTAACAGCAGTAAAACTAAGTTAACAGCAGGAGTTACAGCATGAACCCTGAGGAATGCAGAGTTCATTCAGGGGGAACTCACAGAAGAAGGTGAACCAGGAGATTTAAAACAGGAGCAGATTCAGCCCTCAGTAGTGAGTCAGACTTGCCCTTCCCTGCTCTGACACTGATTCCCAGCCCAGCTGTGGCTGTCAGAGTTTACCCAGTCCTTCTTTCTGCCTGATTCCCAGCCCAGCTCTGTCAGGGTTTACCCAGTCCCTGTGGGTGCCCCATTCTCTGCTGTCAGGGTGTCCCCATTCCCTGTGGGTGCCCCATTCCCAGCCCAGCTCTGTCAGGGTGTCCCCATTCCCTGTGGGTGCCCCATTCCCTGTGGGTGCCCCATTCCCTGTGGGTGCCCCATTCCCTGCTGTCAGGGCTCACCCTGTCCCTCCCTCCCTCCCCACAGAAGACGTACCGGGCCATGTACGATTACACGGCGGCCGATGCCGACGAGGTTTCCTTCAAGGACGGCGACACCATCGTGAACGTCCAGGCCATCGACGAGGGCTGGATGTACGGGACAGTCCAGAGGACCGGCAAGACCGGGATGCTCCCGGCAAACTACGTGGAGGCCGTGTAAGCAACCCCTGCCCCTGCCCAGAGGGGCAGAAAAGGGGGGTGACACCTCCCAAAGCGCCTCGTTGGCCGTGGCGACGGCGCCTTGTGAGTAAAAGTAACTGCAGAGCAAAATATTCTTGAGACGTTATTTCAGAACATCTTTGAAAAGTCACCTGTAAAAGGCTACTTTGCATTTCTTCCAATGCCAGAAAAAACCAAACCAACAAACCACCTTTTTTAAACGTTGCCTGGAATTCCCAACATTTCATCACACACCATAATATGACACTACAACTGCAGTCCAGTATCTTCAAAATTTGATACCAGTATTAAGACTGACTCCCAAGCATTACTTTATTCATTCTATAAAAACTATAGAATTTTTTGGGGGCTATATGTTTAAATCTGTTCACTTCCTTTCACAAATAAGCAATATCTAAGCTTAGTATTTCAAACCATTTATTTGGGGAGGGGAAAAAGAAACCCTCTCCTGCTTGCTGAGGTCTCATGAATGTGTTCTTTGTGCAACTGTTCTGGGGTCAAAAGCTGTTATTTCTTGTAAATTAGTGACTGAATAAAGCTGATGTTTCTGCAGTAGGATGGATGTGTTCCCTTGTGCTGAAGGCAGGAACTGATCTCACAGATCACCAGCTGTAAGAGCTGAACACACTTAAGGAGGCAGATTTAGAACCAAAGTAACATCTCCAGGGAAGCACAAAACCCTACAGCCAACTTCCCATTACAGCTGCAGGCCACCTCTGTGTCCTGTTCCTTTTGTCCATGAGACACACAAACAGAATACTCAGAATCCTGCTGATGATCCCACCACATCTTTGAGGACCTGCTCCCACCCTACAGCAGCACTGGAGACCTTCCAAGGTCCCTCCCAGCCTTGGGAATCCAAAGCAATGCCGAGGGGGAGCTGAACAGGCAAAACCCCCCAACCACCAAACCACGGGGACATGAACAAGTTTGGGAACTATTTTCTCTTTTATTTGCCCATGTGTAAGTCTTAAAAAGCACCTGCAGCAGTTCCTTCCAATAAACACCCACTCTGATAGCTACAGTACAATATATACAGATCAGAATTCCAGAGGAAAGCCCGGGAACTCTCGCTGAAGGTCTCCGAGAAGCAGCAATGCATTCCATGCAATTAAAATCCCGATCATAAATTAGTAACCAAACATCTGCTGTCAATCTGTACACAATATACAAGAAGCTTCTTGCCAAATCCATTCATTTCCCCAAGGAAAAAGTCTTCTCCCACCAGGAGAACTGCTGCCACCCATGGACATGGGGCAAAGCCCGGGAGGCTTCGCAGAGTCTGTGCACGCCCGTCCTGTCACTTCTTAGTGTGAGTCGTACAAAAATACGTGGAAAAATAGATCCAGTACAAATCCCAGGTTCCTGCTTAAGGAATTAAGCCCAGCTCACCTCACAGGTGCTGTTCTGGCAGAGTCTGAGCAGCTCAAAGGAACCCCCCGGGGCAGCAGAGGAGCAGAGCTGGGAGATGCAGCTCTGGCCCCACAGGAAGAGTTTGCAGCACTAAGAACACTTCGGGTCTGAAAAAATAATTTAACTACTCTGTTGGTTTGGTTTCACAGTCTCTTTGCTATTGCACAACTCTTGTCAAGTTCCCTTTCACTACCTGAAAGAAATATGCATAGCAACACAAGACAAATACCTCTGCCAGGGAGGAAGTAGTCCCACAAATTAGGGGGGAAAAAAAAAAACCAACAACAACAAGAATAAGGAAAAAAAAAAAACAACAATCCCATGACAATAAATTGATGTAGGAGTTAAAAAATATCTTCTGTTCAAAATGCACAGTTTAAGGAGTAATTCACCAGTAAGAAAAACAAGGTGTGTGGGGGGGAAAAAACCTGTTGTAACAAAATCCTCCTTACTGAGCCCCGGGAAGCAGCTACTGGGAGCTGTCCTGGGGTGGTGATTTCCAGCGGGACTGCAGGTTTTTCAGGATGCAGGTGGACATGTCAGCAAGTTTTTCCTGCATCTCGAAGAGCTGGCTCCCAGAATAGCTGTGGAGATCCTCGGAGCTGAGCTGGGCAGAGAGGGCCTGGATCTGGCTCAGGAGATCTGCTGGGGGCTGGTCGCTCGTGTTGGGCATGGTTGGCTCAGCCAGGTCTGAAAGGAAGGGAAAGAGGGAAGTGGAGGGAGATCTAAGCAGAAGTCCAGCTGGTTTTCCACAAAATAACATCTTTGAGCAGCCCACAAAGTGTTTGTTCCACACAAGGAGTGCTCCTGACAAAGTGAGCCCTCAGAACTCCACCCCAGCCTTCCTTCTGGTGAGTTTTGCTGTGTTTGACCATGGCTGTACAACAGATCCAAGGGCAGAAATGAAAGGATTTGATCCCAACAGACAATGCCAGTGTCCCAAACCCCACACTTAACTCCCACATTTAAACTGGAGGGCTGAAGAGAAGTCACCCCTGAGCTTTTTGTTCTGCTTCCAGTCTCTTGTTGGGAGAACAAACACGGATTCTGAGCCACCAGGCCAAACTCCAGGGAGACACAGGAGAATCCAAATAAAAATCTACACCTGCAAATCCCAGCTGGGTGTCCAGGGAATCATCCCACTCCTGTCCCCCCCCTCAGGATGAGGTAGCACTTCCTTATCTCTGCTCACCATGTTTGTTCTGTGCACCCCCAGCAGGGACCAAACATGGAACAGCTCAGGAGTCATTTGAGCCCTGCCTAATTTGCTCTTTGCTTCTTTAGGGGAAACCAGCATTTTCCCCTCAAAATATGTAAGTTTTAAAAAGCCACTGCTCCAGGACTTCATAAAGCAGCATTTAATGTGGTAATACCGGCTACTAACACACCCAAAATAAAAAATAAAAGCATTAATTGTTCTCATCAGGAGAGAACAAAGCCATCAGAACTCTCCAAATCTGAAGCAAAAAGCCACCAAGAGGTACCTGTTCCAAGCTTTTCTTCATCTACACAGAGTGGTTTATCCTCCACATCATTTACAGGCTTGTCAGCATCTTCAAGCACCACCATTTCCTCTGACACTCGAGACTTTACCTGAGCATTGTGTGGGACAGAACAAGACAAACGTTTTTAGAACAAGAAAAATAAAATTAGATTACATGGTTAGACATACAATAATGAATACATAAATAATAAATACATGTCACAATAAATACAATCACCATTCCTGTTAATAATAATGGTGTAACCAAGCCATCTGTACCTTGAATTCCCACATACTGAGACAGGCAGGGATTAGGTTTCAAAGTGCTGTTTTTAATTAGGGAAAAAATACATCATTCTTCACGATGGCTATTATCAGTTCATCAGGGCAATACTGGCTCCCTGGGTGTTAAAAATTCAGCTTTACCTGTTGCTCATGATATCCCTTGAGAGCTCTTTTGACATTGGAGACTTTGGGAGAGCGGATGGGAAGGGTTTTGATTTCCAGGGCTGTCAGAGAGCTCAGGTCCCCCACGGTCTTGATGTTCTTGGCTCGGATGAGCTGCCCCAAACCTCTGGCACTGCAGCAGGGGAGGGAAATGGGTTATCACCAGAGAATCATGGAATATCCAGAATGGGAAGAGACCTACTGATGCCAACTTTATGCCCCAAAAGGTGCGACAGAGCTGCTCAGAGACACCTTTAGTCTTTAAGCAGCGAGGTATTCATTTCAGGCAACTTCCAGCTCACGCTGCACAAAGAGCTCCAATGCACTCAGTGAAAAGCCAGACTATTTATACAATTGTTGTGAGAGATTACATCAGCATTTCATGCATATTCATATTATTGCAACATCTAGGTATAATATTCATAGCAGGTGGAGTTAGGGCAGAGTCAGGGGCTGGGTCATCATTCTGGGGAGAATCTCAGTGGTACATCCTGTTACTTCAGCCTCGGGGTCATGGTTTCACTCCTCTCCCTCAGGTAAACTTCTGAACTTTCCTTAATTCTGCTGACTCCAACATGTATTTGGCAGGAGTTTTTGATATTTGGCAAGACTTTCTGGACCCTGGCCCTTCTCTTTCCCCTTATCTCTCCCTGTGTTCCTTCCATATGTCTATTTATGTGTATGTTAGCATTTTTGGTGCTCTTTGTTTTCCTGTGCTGGTACCCTGTCCCTGGGTACCAGCTTTTTAGCATTCAAAAAAGTACTTGAAGAATTCCAAACCAGTCAAGTCTCTCCCCCAACAACCTCCTTCCTTTTGAAAAAATGTTGGCTGAAGACATCTGTAAGTTGTCACAAAAGGTGGGTTTGTAGGTTCTGTAAGAATTCAGTTTCTATTGAAATGTCCCCTTTAAAGGAACAACCCACTTACCAGATGTTTGATGTGATCTGGGGTAAAATGACATCCACAGGAGCTTTGCAGCCAGCCAAGGCTGGGTACACGTGTTCCATAGGGCATGGCAGAGACTCCTTGGTCATTTCTGTAATCTGGAATAACACAGGAAAGGTGTTAAAATAACTGTCACATGACTGAATACAGGAAAAAAAAAATAGAAGAGAAACATGAACCAAAGCACTTCTTACTAAACACTTCTTTGAGCTCTTAAATTTAAGGGTACGAGATCCTGGGGACAGAAATCCTTTGGTTGGAGTGGTAATGTGCTGGATAGAAAAAGAGGAAAAAAATATCTCTCAGAATTGTAGGAATAGTTAATAGAAGGAATTCAGTTAATAGTAGGAATTCAGTTGTCAGACTCTACCCCCTGAGATCTGAGAGTAAAAGAACAAGTCAGACTAAAGCAGTTACAGCTACTTCTCACCCTGACTGACCCTCTGCTCTTACAAGTGTGCTAAGTGACTACAAACATGCACTAAAGCCACACTCCCTACAATAAACAACATGAACACAGAATATATATGAAGAATTCACCTTAGTCTGAATATTGGACAAGATTTTCAGGCTTTTGGAAGAGGGTGAGGAGTGGGATCTGACCACGGGACTCCTCCTGTCGATGTCGTCCGCCAGCCCCGCCTGGTGAATGGGATCTGCAAAGGACACCCGACGGATCTGTGTGGGGGAAAGGAGGTTTCACAGTGTGAATTCCAACCACCAGGGCCTGGGGAACAGCTTTCAGTTTGAAATGAGGTCATTAAAGTTCTTGACTGACACAGGAAATGTTTCACCCAAGGACACACCCTGGCAATACCTTATGAGCAGGTGACAGGGACTCATCATCTTGGTGACTTCTCTTTGCACCTCTCTTCAAAATGCTGGTGGAAGGGGAAGCTGAGGGAGACCACGTGCAGCGGGCCTGGATGCTGGTGGGGCTCTCATTCACCGGCACCAAAGCATCACCTTCTGTCTTCAGAGGTGACTCCACACTGGGATTTTCCAAGGCTGCATTTTCAGACATTGTTATTTCAGTTTCCATTAATTCCTCCTTCATCTCTTTCTCTGGAATAACACAAGTTTCTCCTGCAGTAATCTCAGCTTCTGCTTTATCATCCTGAATGTTTTCCAGATTGTTGATCTCCTTTTCCTCAGGTTTGCTATCAACAGGCAGTTCCTCAGGCACCTCCTCCAGTTGTCCATTCTGACTTATTTCTTCCTTCTCTGGAGCTGCTGTTCCCTCCTTCTCGGGAGCTGCTGGTTCCTCCTTCCCTGGGGTTCCTGGTCCCTCCTTCCCTGGGGTTCCTGGTTCCTCCTTCCCTGGGGTTCCTGGTTCCTCCTCCTCCAGAGCTGCTGGTTCCTCCTTCTCTGGAGCCATTGCTATTTCCTCTTCTGGAGCTGCTGTTCCCTCCTTCTCTACAGCTGGTTCCTCCCTTTCTGGAGCTGCTGGTCCCCCCTTCTCTGGACCCATCATTAAATCTTTTTCTGGAGTAGCTGTTCCATCCTTTTCTGGAGCTGTTGTTCTTCCCTTTTCTGGAGCTGCTGGTCCTTCCCGTTGGCTCTCCATGGCCAGGCAGCTCTCACCAGGCTCCCCTGGAACACCCCCTGGCAGAACCTGCTCCGTTGGCTCCTTCTGATGAGCAGGTTCCTTTATTTCCTCTATGGAGTCAGTAGTTTCACCTGCTGAACACTCTGGATTCTCTGGCTCCACCTCCATCCCAACACTGCTTCCTTGCAGGGTACCCACACATGTTCCCTGGCTTTCCAAGTCGCCCGTCCTGGGTTCCTTCGGGGGATGCACCGGAGTGCTCATGGCACAAGGTGCCAGGGAGAAGCTTTCCTCAAAATCTGAGTGCCCACACAGCTTTGAGCCACCTCCAGGGGTCTGAACCGGGCTGATCTGGGGCTCGTCCGGCTCAGGAGCTTTCCTCTTTCTGGATTCAGTGAACGATGTTATTTGTTGCTTTGGCTTTTTAAAACAGCAATCGCAGCTCTTGGTTTTTTTCACCCTCCTGCTCCTTTTGCTGTGACACTCAGGGGTTTGCAGAGAGGAATGCTCAGCCCCTGAACCATCTACTGCTGGTGCACAGCCCCCTGGGCTTGCCTGCCTCTCCTCCTGCTGGTTCTGCTGTGCTGCTTTCCTGTCCTGCTCACACACAGAGGGGTTGGGCAGTGACTCCATCGCTGTGTCGCTCTGGTTTTGCTCCTCACTGGTGTTCTGAGCAGCAGGTGGGTTCCCAGAGCTGGCAGATCCCACAACTTCACCAGCAGTGGGAGGAATTCCCTGGTTTTCAAGGCCACATGGTTCAGCTGTGCTGATTTCAGCTTCCCCTTTATTTGCTTCCAGTGGACTCTGAGTTTCATTTTCCTGGGAAGACACCTCGTGGCTATGGCTTCCTGGCTGCCCATCTTTCAATTTACCTTCCTGAGAATCACTTCTGGTTTTCACTTTTGTGTATTTTCTCTTCCTTGTGCTTTCCTCCTTGGCAGAGCCCTCAGCCTCTGAGTTCTCTATGCTGGAGAGCAATCCTTGGGCAGCTCTCCTGGTGTGGTACCGTGGGCGCTCCACCACCTTCAGGCTGCTGTCCTGACCTTCCCCCTCAGCCTTCAGGGGCTCTTCTGCCCTCCTGCCACGCCAGCTCCCTTCCTCATCAATGCCCCTGGAAGGAGAGTCCTTGGAGCTCTGGTCCTCTGCAGTTCTCTCGGGTTGGCTGCTCTCTTTTGTACTCATCTTTTCTGCTGTTTTCCCAGAAATCCCCTTCTGCTTTGGGGATCCATCATCCTTAGGCTGTGACACCTTCTTCTGCCCAGACTTGTCATCCTCTTTCCGCCTGTCCCTCCTTTGGATCCCCTCCTCCTTGTCCTGGCTCCCCGAGGAGCTCTCTGCAGTCTCCGACCGGCGCCTCAAGGAACGCCGGAGCACCTTCTGCTGAGGGGACACCTGTGACACCTGGGTGTCCTCCCCTGTGGCCTGGTCAGGTGAGCTGGTGGTGTCTGGGGGGGTGTTTTCCTTGGAATCCATGTCCAAGGCCCGGGCCTTCTCTATCTCCGCAATGGTGTCCTCAACTTTCCTGATGTCTGCCTCTGTGGAGTGGAGAGCCTGCGACTGGGACAGGAGGATTTGCTCCACGTCCTCCACTGTGGAGCACAGCTCAGGAGTACTGTCCATGCTGTCAGAGGCAAGAGACTCCTGTTCTGACCTGTTCATCAGCTTGGACTTGTTTCCCTGGAGCTCCATCTTGCTCTGCCGGCGCGTGAGCCTCCGGATCGCCGCGAGGACAGGCTCCGGATCCGGAGGCTTTCTGTTTTCTTCTCCAGATTTCTCTGCTTTAGCACTGGTCTTGCTTACACTTGTATTTTCCTGCTTGCCTGCCAGGGCAGCCCCTCTGGACAGCTCTGAGGAGGTGTTCAGTGGTGATGGGCTGAAGGGCCTGTTCTCTGTCCCGCTGAACTTCTCCAGGGTGATGAAGGATTGCCGGCGGCTCACGGGCTGGGGGGTCCCAGAAATTACATCGCTGGAAGCTGAGCTGTTGCTGGCATTGGAAGTGTTTTCATTCCCTGCCGAGGTCTCCTTGGAAGCTGCTTCCACAGAGCTTGTCTCTAATTGCTCTCCAGCTGATGGCTCCTCTGGAACCATCTCAGCTGTGTGGTTCTGTGACTCCCCCTTGCTGGTGGGAGCTGAGCTCTCCCCTGTGGGACACCCTTCACTCCTTGTATTTTCTTCCTGTCCCAAAAATATCAACAGCAACAATATGAACAGCAAAGTACTGTGGTTGTGCTATGAATATAATATTATAGTAGGGTTCTGGTGCAATAAAGAACACCACACCCACAAGGTTTTTCTAACAACCCTTCCTTCAAATTATTTATCATCTGTCCACTGGTAGTTATAAAAGACACTTCTTTTCAACCATTAACCCAAAACAAAGAACTGTAAAGATGTTTTATTTAAGTTTTGCTAGAGGTATTAACAAACTTACAGCTAAAGCAGTAAGTTTTTCTTAAAAGCCTGCTGTATTTTATCCAGTTATCAAACCAGTTGTTTAGCCAAAAGGAATTTAGGATTTACAACCTTTACCCCAGTAAAATATTACTGACAGCACATGCACATGACTGACCATAAATATAAATCCCTGTAATATCTGGAGCCATGTAACAAAGTTCAAATACAGCCACACTAGAACTACTGATACAAATCCTCCCATTTTGAAATCCAAATGCCCAATAAATGATATAAAGCAGAACACAGCAAAACCACTGCAATGGTGTTAAATTCCCACCTGGTGATGAGAAGGGAACACAAACCACAAAAGCTCTCATGCTATGGTTGTAACTCTGATATTTTAATCACCAGTAGACAATGAGGAATTACCTGAGGCTTGCTTTCAGTATCTTCTTTGGCATTTTCTATTAAAGGTGATACTTCCCTAAAACAGAAGTTACTTAAATTAGAGTTGCTGCAAAAAAAAAAAGGGGGACACCTTTAATGGGCTTAGTGGTCACTTTTACTTACAAAGAATCCTCCTGGCTTTGAGTATCCTGAGAAAATAAGGTGGTGTCTTGTGATGCATCCAAATTGTTGTACATGGCAGGAATGTCAACCCTGAAACAAAACCAGCAATGGGAAGTCAGACCCTTCTTTGGAATTTATCATCTCTTTATTTCAAGGCCACTATTTTCAGTTGCATTAAATAATTTTTGGAGAATAAAAGCTGGGATTGGGATCCCACTCTGCAAAGAATTCCCCAGCACTTGCTGACTGCACAACTCAGCCCTGCCCCTTTGGGTGACACAAGTTCTGCTTACACTTGTTTTTGCTGCCCAAGCACAGAAAACACTCCAGTATTAATTTCTCTCATTAAAAAGAGAGGTAATTCTAAAGATTCCTCTGCAGTTAAGGTGAGTCCTGGGAATATCCTAATTTCTGACATGCTGCTGACACAAGATTTCTCTTCAAATTCAGAGGTCCTTCCCTCAGATTGGGTAAAACAACCCATTCACTTCCACAATTCAAAAAAAATGATATCTTCTATTTCACTGCATGAAGTAAAAATGTAAACTCCAAATTATCCAACTCCAAACAGGCTACAGAGAGTGTATTTAATCAAAATAGGCAATGCAGTTCTGAGAGTAATTTGGTTGCTTTAAAACAGCAAAGCAAGGAACTTTTTAGGTTTAAACTTTATAACCTGTATGGAAGGTCAAGACTCAAATCCGTGTAGTAATCTGAGATACAGGAATTGAAGTTAATTAAATGTGAGATACTCAATGTAATGACATTTCACATTAAAACAGAATAAATGACAGACCTCTTTGACCTCAGCACTTCTTTCTGATGTTCTGTCAATACTCTTGCTTTTGTTTCTGGAGGAATAAACACAAAATCAACTGATTTCTCCTCTTCCAGAAGTATCTCACTTGGAGTCTTCGAAGATGCAAATTCTAGTTTTAACTGCAGAAAGGGAAAAAACCCCAAATGCTAGGTTAGAAAAAGGAACTGAAGATAAGGAGTTCCTTAGGAACACAACAGCCTTCCCTCCCTGTGACAGATCTGTGTACACAGCACAGTCACACCAAACCCAACATCCACCTCCAGACCTGGATCTGTCAAATTTACAACCAGAGCGAGGTGAGTTTTGTGGGGCTGCCACTCCTCCCACCCACCACACCCTCCTTAGATCTCAAAAATCTATAAACTCAGCAGAGAATTCTAGCAAGAAAATTAAATTAGAGTGTGCTGGACAGCTTAAGTTTGAAGGAAAAAATATTCCAGGGCCACAAAAGTCATTGTTTTACTATTTTTCCCTGAGGATTTGCAGCAGCAGAGTGGATGTTCTGGTGCAGAATGGGATGTGTGATTCCCTCACCCCTCTCTGGGAACACTTTACCTTTGCAGGTGTTACTTGCACGTTACTGGACTTGTCTTTTCCATCGTTTTTCTGGTCACTCATCTGTGCCAATATAGAATCTCGTTTCTGACCCAGCTTCACTTCCATTCCACTGATCTTTGCATCCAGCTGGGAATTTTCCATCTATTCCAATAAAAATACACTGCATGAAGAAGCTCCAAGCTCACAACCCCACCCTGAGATGTATTAATTTCTACAGCTAAACTGTCCCACACTCCCCTTTCCCTCTAAATTACACAGAGGGCAACTTAAATTAATCGTTCAAAGAAGCTTCAAAAGGCATAAAATGTTTAGAACCAGCTCAACCTTTTGACAGTGCTCACCCAGCATAGTTTATCATTCCAAACACAAAGCCAGAGCAGGTCAATCATAGTAAAAACCACAACTGACCTCCTGAAGGATTCCCAGGAAGCCCCCCCCAGGCTCAACAAGGTATTTACCGTGTCAGAGAAGGGCCCACTGCATTCTTCACCCATCTCAATGCTTTCAAAGCCAGGCAGCAGGAGAGGAACCTTCTTTTTGGCTTGGCTTAACACAGATCTGCTCAACAAAAAAAAAAAAAGCATTTTAAACTTCTGGAGGAGGAGAAGAGGGGCACAGCAAGAGCAGCAGATCCCCCAGAAACCAGGACCATTTGTACATAACCTGAGATCTCTTCCTTTAAAGATACAAACATGAAAAATATCTTACTTTAACTCCTCAGGGTATGTGAGTGAAGCAGTCTTGGCAAAGGTGGAATTCCAGAACTGGGCACACTGGTTCCTGAGCTGTTTGCTCCTGTGCTGGAACCCTGCACAGAGCAGTGGGGAGAGCTGCTCCAGCATCTCGCTGTCGTAGGAGCCCGTGCAGTGGGACTGCAGGCACTGCAGAATCTCTGCCAGCAGCTTCTCAAGCTGAGGGAGAGAAGAAACAAGAGAGTTTTTACTTAAACTTTGAAATAGTATGTGTAATATTTGAATTAAACCCCTATTGAAAACATTATTATCCCATATAACTCTACAGCCTGAATAAATAACTTTAAACATCACACCACACAAAGAGTCTAATAGCTTAGAGCTCCTCCCCTCAGCAATAAACACATCATTTAAATATTAAATCCCCACCTTTAATACATTTTTAATTTGTTTTTTTAACACAGGATGAATGGCAAAGCTCTGGTGCCCCACATTTCCCCCAACCCCAGCAAATTTACCTTGTTGTTAAGATTACTGTAGACTTTAGGTACCTCAGGGAGCCTGCCAAAACAAACAGAAAAATTATATTTTGCTGCCTCATTTACCCCAAGCATAAAAATGTAACATATAATACCTTCAAGCTTTGCACAGTAGTTTTAGTGTCTAGTGTAGTGTATATATAGTTTGGTATAGGATATAAAACCTGATGGAATCATGTTGGAAAATGAGCCTCCTGTTGGGTGATTAAACCATTTCTAATGTAGTTTGAAGTCAGATTCTCCTTTAACCCCCACTCATATGCTGAATTTCAGAGGAATTTATGGAAAAGTCAGTGGTAATTAGTACAAACTTAAGCTTAAAGCTTTTCTTATGAAGTACTTCTAACTGCCTGCTCTGTGCTTCTCTTCACCCTCTCCCCAAACACATTTCCCAGGCCCCAGAAATACCTGCATTAAAAAGCTGAAACACCCCCTAAACTAAGCAATTCCATGTAAGTAAAGCCCTAGAATTAGCCAGATAAATAAGAGGAAACTGCCATTTAGTAGCTTATTTTAGAACCCTGGGTCCTCCAAGCTGAAGAGGTTCCCAAGCTTGTATTTGCTTGCACATGTCTTGCTTCAAAAATAGATCCAACTTCTCTTTTTTCCTGAATAAATATAAGACAGACAATGCTCAAAGGCTGATGAGATGGGAGATGGAGAGAGGTGGAGTCCAACTCATCCTTACACAGGAACAAGTGGATTCTTGCCCCTGGGATGGGGGTTTCTGATGAGTCTTAGGTGAATTTTAGGCAGCCCTGCTCCAAGTTCCAGTAAAATCTATGACAATTAAATTAGAATAAAGCAGCAAAGCTACATAAAGAAAAAAACCACAAAGAAAGTTTTTCCCAGGACTTCCTTCTGCTGGAAAACTTCCAGGACCTGAGTGTGCAGCCCATTGTGATTTAATTCCTGTAAAATTTTATGCAGCTTCTGCCCACTAGAAAATAAATTTTAATTAATAAATATCTTTTCTACACTGAAAATAAACAGGAGGTGGAAAGCAAACACTTCATTCATGCAGAGATGCCAACACTTCAAGTCTAAAGAAGCTTTTTGGAAGTGCTGAGAACCCCTGAGCTCCACTCTGACCTGCTCCAAGAGCACACGACATTGCCCCAGTAAAATGAACCCAGTTTCCCAACCATTCCTAAAATACTCACTTGGTTTTTTCATAAAACACTGCCAGGGGCTTGGAAAAAATGGCAAACATGGTGCCCATCACTGAGGGCAGCGAAATGTGGCTGATGATGTTGTGAAGAGCAGCAAGGACTGAAGGACCCACAGAGATCAGTGTTTCTGAGCAGGTTTCTTGGGAGCTGAACACGTGGAAGGAGTCCAGTAACATCACCAGGAGCTTAAAGAGAGAGGCAAGTTTGCCCAGGGGCTCCTTTTTCTTCTTAGACCAATCTGAAGGTGTCTGTGGAGCTAAAATTACAAAATAAAAAGTTAATTTTCCTTAACCAACGTGCCCTACAGCAAAACACATCTGAGCATTCAGTCTGTGTGAGAAGCAGAACTTTGATGCCCAAACTGTATCCACAAACAGTTTAAAACCAGACCTGACAGAATAAATACATTTTTAATTTTATCATATCTCCTATTCCTCTTATTTATGATTGGCTTTTGAGACTTTATTATTTGAAAATAGGCAACCACCACTCTACAGATACCAGTGGATACACATAAATTTTGGGAGGAGGAGGGGAGGGCGAATATAAATTTATATTAACTATTTATTTATGATATAATTATACACACACACACATATATATTCATAATAATAATTTCTTTATAAGTGAAGTTTAATTCATGTTTTATCTCATCAACAGTTCCAATCAAAGCATTCCATTCCCTCAGCAGTCCAACACAGCATCTCAACTGCTTTAACAAATTCCTGTGGGGCAGAGAGATTAGAAATGCTTCAATTTTATAGTGAATTGTGTTATTTTGTGAATTATCTCTTCAGTTTTTCAGAGAATTTCACGGAGTATTTCACAGAATATTGTGAGTTGGAAGGGACCCACAAAGATCATGAAGTCCAACTCTTTAAGTTCAGTAGTTTTAAGTGGGAGTAGGAAATAAAGAGTATTTTACACACAGTGACCCTTTGTCTTCTTAAACCTACTCCCAACTATTTCATACAAAGCAGGCTCAGGAGCAGAAGTAAAGTGTTGTTAACAATTTACCCTTGGTTTTCAGCAGGAATTGTAACATCAGACTCTGGGTTATGGCCCAGCATTGCTGCCTCAGAGCAGAGCTGAGCAAAGCAAAAGCAGATCTCACAAGCAAAAATGAAATTACAGCCAAAATACCATTTTAGAACCCAGCAGTGTTTAACAGTGAAAAAAAAAGAGTGAAGGGGCCTCAATATATATTTATATAATGTATTTATACCAATCTCAGCTGTATTTTGCCAGGCTGTGCAGGAACTGCTCAACAAATAGCAAAGGTCTGAGACTCAAACAGGCTGATTGGATGATAATTTTAATTCCTTTTATGACTTTTGGCAATCCCTTCAGAGGTGAGACAGCACATGCAGCACATTCACACCACTGATATCCTACAGTTGTCACTTCTGCACCCACAACAACACTAATTTTTACCCAACTCTGAGCCACACAGAACCCCCCAATATTCAAGCATTTCCTTACATCTGGTTTTTGGCTGGTATTTGGTACCATATGGAGCAAAGTTGATGCAGTCAACCATGACTGAGACAACATGGGTGAGACCTTCCATCATGGAAAACATCTGAGGAGCAACAGAAACCATCAGGAACAGGAATCACCACAAGAGAAACAGTGACAGGAAAACACACTTTGGTCATTCAGGACAGAAATGCAACAGCTTTTAATTTAAAGGTGGTGCAACTGCACTATCAGACTCAGATAAAATTACATTTTAAATACATTTATACATGATGATGAGTCTTCCCATTCTATACAAGTAAGACATAAGCAAATGCACTGTCTAAACAGCAAAGCAGCCCTAAGAAGATTTAAGATGGATCAAAAGAATTGAAGTTCAAGGTTTTTTTCCCTCCCAGTCCACCAAAAAATCTTCTACATAAAGCCAAACCTGCTTTACAAGGAACACTGATATTCTAGACTAATATAAAGTTTCAATATAACTTGCACAGTGAACTTTTAAATTGGTTAAGTTTGGTTTGTTTATTAATTATTGATTTTTGGCATTGATGTTTATCATCAGGATATGGCAGCATCCAAGGTAAGTCATAATGATGCAAACCTCTAAATCCCAGGTTTGCAAATTCCAGTGTTTTTCTTAGTTTTTTTCACAATATTTTTTTAGAAGAGTGAACTTTAGGTACAAAGGGTTTTATCTTCCAAAGGTGATGTTCACATCCAGACACTCCACCTCCCCTCACAGTGGGGGTTTCTTCTTCCAAAAGCTTTCTCTTTTATAAAGCTTTACAAGTAAAGTCTTCACATTTTACTTGACAAGGGTGATGCCACCAGAAATTAACAGCAGCAAGTTCAATCCTCCCTCCCTCCTATTTAAAATGCCTGGGTTTTGTGGTACTTGCCAACTGAAGTTACTTGATATACATTTATTTCAACTGGATAAATCCCATTTATCACCGTGATAACACTCACTAAACCATTACCACTTAATTAGTTAGGAGACAAATTTAAAGACTGCTTAACTGCTATTTTAAGATTTAATAATAAATAAATAAATTGATTAATAAATTAACAAAAAAATGAATAAATTAATAAATTTATTTCAACTGGATAAATCCCATTTACCACCACACTGACACTCACTAAACTGTTATCACTTAATTAGTTAGGAGAAAAATGTAAGAGACTGCTTAACTGTTTTTTAAGATTTACTAATAAATAAATTAATAAATATTAGTATTTAATATTTATAGTTATTTTTACTCCCTTCAATCCATGTCTTTATCACCTCCAACTCTTTTCTTACAGCTTTAAGTCTCACCCAAACCAAAGCACAAATCAGGAGTTTACACCGGGTTCTTACACCTAATTTCAAATACACCTGCTGGAGTACTTTATAGAGTGCAGTATCACAGGTTTATACTCACTACTGGAGTTTCACCTTCTAGCCCAGCTATAATTTTGGCACACAGCTCCTCACAGCACACGTTCTCCTCGGCTGTTGCCACCAGGGCAGCGCAGCGGGCGAAGGCTCGGTACAGCTCCGACCACGAGCGCAGCAGGGACTTCATGGTTGGCTTGAACACAGAGAGAAAGCTCATCAACATCGAGGGCTGTGCACAGGGGTGAAAGTTTTCTTCTTCTCTCAAACCTGTGTGGCTCTTGAGGGTTTTCAAGTTTAAATGTTGGAGTTTAAACCCGACCCTGAGCAGCGGTGCGATGTCGACACGTATTGGTAGCAAATTCCCCCCCCGAGATTACCAGGCAGTTTTTACAAACCCCATGTTGGTTTTAATTAATATTATGTATTCAGTGTTACCTGGGGAAAGCCCTGGGTGGGGAAGATGTGTGACACTGGCAGCAGCAATGCACTGTACACAGCACTGAAGTTGTGCTCCAAGGCATCCCCCTGATTCACTTCATTGGTCTGCAACAACAAAGAAGTTTTCTGATTATTGGAGCTGCAAAACTGAGGTGACAAATAAGGCTGTTCCTGGTTCACTGACTCGTACATGAGATCTGTGCAAGCTCAACTGCCAGTGGCAGTTTGAAATTAGCTGTTCTGCTCTTGAAAGAGTTCAGGCTGCTACTAGAAAAGGGATAAAGAGCACTCTTTGTAATTCCAGGAATGAAAACAATCTATCAGAAAATGTCTTGGGTGTTTTTCACTTAGTTCAGTTGCAGTAAGTGATGACAACAACCTACTTAGAGTC